TGCTCAAGGTCTTCACGAAGCTTCACGAATCTTCGAGAAAACCCGCGATCGACGAAAATCCGATAACCGCAACTATACGCAAACAATCGAAAACCTAAACAAAAGACCAAAAGAAAGATCCTATTTAGACTAATTAGTAGTGCCATTAAATAGATCTCAATTTTACGGAATTACTGGAAGTTGAACGGAGTCAAACGGAAGAGCGGTTGGGAAGATATGAATTTTGGAAGTTTAATTTGGATTTTCTGGTCAAGGAAATGATTTATCGGAATTTTCTGGAATACGAGAAATGGTTTATGGGGTTTGAAGAAATAATATTCCCAAGAATATTATTAACAGTCACTGTCATGCGGGACCAAAGGAAATGATTTGTGGAATTTTGGAATAAGGAATTGATTTATGGGACAAAGGAAAAAGGATTTATTAAATCCCTGGAAAAAGAAAAGGATGGAGGGATGTCAATCAGACTTGTCTCGGGTGGCATTGGCGCGGCCCGAGGGACTTGCGCAGCTCGGGCGAGCCTAATGGGCCGGCACGGCCTGCGAGGAGGGCGGCCCAATGGGGCGCGGGGGAGAGAGGGACGGCCCGGTGGACCGATTCCACCGCGCGGGGTCCCGGGTGGGGCCCGCTTGTCGGTGGCACGGCCCACGGTGGGATGGGCGCACGCGAGGTGCGGCGCACGGGTTTCGGGTGCGCGGGGCTTAGGAGCGGTGCACCGGTTGGACGGATGGCGGCGGGCCCATATGCAGTCGCACGGCTTTCCGTGGACCGCGCGCACGGGAGGGAAGTCGGAGGGAGGGGACGACTGACCGGCTTGGCCCAGTCAAAGCCGAGGTGGCGCCGACGTGGCGCCTACGTGGCAGCCACGCGGGCCGGCGGGAGGAGGAAGAAGGGGAGGCCGAGATGGACGGCGGACGGCGGCCGTGTTCACCGGAGCAAGCGCGACGGATTTGGTCTTCGGGGAGCACACCGGAGTGACGAGGGCGTCGAGAAGGAGCGAGCCAACGGCTCGGATTTCGCCGGAGGGAGTTTGTCGGCGGTGGAATTCGACAGTGGCGGCCGGCGGCGAGAGAAAGGGGAAATCACCGAGGGGCGACGAGGACTCAATTCGAGGCGGTGAAAGCATCTCCGGGGTTCAAGGAGTCCGCTTCCGGCGTCGGATGGGGCGGAAGAGCACCAAGGAGGGCTGGCGACGAGCGGCGGCCTCCGGGAGCGGGCGGCAACGGCGGCGAGGCCATGCCGGGCGGCGGCGGGTCTAGGGAATGGTTTGGGGAGGTCCTAGGGAGCTCAAGGACGGTGGTGGCGCGAGGTATTGGCGAGAGGGCCCACGGCGGCTCACAGGCGGGCGCGGCGGCGGTGAAGCAGAGCAACGGCGGGGCGGCACGTTTAAGGGGACGAGCGAGCAACCGAATGGCTCGGGGCTTATCCAAAATGACGCAGATGGCGAGAATTTGGGCGAGGAGCTCACCGGTGTGCGGGAACGGTATCGGCGGCGATTTGGGGATGGAAAGGGGTGGAAGGCCGATGGCGGCACGCGACCGAGCGGCGGCGCACGGCGAATGACGCCGAGGCGGCGCGGCGTCGAGGCGAGTGCGCCGGGGAAGAAGAGAGGGAGAGGTGGCGCCCGGAGCTCCTCGTCACGCGTTCACGCTCGCACCGGCTCCTCCGGTGCTCGGCGACGGACGACGACGACGAGAGCGGGACAAGCGGCAACAAGGCGGCGATGGTGGTTCGGTGGTAATGGCGCTACAGCGGTGGAGACTGAAGCGGGGAAATTGAGAGGAGGGACTCGGCCTTATAGGCGAGGAGGAGAGGTCGGTTTGGAGGAGGGAAACCGACATTGGCAGTCAAGGGATGCAAGGGCGACGAGCTGGCGGTCGTCGACGCGTGCAGCCAAGGCGGCGGCAGGTGATGACGCCGGCGGTGTTGGGCAAAAGGAAAAAGAAGGGGGAAAGGGGCTTGGTCCCTTGCCAAAACGAGAAAAGGAGGAGGGAGAGTGAGGAGGAGGAGGAGAGGGAGAGCAGCTGCTTCTCCCACTCTTGGACGGGTGCGGCGTGGAGTGGCGGGGGCCATGGATGACGTCGACGATGACGGCGGCGGTCGGTTTGGCATGGAGCGGGGCCGGGTGGCTGCGCGGCGCAGGCGCGGCAGGGCTGACGGCGGCAATGACCGGCCGGTCGGCCACGCGCGAGCGCGGGAAAAGGCGAAGGCGGTGGCGGGTTCTGGGCGGCGACGGCGGGAAGCGGCGTCGGCGCGGGAGAGAGACATCGAGAGAGAGAGAGAAACAGCGAGAGCGAGAGAGACAGAGAGAGCGAGCGACGGCTCTCTCTCTCTCGGCTCGCATGCGTGCAACGCACGTGCGAGGGTGGGGGGAATGATGGGCTGGGAGGGGGAGATGGGCCGGGGGAGGAGAATCGGCCCATCCAAAATCACAGGGAGGTAAGGTAGACTTTTACAGAGAAACTGATTTGGATAGAATTGGGGAGATTTAGGGTTTGGATTCGAATTCAAATTTGATATTCGAACTCGAGGGTTTAGGGATGTATCAAGGGAAACTCAAGGAGAAGTCATGGAAAAGATTTAAAAGGAATACTTGGGTATTTGTCCTCGGGAACATAGGGTGGAGTCAAGGAAAGGATTCGAGGCGGGATTTGGATAATTCTGGATTCGTAGAAGTATTTGGCGAGGATTCAAGGGAAGGGATTGACCTTCGGATTTAGATTTCGGAGACTTGAATCGGAAGAGGAAATTTGAGGCGGAGGATTTTGATTTTGATGAGAGGGAACAACGGGATTTGAATTGAGATCTTGGCACAACTTAGACTCGCACACAAAGAACGAAAATTTTCGCAATTAGGATTTTTGCCGAATTAGTTTTTAACGACCCACGAAAAGCGGAGCGTTACAGAGGAGGCCTGGGGCGGCGCGACGGCATGCGGTCGTGGTGGCGGCCGGCGGCGAGGCAGCAGCTGGCTGCGGCTAGGCCGGCCCGGCACGGGCACGGAGGCGGCGGACAGCGGCGGCTCGGCGTGGAGGCGCGCGGAGGTGGCTTGTCAGCGGCGGGCGTGGATGCGGCGAATGGCCGCGGCTCGACGGGGCCGACCCGGGCGCAGAGGTGGCAGGCAGCGCAGCCTGCCCGCCGCGGCAGCCGCCCCCCCCTCCCCTCACTCGCTCGGCCTGGCCACCCGGCGGCAGCCCATGGCGTGGTGGGTCGTCCAGGCCTCGGTGGTGGCTCGGCGTGGTGGCTGGGCAGCCGGGATGCCGCCGCGGTGGCCAGGTGTGGCACGACGACCGGACTTTGGGGGCGCCGGTTCGGAGCGGCAGCGCCACCGGCGGCCAGATGGCAGTGCAAAGGGAGCTGGCGGCGGTGGGTCGTCTTCCTCGTTGCCGGTCGGCACCCTCGGCCTTCATGGAGCTCCTCCCCTTCTTTGCGGGGAGTTTCTATGTTGGATTGAGGCGGTAGCTCCTCAGTGGGGGAAGCTCAGGCTACCGAAGCAATGCCACCTAGTCCCAGGTTCTCCTTCGGCCAAATCTAGCGAGGCGGCCGGTGGGTGGTGGAACGGAGGAGTCCTGGGCGAGCTCTCAGGGGTGGTGGTTCGTTGAAGTCGGCAGACGGAGGGGCGTCAGTGCGGTGTGGTGGATGCCACGTGCTGCCATTTGTCTGTGTGGTGGTTCTGAGTTGGTGGACGGCGATTTGCAGTCAAGGTTGCAGGGTCCCAGGTGAAAGCCTAGTCCGGTGGTTCACCGGGCCGGCAACGACTACGTCTTCGGGCGTCGTAATCTCTTTGGGGCGTTGTCGAGGGTTACCCTCTCCTTTTCTTGGCGAGCTTCTCTGGGTGAAAACTACATCTTTTAGATGGGCGATGGCGGCATCCTGGATGTCGTGACCACCATGGTGGCATCGTTTTTGGAGCCTCGTCTCTGTGGTATTGTCGTAGGCCTAGCGGCGTTCGGCCACGCTTAGCGGGGCTCGTTTGGTGCTAGGTTTCACCCTCAGCGGCTTGTGCTTGGGTGGTAGTGCGTGGTGTGTGGCAATGCATCTTGGTGCATTTTGATGTTTTCTCTTATAACTTTTATTCCTTCTTAATATACTCGGTTGGCCTCCTCGGCCTTCCTGGCGGAAAAAATAAACGGGAAGTGGATTCTAAACTCTCGAGGTGACATCACCTCGTTGTTTGTATGTCACACAAATCTCTACTATTATAAAAATTAAAGATGTTTTTACCGGTACTTTGGTACGTTATCCGTGAATAAATCGGTTTTTAAGTTCGTTCGCTTTTAGAAATACATCTCTGTATTTGAGTCGGGTTTTAAGTCTGTTCGCTTTTGGAAATACATATATGTATTTGAGTCAAGTTTTAAATTTGTTCGTTTTTTAAAATACAGAAGGAGTCGTATAAGAAATCTTTTTAGAAAAACTCGCATGCTAACTTGAGCTGATCGGACTTCTAATTGCAACTCATGATTTTCTAGAAAAATATATATCCAAGCGAATTCCCACAGTAAATTTCACCTTAACTAAACTATATAATAATAATAAGATTAAAATAACTTTCACCCGTTGTAACGCACAGGCATTTTTTCTAGTGAATAAAAAATTTAGAAAAAAAATCAATAAGATAGATTAATATATGATAAATCACTTCACAAACATGCAAATTCAAATTTAACTTCTACAAGTTGTAGCGAAAAACCAAATTAAATTGTGGGTAGTTAATGTATATTCGCAGTTAAATTTGTTTTTTTTTTTTGCAACTTGTACTTATGGAGTGATTTATCACATATTAATCTATCTTGATGAATTGTTTTATTTCTTATAACAATTTAGGTTTAATGCAAATAATAAAGGATGTCCCCTCGGTAGTTTAAAATAGTTTCCCAAATAAACGGGCCATCTGACCACACGTTTGCCGAGCTGGCCAACTCCGGCCCGGAAGCTCCGTTCCGGTAGTATCAGCCCATCATATTTTCTTCAGGAAAAACGGAAGTCCATCATATTCCAACTTGGCATCCTATGCTTCCGCGTCCGCCCATAGATCCCACACAAATCCGTCCGAGTCCGACTCATCCCAAATTCCCCGGCCATATCCTTTTCTTCGCCTGAGATCACCACCTCCTCCTACCAGCAGCGAGAACAACCAGACGGAGGAGGGTTACCCCCTGCTTCTGCTTGCGTTCGCGCACGCATGGATCCCACAACCACCACGACAGATTCCGAGTGCGACTTCATCAAGAAGATCCCTAGTTGGATGATAAGGAATTCGCCAATGCATTGTATGGAGGCCGGCCACTTTGGCAAGGATGCCGCCGCCGCCGCCGCCGCCGCCACCGCGGACGCCATGGAACATGCACTCCCCTGCAGCGATCTTCACCACCTGAGAGTGGGCAAGACGGCAGAGCAGAGCTGCTCGGTGTGCCTCAAGAATTTCGAGGAGGGCGACTACATCTGGTCGATGCCCTGCTCCCACACTTTCCATCAGCTCTGCATCTTGGGCGACCGCTCCTGCAGGGTCTGTCACCCGGCTGCTCCCCCATCCACGGAGGAGAAACCGGAGGCCCCTCGGACTGTTAATTGATTGAATGAATTCTCGCGGAATCAGTGCTTGTTTAACTGATCAATGTCGTGGCGTGCAACAAATCTGCATTTCTCTGAAAATTGCAACAAACCTGCTACTCTCTGAATAATCTGAATTTTTTGTCTCCAGTTTTCCTGGGAATCCCTTATGGAATATTTCTTTTTGTCTCCAGTTATCTGTGAATCCCTTATGGAAATTTGTAACCGGATGTTTAAATTCACATAGTTATATATATTTACTTCTGCTTTCTTGATATTCAGTTCAATGTCTGTAATAGCTCTTTGGGTCTTAGTATATGTTAGCCTGGTTTTCTTGGGCCAAGCCAATAAGAGAAACAAAAGGGATCAACAGATTTGAGAATTCGTAATTCAGTGTATATATAGTTCCTGAAAATAATTCAGGGAGGGTGTCCATAAAAATGTTACAGCCGGTGATGATTGTTATCATTTTTTTTTTAAAAGTAGCTATGCCTATTTTCATTGTATTACTGTTTTATGTATGACAATGACAGTGTCCCAATATTTCCCAGAAATGCTCTAGTTTAACTAAACGTCAGGTTTATACACTCAGTGTGACACACATGTTGATGTATGGTCCCTTGCCTGATGAACATCAGTGTTCTTGGACCATATGATCTTGCCTGACGAACATCAGTGTTCTTGGACCAAATGATGCCATTCTATAAAGTTCCTACTGAGCTAACAAATTGCTGTCCTGACACAAAGCTGCATGAAGCAAATGACAGATTTATATATAACCAAGACTAGCACAATGCCGATGCTAAAGCTAGAAGGCAAGCAGAGTTTCTCATCTCAGTTCAGCCAATACTATCAGGTCAGAATACTAGACATTTTTTTAGTAACACAGTTGCTAAGCTAAAGGCTATCTCCAGGTTTACAAAATTGAGAGCAGCCACAACATAGTGTACATCTTTTCAGGACAAGGTGTCAACGGGTATCATGTATTCGTTACCCATGAAAGCTTACACCAAGGATATCAGTTTTTCATCTTCACAGAACCCACCCATGTAAAATGACTACTCAGTTGGTCTTCATAGAATCTTGTTTTGATGCTTCATTTGGTATCGTCTTGTAACTGCAGAATATCTCACTAGGACTAACCATTCAAACTGACAACTTTTTGCAGATCCCTGAAACAAGAAACAACACCTATAACTTCAGATAAGACATCATAGTTCTTATGATCTAAAATATGTAGACTTTTTTTTCTGAAAGATATGCAAGGAAGTTTGCGTAATATATTAATTTCCTATGAGCTAAAGCATCCACACTGAACTTTATCATAGCAGCCAGTTTTACCTTCATATCCAAGTACCACAAAAGTTATCCTCTTTCTTCAAATTTATCCTAGCGTTTGGTGATAACCTCTCAACCTTCTCAAGCTTCTGTTTTGCTTGAGAGAGTATGTCATCCGCATTACTTGTTGTAGACATAATGGTAAGATTTTCTATGGAAGCCCCATGTTCTAGCACCGCGGAAGCAATAGCAATTTCAGTTTCGCCTCCACCATAGTCAAACAACTTGAGAACTTGTAGATGTGACTTTAGGCAAGCTATGTCTTTCAATGCAGATGACCAATCATCAGAATGAACGTCACATTCCTCCTCAAAGTATACCTTATCTTCTCTCTGTAAAATCAGTAAATGGTTATTGGTAAGTAGAATCAAATCAAACAAGAACAAGCCATGAATTTCAAATGCTTACCCAAAGGACAAGTTCTTTCAGTTCTGTACAAGATCTGAAGAAATTCAACAATGCATGTCTGCCCTTTCTCTCTTTGAAAGCAATACTCAGCTCAAGTTTTCTAAGACTTGTAATAGGCACATGGCCCTACAGGAAATGCAAATCAGATTAGTTTTTTTTTGAGAGGTAAAGGGCAGGAGCAAAACAGATTAGATTTGAATATAGGCAGACACATGCTTCACAACACAATCAAATAACATCATCAACTTACCACATCTAAGTAAACATTGTCGATGCTTCTAGTCTGACTTGACAAGTTGAACCATACTTCTCGAAGCATAGGAGCTCCAAGAATACTTATCCATGTGGAAGACGATGTCCGACTTGAGAAAGATTTCATTCCCTGTGCTGCTCCAATAATGACCTTCTCAAGTTTTGGTGCCCATTGAATTGTAATGTGACTAACACTGGACCGCCAAATTTGGAGGAACTTAAGGCTCTCTGATCGGATTCGCTCCTTTCCCTCACTGAACATGCCAATGTCAAGCTCCCTAAGGCTGACACATTGGCAAACTAGAGCAAACAAATTCTCGTCGCTTATTCTGCAGCATGCCAAATCTATGACAGCAAGACTTGAAACATGATCGAGGTACATATCAGGGATGTTGAAAAAGCAGAGATGCAGAGTCCTAAGGCTTGAGCAATTAAGACTTTGAAGTGGGAACTCAATAGGGTGGGATGGCCATTGACAGTTTGCCATCACCACTGTCTCCACATTTTTCTTTCTTAGAACATCACACCACTCCTCAATCTTCTGTTGAGCACCATTGTTGATGACAGATGAATCAATTCTGAAATAACTAACAGGGCCAGGATGAGAGAGGAGAATCGATGTTATTTTACCTGACAAGTCGATTCTTTCATTGGGCATGCCACCTTGATCTTTCATTGCACGAACAAGGTCCAGATCATGAAAGATGAGAGGTTTTCCCAGCCATAGTTCATTCCAAGGACTAGAGACAACTGATCCATGTAGAGTGAGCTCTTTGCCAACCTCAAACGCGATCATCCCGTCGCTTCCATCCACGCTGCTGGGAAGTTGCTGAACTGAGCTCGAACCGGCTCCCTGATCCTCCACGCATGCATCCCCATGGGCTTGAACCGAAGCAGCGACATAGCCATCACCGGCGCGGTTCCCCTCCTCGAGCCTGCGGCCGCGGCCATCCTCACGCGCATCGCGGCGGAGGCGGACGCTACGTCCCTGATCACGCCCGGCGCCGATGCGTAGTTGGTGGGTTGGTGCGGCGTCCTTGCGCTGGCCAACGCAGCGCGCGTCCCCAAATCCATAGCCGCGGGCATCCTCATCATGCGCGCTGCCACCGCTGGGGCCTTGATCAAGTCCACCGAGGCCGCATGCTTGGCCTCGCGCGGCATGCCTCCCCTGATCGCTGCCCTCGAACTCGAACCCACAGCTATGGCCACCTTCCTCGCGCGCGACGCGCTTACTTCCACTGATCCCTGTTGCTACGGATGGTGCGGCGCCCATGGCATGCCTGCGGCCGCTGCTGCTGCTGCTGCTTCCGACCCCAAAATCGAATGCATGTTCGCGGCGGTTGTCCGCGACGCCGCTGCTGGTGCCTTGCTGTTGCTGCGTCGCCTGCGCTTGGCCGCCTCCACCGCTGGCGCTGGGCTCGCGATTCTCTCCCAAAACTTGGAGTCCATGGCTGCCGAAGCGGTAGTACATGGTTGAACTCGGAGCCCTCGGAAGGGAGCCGAGGGCAGCTTGTATAGAAGCGCGCTCCCCGGGGTGGGCGGTGGCGAAGGCCGCCATGGAAAGGAGCAAGAGCTCTCCTGGAGCTTCCATGGATTCGAGAGCCTAGGGATTGCCGTTTGCGCGAGGAAGAAGATGGTGGGGAGGGGTGGGGGGGGGGGGTGGGGGGGGGAGCGGGAGAGTTCAAATGAATGAGATGTCGTGAGGAGGACGGGAGCGGACGGGGAAAATGCAACAGAATTTATTCCAGCTGGCACCGCTCTTTATCTCGTCCCGAGTTCGTTAGTTTTGCTTCCAGAAGTTACTAAAAATGCATTGATAGGTGAAAACTGAAAAGTATTTTCAATTTGGACTCCCAGAAGGCGCACGTTGGCATTTTAGTTTTCCAATAGTATTTTGAATTACTTTATGCAACCGGGGAATTCAAGCAATACTGGAAGGTGATCACTGATATTCTTTTTCAATTAGATGGTCGCTGCAATTCTGGTACATGCAGGAGAGCCTTGGCGACAGCGTGAATAACAGTGCTTACATATCACCGATTTATTAAGCAATCACAAATGCGCATGGCATTGAGCATTGCAAAATGAAATGCAGCAAATGTGGATTGGGATGTAGTATTACAGGAACAACTACTACTAGGAGCACGCTTGCAGGACAGCAAGAGAGCTGGAGACAAAAATTCAGATACTAAAATCTTCAGGGAGATGCACACTTGCAGGAGCACGGCATCATTTGAACAAAGCATTGATCCTCGCATTCACTCGATCACTGCATGCTCCGGAGGGCCACCGGCATTGTGCATAAACCTGAATCCAGTATTCCAGTGCATACTGTTTTGAGGGGGAAATTTAACTATTTGCCACTCTTGTGACATGTCAATTAACGATTTACCACACCTTGTCAATGAAATGCCCTCATGTGTTTATGACATGTGGGCTTAGTGGCAAATCGTTAAGCACCACTCGTAAGAGTGGCAAATAGTTAAAAGCCCCGTTTTGAGGCAGTACCTATGTTTCTTCAATGACTCACGAATTCACGATAAAGATCACATACTTGTTGTATAGCCTCATCCTCTCCATATTTTGAGGTAAACTTTGGAGTTTCCACCTTGAGGGAGGATTGCATTGGACAACAACGACTGTAGCGGTATATGGAATCCATAAGTATTTGATATGTTTATTTTCAGAAAGCAGAAAAGATGGGGGTGAAATTTCAGTCAGTTTTCTCCAGTATAGAACAAAAAAACAGATAAACAAACCAATCCCAGACATCTATCAAGTGGTCAGAATTGAATGAGATAGCATTTCTTGTGGTTTGTTTCATCTCTAGCCGCGGCGTATCCTCTCAGTGCGATTGGTCTTGGGTTGGCATCGGGAATCTGCAGAGCGGGCAGCGATGGCTGAGGCGGAGCCAATCCAAGATGCAGGTCGCATGGAAGCAATGCGAGCAGGGCATCTTCGTCAGCTTCTCTCCCGCCTCGAAATCCTCCAGGCACACAGCGCACCCGCGTTCCCTGGCGTCGCTTGCCATCGCCTCCTGCAGTTCGACCATGGCCTTGCTCGACGCGGGGACAGCGCCGAACCCACCGTTCCTGTACGCATCCTCCTCCAGTACTCCATCCATGGCAATGGCAGTGGCAGTGCCACGGCGCTGACGCTGAAGAATATGATCGCGAACCTGATCAACAAGCTGCTGCAAGAAGTCGGCGTCCAGTTCTATGCGCCCCCGACGAATGTCAGACCTCAAGCGCTCGCGAATGATCTCATGAGCTTCTTCCTGCGTTAATAGCGTCCGACTACCTGGGCGGTACATCAAGTCGGTGTTAGAATGGTGGGATTAAACCACAAGTGTAAAAGAGGCACCCAAAAAGGTTCTACGCTCCCTAACGCTCCTAGTCGCCTAGGAGATCTAGAATGAAAGAAATCGCAGAACATTCCAGCATAAGGAGCTCCCACCGAGTGGTCTTCTGACAAAAATCAAGGACGAGGCCAAGATATGGGCCTTAGCAGGCGCGCATCATCTGAGAAATTGGCTTGTTCCTTAGTTGACTAGGGCCAAAGGTCTTGAGTATTTTTCTTTCCCTTTACGCTGTACAGTTTTCTCCTTATATATTCGATGAAATTGGCGGCTCGCCGATTCATTCAAAAAAAAAAGAAAGAAAGTATAACGGGGGAAGCCTTGGAAGCTCAAGTTCTCGATGGGAGGGAAATCTCTTGGTAGTGCTCTTGCGACCGCGGAGGCATCCACCTCCATCGATCTGCGGCAGCAACACACGCCGGAGGCGCTCACCGTACGTCCCCTGCAGAAGAGATCGCCAATGGTGGAGGCGAGCAAATCAATAGGCGGCCGGGTGGGGGGGAATGGATCAGGATTCACGAGGTAAACGAAACCAAGACACGATCGAGCCCCTACCTGCAGAGTTTATAGACGAAGAAATCGATCGGACTCCGTCTCCGCGTCCCGATCGAAATCGAGAGTGAATCCGACTCGGATCCACCCCCAAATCCCCAATTACTGGTGAAGCTTCCGTTTCACGTATTGAAAAATTTGTTGCCGTGCCGTGCGTCATGGGGATGATTAGGTCAGTCAAGTGGATGCTGTTAGTAGCCTGTTTCCGGCTAGCAGCATTATTCACGTGATTAGAGGATCAGCAATTCAGCGTTAGGATTTACTAATACACACGATTGCGGAAAAGGCAATTGCAGATTTACAGTCTTAACAGATACTTGCATATTTGGATGTGACCTGAGATTGTCTATCCTAATTTCTGCCCTGCGGCCTGCGCCCCTACTAACTTTGTGCTCACTGTCCTACGCTCCTGCGAGATCAGATGTTGAAGTTTATCTTGTAATCTTGTTTTCTTGGCTTTCATATGTCGTAGTGTCACGGTGTCAGTTGCATGCATAGAAGCGGTTTAAGTACAAGCAATTATCGGACATGGTGAGTTTGATCATCGATTCATCGTATTGTTTTTTTTGGTTCAAATTCAAATTTAAGAAAGAGGGCGTCTGAAGACGAGGAAACTACAAGCAAAACAATGGAGAAAGAAACTGGAATTAGTATCGTGATCAAAGGAGAGCATCGACGTAATCACACACCGCTTCAAAATTAACAAGTTCAACTTCTCCAAAAAATTTGGAGAAGTGCATTTGAACCAAACTGCATCATAGGTACATTGCTAAACTTGATCTTTACCCCCATAAATAGGAGGTGCGCGGTCAATTAGCATTGTTGAATCGTAGCTGTAAGACCTGTATCCATTGCTCTAGCTCAGCGTGCAGCTCCTCCAAAACATCGTTGTACGAGGACATCGCCGAGCGGCAGACGGGGCAGTTGTCTCTGATCGCAAGCCAACCGAAGATGCAGCGCTGATGGAACGAGTGCGAGCACGGCATCATCCTGAGCTCCTCGTCTTTCTCCCCGAAATCCTGCAGGCACACGGCGCACGCCTCCTCCCTCGTCTCCCCCAGCCTCGGCCGGTGCAGCGACTCCAGTCGATGGTCGTCGATGCCGGCTCGTGCCTGTAGCCGTCTTCGATCCATCTCTTCGCTAACGCTGGCCAAGTAATCCCGTAGCCATCTTCGCTGCCGCATCTCCCTGTGAGGAAGCTGATGATAGCGAGTGTATCGCTGTGCCTCCGGTGGGCTGTGCAGTAGCGTGTATCTTCTTCCCCGCATCATGGTCTCCACGCGGATCCGATTAGCGTCCCGGAGAGGCGGCCGGTTAGAATCGACACGTCGTGTGCGCTCCATTGATTGGTTTGCACTTTGCAGCTTAGCTTCCGTCCTAGCGATGGATACAAGATTAACGATGAGTCGATTAGAGACAACGGGTAGATGAATCTCGATTTCCTACTGTTTTGTTATAGGCAGAATAAGGCAGTATAGTATACGGATTTGATTCGTCTTCAGACGTGATCGGCATGGTATGTCGAGGAGACGAACAAAAAGATTGATATGGAGGTAGACTGCACGTGTTGGGCTTTAATTTCCGGGCATGCAGCCCATGACGGACATTAATGTCGGCCTGTTTAGCCCAGTTCGTAGAAGCATGGTGCAGCCCGGCAGTGGGCTTCCAGAATGGGCTGGCTTCCTTTGATCTCCGAACCCCCCGGCCCTCTGTTTCAAGCTCCCGAGAAGCGGGAAAATGGCGATCGAGTTGGTTGGGTATTTTGCAATGCCGTGCGTCACGTCGATGATTGGGTCAGTAGATGCTGTTATTACTTGCTAACAGCTAAAACTCACGTGCTTATAGGATGAGGATTAGAATTTAGTGCACACAAGTAATCTGAAAAAGGCAATTGCGGATTTACAGTCAACAGATGTTGAATTAGAGGAAACGTACAGTGTATTCTATTTTGACGGTGATGAGTTCATATGTTCCTTAGAGTTGCAAAATGTGATGATAAGGATGCTAGGTATGAGGACTGTGAAAAGATGATTCATGTTTTTGACAAAGATGGTGATGGCAGGATTAGCTTGGATGAGTTCAGAGCTGTGTGACTAAAACCTCTTTCTTGTTCAGTTTAACTGGTATAGAACTAGTATGATTCAGCTCAAGTTTATTGTTGGTTCATGTTAATGGAGATTCCTAAAAAGTGGAGCATTACTTTACTTATCTTCCCATACTAGCAATGTATCCCAAATTCACAATTGAGCTTCATAAATGAAAGGCGAAATTTGAAAGCACCCATATATTAATAGTCTGATTTGAAACACTACTAGAAATATGTTATTGAATTTTATGCAATGTAAATCTAGGATAGAATAATTAATATTAGTAGTTGAAAATATTCGTTTGTTACAGTAAATTCATTTTCTAATTTTATATTCTCTAACCTCATTAAAAAAGAAGGCCCCACCCCCAAAAATAGGATAGGCACTAGCGGTCGGAGATCAAAACCCCGAACCCCCATTGCCCTCTTTGATTCTTGTTTCAGTGGTATGTCCGAACTCTATCCTTACTGAACACATGAGGTCCTGGGTTCGACTCCCCATGGGAGCGAATTTTCCAGGATTTAATGGCATTGTGCTTTCAGTGGTAGGCGACGTACCCGTCAACAGCGAGGTGCCTGTGGTGACTTCGTCAATCTTAAGGATTTGCCGGCCCAGTCTTCGGAGATGCTCATAGGGTTAGAGTTTACGTACGTGCGTTCATAGGGGTGAGTGCGCATGCGTTGTGAGTGTCTCCGTTGTACTGAGTAATTCTTAAAAAAAACATATGCTGAAAAATATGAAACATATGTTTATAACCAATCTCTGCAAGATTATCTGAAATAAATATATAGAGATGAAACATTTGCACTTCGATCGAAGAACAGATTAGGCTGTCAGATTTACTACTGGGAGTATGAACCAGGTATATGAAGCCCAACAAGTGAAGAGTACACAAACTACACAATAACATGAAAGCAGGAAAAAAAAAGTGATCAGTTTTTTATCTGAACCAAAGAAAGAAATTTCTGTTGCACCATGACGTGGAAAGTAAGTGTATGTGTGTTGTGTGGTGTGAACGAGTCAGTCAATGCAGTCAACATTAACAAACCCCACACTGTCTCTACTAGTCTTCGTCGTCCTCGTCCTCGGGCTTTCCTAGTCCTTGCCGCGACGAAATCAAGCACATGCCGCTCACAGAATCAGTCTTGCAGACTTGCACTCCAGTACTCTTCTGGGAATTTGGCGTGAAATCCACCGAGCGACGCCGACGCAACCCCAACGTCTACAGAGAAATCTCAACGCGCAGCCGCGCAGCGCAGGCGCAATTTCTCAGTACATCACCACGCCGACTGGTAGTGAAGACACGGCGAGTGATCTCGATCGACTGGACAGTCTGGACTGCGAAGAACGCTTGCACTTGTGTGCAGCGACGCGCGAATTTCCAGGGATTTGTTGCTGCCACCTACCGGCCGGAGTCCATGGAGACAGCACTACTAGTCTACTACTACCACCGTACTATGAAGTAAGCAGATTAGTACTCTGCAGTCGCCGCCGTCCCCGATAGGGACAAAATGGCGGGGACTCCTGTCAGGTCAGGAAATTTGCTTGAAATCTTCCCGACGCGACGCAAACGCGGCAAGAAATTTCCCAAAACGCGGGTGCGGTCACTATTAAATCACCACCATTTGCTAGTGAAGTTCAAGAAAACAAACACATCGCTAGCAACAATTCGGATTTAGACGCGTTAGGAGGGGGGAATGGCCGCTGACGCTTACGCTGACGCCGCGCCGCCGCGGCGAGCTCCGGCGCCGGCGACTTCGACAGTGGCGAAGGAGGCGGAGTTCCTCTGGGAGCTTCGCAAGTATGTTCTGCTGCTGGCCACGCTCGCCGCCACCGTCACCTACACGGCGGGGCTGGACCCGCCGGGCGGGTTCTGGACGGACAACGTGGGCGAGCTCCTCGCCGGCGACCCGGTGCTCCAGAAGACCTACCCTCGCCGCTACAAGGCCTTCTTCTACTGCAACGCCACCGCGTTCGTCGCCTCCCTCGTCATCGTCAACCTCCTGCTCGTCCGCTTCCTGTGCCGCCGCCGGTGGTGGCTGCGCGCGCTCCAGGCCGCGATGACACTCGACATGTTCGGCCTCATGGGGGCCTACGCCGCCGGCAGCAGCAGGGAGGCGGCCATGTCCGCCTACATCCTCGTTCTCGTCATCTTGGTTTGCTCCTACGTCTCCGCCCATGTCCTGCTCTACGGGCTGACGGCGCAGGTGAGCGCGCCGGACGCGCCGGAGCGGGTGGAGCGCGCGCGCAAGTACCTGCTCATCTTCGCGACTCTGGCGGCGACCGTGGCGTACCAAGCCGGGCTGAGCACGCCGGGCGGGTTCTGGCTAGGCAGCCTGGACAACCAGCACCTCGCCGGCGACCCCATGCTCCGCGGCAACCACCCGTACCGATTCATGGTGTTCTTCTACTTCAACACCACGGCGTTCGTCGCGTCGCTGGTCACCATCATGCTGCTCATGAGCAGGACCGTGTCGCGCCACGGGTTCCGGTCGAGCGCGCTCTGGGTGTGCGTGGGCGCGGCCATGGTCGGGCTCATGGGCGCCTTCGCCGCCGGCAGCTGCCGCAGCTTCAAGACGTCCATCTACGTCATCGCGTTGGTGGGCGCCGTCCTGCTCTACATTGCCATCCAGGCCATGGTGTTCTTCAGCGAGCCCGTGAAGGATTGGCTCCACCGCGCCGGAGAGACGCTGCAGAAGTGCTTGAAATTGGATGAACTGGAGCAGCGAAATCAGCAGCAGATCACACTATCCAACCAAGGCAATGGCGACGCCTACCTTCTTCTCAAGAAATCTCGCATGTACTTGCTCCTGCTTGGGATTCTCGCGGCGAGCGTCACATACCAAGCAGGACTGAACCCACCGGGAGGCTTCTGGCAAAGCGATGGCACCGACGGTTACCGCCATTACCTCGCCGGCGATCCGGTTCTTCACATCACGTATCACCGGCGATACATGGTGTTCTTCTACTCCAACGCCACCGCCTTCATCGCGTCGCTGGTCATCCTCATCCTCCTCTTGAGCAACATGATTAGCACGCAGGGGATCAAGTACTGTGCGCTGCAGGTCGCCATGATTCTGAACTTGTTTGGCCTGATCGGAGCTTACGCCGCTGGCAGCTGCAGGCAGGCGTCCAAATCCGTGTACGTCTCGGTTCTTGTTCTGCCGGTGTTCCTATATGTAGGTATCCATGTCTTGGTGTTCATGCTCGAGGTATCTCCGACATGGGCGACATGGCGAGGACGGGTGAGGGAGAAGCTGAAGCAACGTATGCCTGAATGGCTCAAGAATCTGCTTGAGTTGGAGAAGCATGTCGAGGAGGAAGAGGAGGAGTGGAAGCTGGAGAAGAGGCGAAAGCTCCTGCTCCTCGTCGCGATTCTTGCAGCAAGCCTCACCTACGAAGCAGGCATGAACCCACCGGGCGGGTTCTGGCAGGAGGGCAAGTCCGGCCATGTCGGCGACCCGGTGCTCAACAACGACAACTACCGGCACCGCTACCTGGCGTTCTTCTTCTGCAACACGACGGCGTTCGTCGCGTCCTTGGCCATCATCATGCTGCTGGTGAACCGGAAGCTCTCGGCGAGAGGAATCCGGTCGTACGCGCTGCGGGTGTGCGTGATTCTTGTCCTCGTCGGGCTCATGGGCGCCTTCGCCGCCGGCAGCTGCAGGAAGGTGAAGACGTCCGTCTACGTCTTCGTCTTGGTCCTCGCCGTTCTGCTCTGCATCGCGTTCCAGGTCGCACTGGTCGTGTCGGGGTCGCTGCGACGTCTCGTCAACAGCCTCCTCTCCAAGCTAGGGGCGCCGCTTGAGGAGGACGCCGGTGAGCGGCTGCCGCACACGGCCGCCGACGAGCCTCGCGATCTCTGGGACGAGAAGCTCCCCAAATACTTGCTGCTCCTCGCTGCGCTCGCGGCGGCCGTCACCTACCAAGCCGCGATGAGCCCGCCCGGTGGCCTCTGGGATGACGGCCAAACCGAGCACATCGTTGGTGACCCTGTCCTCCTGACCAACTATGCACGTCGCTACAAGGCCTTCTTCTACTGCAACGCGACGTCGTTCATGGCGTCGCTGGTGATAATGGTGTTGCTGCTGATCAAGAGGGTGAGCAACACCCAGCCGGCGCTCCTGGCGCTGCACGCCGCCATGATACTGGACCTGTTCGGCCTCATGGGCGCGTACGCCGCCGAGAGCTGCAGGAGGGTGACGACGTCGGCTTACATCTTGGCACTGCTCGTCGGGGTTTCGGCGTACATCGTTGTTCTTGTGGTGGTGTCCATTGGTGTGGCGAGATGGATGAAGAAGGTGATGGACAAGGTGGGGGAGAAGCTCACACACTGCTTCTCCTTCGAAGATTTGTAGAGCCTAAGCCTGACTCCATGGCCCCTGATATGGGGCATCTTCCATTCTTCCCAGATGGATGGTGATCCTCTCTGTACAGTCACAACTCTGCCTGCAGAGAGAGGGGTTTTTCCTAGGATTTGTAGGAATTTCTAGTTTAGTTGTTTTCTTTTCTGTACATTGTTGTTTGTTTTTGAATTGTTGACAGCTTCCAGTTGCAATGTATGGAACCTTTTGTACTCATTGTACTAGCATAACTTGTAATGATTTGTTTTTTAGTAACATCTTGTAACTTAACTAAAAAAATCATAATTATCTTGAGGAGAATTTTGGAAGTCATTTTATTAAAAGGAAAAACAATACCGACTACTGGACGGTAAAATTGATTTAAGTATTTCTCGCATACCAACTATTTTGCTACAAGAGGAAATAAGTAAAACAAAAATGAAAGAACTGTTACATGGTCAACAATTTCTGTCCTACATCCTTTTCAAGTCAATTGACATGAGTACAATTACACTACTTCTAATTAGTAATTACACATGAAAAGATTTGGGAAATGTACAAAATCTATACACCCATCAGGGGCAGAAACCGTCAGACTAATTACGTATTGCCATCTACAACATAATGAATGAATGATCTTACCTACAAAATAGTCCTGGAAATGGCCAAAAAAACATCCATCAGCTGGTCGTTATGCTTTCTTCAGTTAAGAATTAAGAGTGTTCCCTTTTGTTAATGAAGTATTTACTGTAGGTCTTCACTAAAAGCCCTGTAAATGAAATCCCTGAACCTTTTGCAGTATTGCTTTGGATCAACAGCCGATATGGAGTTGGGATCATATTGCATGGATTTGTAGGCATGCTCAAGCTTCTTGCTGATATCATAGTCTTGTAGGATGTCAATGATTCCAAAGAACAGGATAACGTCCTGGAATTCCCCTGTAGGTTCGCCAATGAGCTGGGATTCACTTTCAGGATTCTTCACAACATTCTCCACCCTTGAGGGCATGCTGATCCCTAGCTTGACTGGTGCTTTTCTGCAAAATTATAAGTAGTGTGTTACTTCTTTGGAATCAATATTTCTCTGTACTAACTGTCAAAGTGCATATAATATAGAGGAGGCCGCTAATGCAGTAGAACAGAGAAACTGCTTTGTGAAAGCTTCTTTAGTGGTGTCCTGAAAGATAGAAGCTTCTTCAGATGAAAGCAGTGGCACTTCTTTTCAATTAAAAATTTATTGAAGAATAGTATCTAATATATTAGATGAAAAAGTTCACCATGTTCTAAAATCGTCAGGAAAGCAATTTGTTTACCTTTTTGAAATACGTATGACTGTATTTAACTGAAAATAGCCTATTATAACCATGTTTTAGACACAAATGCGTCCTGAAAACACACTACCTTCTTTCCTCATCTTCAAGAGCAGTTTGAGTTGTCTCGTTGTCAGGACTGCTGCTGTCTGTAACCATGAAAAAAGTATTTTCAGGCCCATGAATTAAAATGCATCTCCTCAAAAAAGATTGTAACTGTAAGTATTCAAAACAATCACTATAGTGTGAACATATCTTTGCATCGGTCTTTGAAGTGAACGCCAACCAGAAGACTGTAATCCATAATTCTCTCTTGCTCCAGAAACTCACAATCCTTGTCCAATTGCCTGGTATGAAAAAAAAATGCTTGCATATATTTAAGAATGTCTGCTGGCACAGATTGGCTTTGGAACCTCAAATACACTTATACTTTTTTGGAGAAATAATTTTCTAGTACAAGTAGTAAATAGAGAAAGGGGAACATTCTACATATGCAATTTGGGGAGAGCAAAAGTACCTGCAGAAATCTTCATACCATGATCCCTCTAACCGGAAAATGAAATTGAGATCAAGGTCCTTCAAAGTGGTAGTCTCATCGATTTGATCAATGGGTTTGTCCGTTGTGCGACCATGTGATGATCCTTTCAAATCAAAGCGTCTGTGGATTGAATAGTTGGAGCAGAAAAGATTCCCCATTATAACAAACCGAACCTGTAGTTATCAATGATAACAAAATATGAGCAATTGCCAGGCATCATTTTTTCTTATTACAGTTTGATCAATTGATCATAGCATATGCTAACCTTTTTCTGAATAGCTCCTGTAATTTTAACACAATGCAGGCCGAAAAATTTTGTTACTAGAGTATTATCAAAAGAACGAACGTGTTTATAATAGGCTGGAAGCATCCTCAGAAGTACCTGATCATAAGAAAAAAGATACAAATGCAACAGGAAATGTTGAATCTCTTCTAAATTAGCTAAACAAGGAAGAATGGAGCTTACTTTAACTTCTGCTTTCTTCATTGTTTTGATCATGTACTTGTCATCATTGGTGAAATAAAAGAAACTTCCACTTTTACCGGGAGATGAAAGCTCCAGCAGTGCATCATCCCCGCAAATGGAGAGCATGTAGTCTCCTGGGTCAACATCAAAGAGCTTGCGCAAAGTCCTGTGGTAAATTATACACGAACAAATCAACACCGGTTTTGAAGCTTCCAACAACAGTTAAGAGAATGAAGTTTACTATCTGTAGAACAAAATAAAGAAGGAACATTTAATGATATTGCATCCTGGATGCAGAGACTGGGATGTAATTTGCCTTCCTTATCTCAAAAACGACCACATATTTTACCACAGTAGCTTAATATACTGACCTGAAAACCAATGGACAGTAGTCCTTCCACCGGAAATCACATGACTGGTGAGGAGGAGTATGCTTTGATCCTTCAGGAGGAAATCTTGTCCACACCTTCTCTTTCGGATCAAATGCTGATGATTTAAGATCCAATGAAGCAGGAGCTGACTGCCTTCCTACAGCATGTCTGTATCCCCAAATAACATGATCAACAAATGTCAAATGCATCGAATTTACAAGACCAATTCATCAGCATTCAGAAAACAACAATAAATCAAATGGCAATACGTGTAATAACATTAGTAGACAACATGAAGCAAATCATCCCACCTGATACCCAGCTGCAAGTTGAGCATCAGTTCGTAGTTCTTGTGCCCCTTGGAGATGGTCTCCCCCTGCTTCTTCCCCGGCTTCGGCAGCGTCGGCGCGCGCATACACGAGGGTGTCCGCACCCATGACCTGTCGTTGCGACTCTCCTCGCCGCCGTCCTCCCCCTCAACCAGGCTGTCAATATCGGACGACATGCTGTTCCTCCCTTGGTCAGCTCCGACCTCCGGCGGCCGCCACATCCCTTGGTCGGCGGCGACCTCCGGCGGCCGCCACACCGGCTTCTTCGTCACGGGCTCCACCCCTGGCCATGTCAGCACCTTCTGCGACGGCAGCAGCGACACCGTCTTCCCCTCGGACATCTCCAGCTCCTCGAGCAGCTTCGTGATCACCTCCTTGGGTTCCCGGGGCAACGGCACCGCCGGGCCACCGGACGGCGGGTAGTACACGCCCTTGCCCTGCGTCTCGCCGGACTCCTGGCACCACAGGCCGATGTACATCCCGCCGTCGGACCACCGGAACGTGCCCTGCCCCTTGGGCTTGGCGTCCTCCCACGCGCCGTCGTACCGGTCGCCGTCCGCCCATATCACCGTCCCGCGGCCGTGCATCTCGCCGGCCTTCCACGTCCCGATGTACTCGTGGCCGCCGCGCCAGATGTACCGGCCGTGCCCGTCCTGCAGCCCGTCGCGCCAGTGGCCGTCGTACACGTCGCCGTTGACGTACGCCTGCGTGCCGCGGCCGTGCCGGAGGTTGTTCGCCCACAGCCCGGCGAACGTGTCCCCGAGCTCGCCGATGTAGGTCCCCTGGCCGTGCATGTACCCGCCGGCGAGGTCGCCCTCGTAGATGGCGCCGGACGACCACGAGAACTTGCCGCGGCCAGCCGCGCGGCCGCCGCGCCACGACCCCTCGTACATGCTGCCGTCCGTCCAGAGATACTTGCCGGCGCCATGGGGGAGGTCGCCGCGCAGGTCGCCCTGGTAGAAGTCTCCGCTGGGCAGCAGCTGGTCGGAGTGGCTGGGCTCGCCGAGCGACGCCTCGTCGACGTCGTCGTCGTCGGTGTCAACGTCGTCGAGGACGGAGTCGATGTCGTCGTCGCCGTCTTCGTACTGGTAGATGGTGTTGGAGGTGGAGGAGATGACGGAGAGGCTTGGCGTGAGCGTGACGGGGTCACCTCCGGTGGCCGCCGCCGCCGCCGCACCATCGAAGGTGCCGCCGGAGGGGACGACGGAGCCGCGGAGGATGGTGGAGTACTTGAGCTTGCGGATGCTCGCCTCCCACAGCCGGCTGGCCGGGGGAGGGAGCGGGTTCATCTTCTTCCCGGTCGCCGTCGTGGCGTCCTCCTCCGAGCGTAGCTCAACGTGACAGGGTGGTCAGAGCGAGGGTGTGCATGGCTGGCGATGGATGGGTGGCGCGGTGGAGGGAGCAGGGGCGGGCAAGAAAATGTGTTTGGATTGGTTGGAGGCTGGGAGGAGTTGTCGGGGTGGATGGCGCTGCGCCGCGCACGCCGAGGAGAGCTCGGGGGGCGAAGCATTTGGAAGGAGGCAGAGGCAGCGGTGAGGCAGAAAGACATGAGTGCTCTAAAAATAGGCAAGAGAGACAAATAGCAGTAGTAGCATCACCATTTCTGCTTCGGTATTGGGGACTTTTGAAATGTTTTTCCATGGCAAAAGGCATCATTTGTCTTCCCAAGATTCAGCACGTTGACTTCAGTTTTGGGGCTAGCGTTGTTCAAATGCTCAGGTCAAACAGTAGATACTCCTTTCCAATAGTACTACTCCAACATGTGCATACTAGCCTACGATGAAATCGCAGACCAAAACTGATGATCGAACTGCTATCAGGACAGGATAGTGGGAGCTAAGGAACTGAACCTGATAATAACTAAATTATCTGTCTCAACAACAATCTAAAACAGCAACCACGATATTCATGTACAGTGAATTACGTAGTATCACCAATAATCCAGTATGCAAATCTAATAGATATTACAAACTAACAGCCAGAACAAAGGTAACAAAACGACTTGGGTCACCTCGCAAGAAATTTTAGGTTGTGTCTAGTTTTCACTAGGTCAGAGCTCATATAGTGGCAGAAAAGCATTACATCAAGCAAGAGAACATTACAAAAGAGTACTGTTTGGAAATCTAACCCAGTAAAATCATAGATACAGCTCCAAAACAATCTGACATCAGTAAACTGCATTCAACCCACATTCTGCTTAGAAATCCATCTTCAACCGGCTCATATTTCTGTCCAAGAAATATCATCTCCAACTTGCATGCAAAAGCAAAACTCAAGAACATTTCCCAATACCTGTTGCTGCTCAAGCAACTCTTCAAGCATCTCCTGCCCTCTCCTTCTCTTGATCACTTCCAAAGGTCAAGGTCACATAAGTTGCAAAATAAAAAGGAGCACAATCAGTAAGCAACAAGACCAAATGTTTTTTGAACCCGAACAAAACCAAATGTCATGCCACTAATACAGTATTATAAATGTCCTGCACTTCAAACAAAAATCTGCACTCCACGGCATTTTGTTCATAATCAAACGAATGAAAGAATTGAGATAATCAGGGAGGTAATATCAACCTAAAGCATTTGTTTCTTGTAATTGAAAACCATGTTTCACAAAAGTCATAACTCATGAGTATTCTTGTGAGCATCTGCCTACAAAATTGAATACTACTTGATCAGTAACTCACATGTATTGCATCAAGGTAAGAATATGCCAAGTTTGACATGTTTTATAGTGGAATTGCTAGCTACAGCAGATGATTTACTGTATAACTAGCACATGTACAGATATACAGGTCAATCTTACTGAAACTGAAAGTAACCCCACAGGGGCACTACCAATTGTCATGCCCTTTAGCCCTTACAATATTTATCATAAATCCTCTAAAAGAAGATGATCAATACAGTGCTCTAGTCTAGGCCACTACATTTGTAAAGTTCTGTACATGTGCATCTGAAAAACATACATAGCAACATTCCGAACTTATACGAATTCAAGAAATAATCTGAACTAGTCTGACCAAATATTTCTGAACATTTCAGAAATAATCTGTACAAATATTTCCGAACATATTTGAACATTTCAGAACTAATCTAAACAAATATTTCTGAACATTTCTGAATTGCTAGCTAGCACAACATTGCTAAACATTTCTAAACCAAATCTGAACAAATAAAATTTTCTTTGATGCAGAACAAAGCCAAGCAGGAGTTCAGCACATATGCGGTATGGTCAAGCTTAGCATTGGCTACATGATGATTATCAATTCCTTTAATTACCATGAATTGTTCATGTAAACCCCCAAGCCCAGCTATCCAGTAGCATAAACAGTGTTGTTTACTCTGGAAAAATATAAAGTCCATTCCTTCCTAAGTTCCAATGAGAACTTCAGCCCTACAAGTGTCTTCAGAACAGAGAACAGCATGATTCATGATCCTCCTATAGTCTAGTCTATCTAGGTACTTTGGTGAATCCTGAAACATTTCGAACAGTCAAACATGCATGGTTGCGGCAATTTTTGAGATACGCCATCAAAATATAGTAATCAACTCACTTAGTTTTCATAAAGAACTAGTAACCGTAGACTATGCTTCCAAAAGAGATCAAACCTTGCTCATTGGTGATAGTGGTAGCGATATTCCTCCAAAATGACCAGCAACGATTCGGCAATGAGCTACTGTATGTCCAGTGTCCAGAGATGCTTCAGTAATCAGTAGTTCAGTGATTCAGTCACTCCAATGTGTCCAGAGATGCTTCAGTAGTTTAGTGATTAAGTCATTCCAATCTGGCATCCCTCTTCATCTCTTCCTCCCTCTTGATATCCTTCTTCTTCCTCATCTTCACCCTCGGTTTCATCGGCCGATGCTGCAAATGCTCAGCCTGGAAGGCAACCATCGCCCTGAGCACCCCCACCATCGTCTCCTCGATCTCTGCTCCCCTCCCCTCCGGCTCCAGCAGCCGCAGAGCCCTCGCGACGGCCTCCATAGTGCTCACGCACCCCTTGTGCGGCTCCTTCTTCACCACAAGCTTCCCCTCGAACATGCTGTCGCCGTCAACGCCGCAGTCGACGGGCAGCGAGACGGGGACGGCGAAGGAGGACAGGAACGGGAGGCTGGCGGCGTGCATCTCCTTGGCCTGCTTCCATGTCCCATCGAGCAGTAGCAGCGTCGGGTTGGCGCGCGCCGCGGGAGGCGTGGATCGGCACCAGGAAGCGAGGTCGGCGGCGCCCGGCGAAGGGAAGAGCAGGAGGACGGGGTTCGGGATGAGGGGGCCGGAGGAAGGGAGGAGGCGGCGGCCGGGGATGAGGCGGAGGTTGGAGAGGGAGCGGGCGAGGAGGGGGAGGGTGGAGAGCGGGTTGCGGCGGAGGGCGTGCGGGTGGTGGAGGACGACGACGGTGGTGGAGGTGGGGAGCGGGGTGGCGGGAAGGTATGGGCAGAGGCAGACGGTGGACGGGCGGCCGCAGCCGGAGCTGCAGACGGCGCGACCGGGAGGAGTCTCGTCGGCGGTGGCGTCGCCGGCGGCGGAGGGGAGTGGCTCGAAGTCCATCCCGATTTTGGCTAGTAAGCTCGGCACTTTCCCATGTTTAATCTTTGGCCCATTTCACCATTTGGTCTGGACACAATCTGGCCCGGTTATATATGCTTGGGCCGAGGTTACACTGGTACACAATTTTCCCTTGTATTTTTCACAAGGAATAAGTCCACTTTGACTCCCTTGCAAAACCGGATATCTCGACCCCCTGAACTATTGAAACCGGTGCAATTTGACTCCCTTGGTAGCTTTGGAGGGCGGTGGCGCTGACGTAGTGATGTTGACCTAGTATGTGGAGTTGACGTGGCGCTTAGGTGGCATTTGAATTAAAAACGTATATGTGGGACCCGTTTGTCATTCACACACATAAAAAATTGTGGGACACACTGACATGTGGGCCCCACATGTCATCCTCCTCCTCTCTTTCTTCTTCCTCCCCTCTTCCTCCCTTCTCTCTTTTTTTCTCTTTCTCTTCTCTCCCCTTCGGTCGGCCGCGGGGAGCACAGGATGGAGCGGCGACGGGCAGGGTCTAGAGCGCGGCGGCGGCGGGAGCTGAAACTAGGCCTGATAGGCATTTCTAAACTTAAGAAAATATACGACTTATACGGCAGGTGGGGGCTAGAGCGGCGGCGGCGGCAGAAGCTGAAACTAGGCCTAATGGTACCGATCCTGAGACACTATGTCATGTCCGTTATACTCATGTCCATTTCTAACGTTAAGAAAATATACGACTTATATTTTTCCTAAAAAAACACTCGTGAAAGACACCGCGAAGATTATATTCATATTGATATGGCAAGAATACAAATTACATTGTAGCACTATATAACCTGCTAGGCTATAATTAGAAAAGAAAAGGCCACGTCATACATCTACAATACAAACACCATGTCTCATATGCACTCAACTCCATCCACGTCTTTGGATTGGAGGGGGAGATGTCTAAGAGATAATAGTGGATCTGCTCTACCTTGCTATCCCTGCTGCAAGAGGACAATCCCTTTGAAGAAAAAGTTTGATAGGAAGTAGACCTTCAAGTGACGCCTCTAGGACCGACGACAAATGATAATGAGTAACAATTGGACGGTGTTTTTTTTTTACCAATTCGGCATAGAAATCATAGGCACACTAACTGCCCAAGCAACCAATAATCATAGGTACTCGTATAGTCATGTGAAAAAACAAAAGAGACAAAGCTATTGTCCTACTGTATTTAATTTATTGGAAAAAGAAAGACTATGTATTACTTCTATATAGACATGTTGACAATTCATTAAGATTAATATATTCTAACTTTCTACAAATTCATTAAGAGCAAAAGACAACTTAATTTGATATTTTCACAGCATTAATTTCCATTGGTTTCGAAATTAGTTTCACTTCCTTAATCTGATTCTATTATTGTCTTGGCAAATATTTGGAGACTCCTCTGACCTGTTTCACCTCTTATTGCCTCCTCATGGATCTTATGTTTGAAAGAATTTACTCTCTCTCTTATCTTTGTTGCTACCTCATTGTCTCCCATGACAATCTTGACACTCTTTGCCAACTCTGTCCCCACTATTACTCCTTCGTCATTGCGATACACTCTAGTGCCAACCATCCATTCCTTCTCCACAAGATATGCAATTGTGGGCTGGTCTGACCAATTCGGCACAGCAACCATGGGCACACCAAGTTCCAAGGCTTCTAAAGTCGAGTTCCACCCGCATTGTGTGACAAAGCATCCCACGGAGGGATGGGACAACACATCTAGTTGGTCACACCATTCGATCACCATCCCATTGTGATGGTCATCAATGTTATCCACCAAATAGCTCAAATCTTCTTCACGCCCATCCTTACGCACCACCCACAAAAATGGCCACTCACACTCCTGCATGCCGTGTAATATCTCGTCTACCTGTCGCTTGCTATATGTGAGTATGCTCCCAAATGATATGTAAACAACAGACCTCTCTGAATGTGTATCAAGCCACTCCATGTAGTTCTTCTTATCCCGCTGGAACATGTGGATTCTTTCTTTGGCTGACCCAGCCACTAAGTGGCCAATGGTAAACACCTCTTGGAAGTACGGCTGCACGGCTGTGAGCGTGGCAGCCTCCAAAACATTCAATGTGTTCACAAGAACCTTTGGCTTCTCTCTATCCATGAACTCAAACAACTCTTGAAAGCCTTCAACAACAAAACTGGACAGCTTGTCGTTTGTCACATCAACAAGGAAGGATGGTAAGCTACGGATGCAAAGAGGTTGCATTCCAGGTAAGACCACTTCATACGATGGGTCAGAGGCATGTGATGCAAAGAGCTCTCTGTAGCCGTGGTAGTAGTGATAGTAAGCTGCAAGCACGGTGGCCGGCTGGTTCCAGAACACGACTAGCGGGATGCCATTCTTTCGTGCGACATCGAGCACCGGAGGCATCGCCATGGTGCACACGATGCATGTGACGGGCCGACCACGAGCGGCGAGCTGAGAGACAATTGCTGAGAGGCTTTCAAAGCTTGTGCAGCGGCTACGTGCCCTCTCGTCGCCAGAAAGTATGCTCAGTTTGGATATGTCGTCAAAGCCGTCAGAGAAAGGAACATAGGAGATAATACCGTCGGTGGTCTCCTCGTCAGGGGAGGCGATCAGCGACGAGAACATGCGGCGGTGAGCAGAAGCGTGGATGGAGAGAGTGCACATGACTGAGGAGGCGTCAATGCTAGCGAGACGGTGGGCAAGGTTTTGTGCAGGGTTGATGTGGCTTTGGATGCCGTAGGCTACAATAAGGAAGTGCGTTGGTGCTGACGGTTGAGGGCCATCGCAGGTGTGTTGGTTGGCTGCGTTGGCCATGGAGGGAGGATTTGGAGGCTAGCTGTTCAATTTGTACGTGTTTCAGAGATGATTGTTGCAAAGATTGTGGGTGATCGGGATTGTCTAATGTCCATAAGTTCTGTATATATACACACTCCATAGACTAGTTGCCAATGGTTTTAGGAAGCACGCGCATATGGTTTTAGTTGCCAATGGTTAATTAATTTCAGGAAGCACGCGCATATGTTTTTTTTAAGTATCTAGGTAGATAATTATCAAGTATCTTTCAATATCACCTGTTGTTGTCATTAGTCCACTTGAAATTTAATTTTGTCAGTTGTCTGATTAGATTTGCAAAGTAGATTTTCTGAGCTTATTGCAGAGAGCAATAATGGAATGCATGTGATGTTAGCACTGACGTATATGTACTCACGTTCTATCACCCAAAAAAAAACTCCATCCGTTCTAAAATATAACTGTTTTTTTACTTTTACTAAAAATATCTATAAAAGAAATATGTTTAAATAAAAAGAGTTACATATTATGATTTTTTGTTTAAGGATAAATCTAGTAACATGAATTTTATATAATTGGTTTTTTTATTCTTTTGCTATTAATAATAGTTAAAGTTAAAGTTGTTTAACTTGTCACTATTTATATTTTGAGACGAAGCCATTGTGATAGGTTTCTTGTTTCGTGCTGTCTTTGTTGTCACATTAATGGGGCTAGCTGGGATACATGAGTAAAAGACAAGCTAATCAAGAAAAGAGAAGAGTAAAAAGGACCAGCTACCTAGCGTTTTGTGCAGTACTATATGGATCTTCTTGCAGTTGCAAAATCTGAACGACTGCTCAAATCACAAATGCAGCATAAAATATTCAGAACAAGTGTCAATCCAATCAGGCCCGTTTAATTGGTGAAATAAAAAATTTTGGACGTCACATCGAACGTTTAACCGGATGTCGGAAAGGGTTTTCGGACACGAATGAAAAAACTAATTTCATAACTCGTCTGGAAACCGCGAGACGGATTTTTTGAGTCTACTTAATCTGTCATTAGCACATATGGATTAATGTAGCATTTATGGCGAATCATGGACTAATTAGGCTCAAAAGATTCGTCTCGCGATTTACATGCAAACTGTGCAATTAGTTTTTCTTTTTATCTATATTTAATGCTTCATACATGTGTCAAAGATTCAATGTGATGTTTTTGGGAAAGTTTTTGGGAACTAAACAGCCCCTCATTTCCAAAATCTTTTTTATCCGGCATTAATTTGGAACCGCGTGCATCTAAAGCACCCTTTACTAAAATCAATGTAGTTGTATGCAAACCTAAAGCAATAGCATGATGAACCAAGAAATCTCCGGGTCCTATTATTAAGAAAAGCGAATTACTATTCTCGTTAACAGCATTCAACCATCCGGGTAACCATAGGGTTCGACCCGCATTGAAAGCGGGACCGCTCGTTGAAGATAAGAGCAGTATAGGGGTGTCTAGATCCAGGGGCGTAAAGTTTTGGTGTGTCACATTAAGTATTATATAGGGTGTCGCATGGGGTATTCGGGTACTAATAAAAAACTAATTACAGAATCCGTTAGTAAACCACGAGACGAGTTTATTAAGACTAATTAATCCGTCATTAGCAAATCTTTACTGTAGCACCACATTGTCAAATCATGGAGCAATTAGTCTTAAAAGATTCGTCTCGCAAATTAGTCGCAATATGTGCAATTAGTTATTTTTTTAGCCTATATTTAGTACTTTATGTAGGTGTTCAAACGTTCGATGTGACAGGGTAAAAAATTTTGAGGTGGGATCTAAACAGGACCTATCTTTTCTTCTTGAGTTACGCTCCGGTGCTCTCTACTTGAAGTATTCTACTACAAGTAGAATTAATCTCGACCGTTAATTTTATAAGATAGATTAGTAATCTCCTAATATAGTTTAGGGATAATTTTGGTATGGGATGTTTTCTTCGCTTCTTCGCATCAGGTCCGACGCATTGTATCTCGCCCCGACGCATGCACCGCATCTCCCCGATGCAGGTTTTCGCTTCCTCCCGGCAGGCAGCGGCACGGCAAAAATCACTGGCGGCGCGGCCGGCGGCGCTGCCAGCGGCTCGGCGCGGCGAAATCCTCAATTTGCAGACGTGTTTGATTTGGTAATTGAGGAATATAGTCTTAGGAAAGCATACTAGTGGGCTGCCTGATTTCTCTGTTAAGACAGATGCTTATGTTTCTAATCTGATTTCACTGTACAGCCTGCGATTGATCTCAACAAGAACGATCTTTTGGATGAATGCTACAAAAGGATGCTGGAAGACCATCTGAACGATATTTTGAGAGACGATATAGCTTTAGTTTGTCACCTTAGTGACGGAAAGGTGAGATAGTGTAATGTCAGGAACAAGTTTGATTGTCAGGAACAACCTTAGCTAGTTAGCTTTATTCTCTATCTTTGGATCAGACAGTTGTAGTATCGAGATGTCGACTAGAGAGAGGTGAATAGGCGATTTAAAATTAAATGATACCTAATCAAAACTAACCTAAGTTGCTAGGCTCGGTGAGGGACAAGTCTAACTAAGCCACTCACAAACCGGCACCGGGCCTCCTCCACAATCTTCTCGGAGAGGTCACCGGGCAACACCTCCACAAGCCGTCTAGGAGGTGGCAACCTCCAAGAGTAACAAGCGATGACCCGGCTCGGAGATGATCAAGTGCCACACTAACTCTACAATGGAAGAAAATGCACTTGACTCTTGGCTAGAACAACCTCAACCACTACCATGGATGAACACTAAGCTCAAATGTGTGTGAGAGAGGTGCAAAGGGTGTTATGCAATTGAATTGGGTGCCAAGAGAGCCCCCTTGCTGCTGGAGGGGAGTATTTATACTCCCACCAACCAAAACTAGCCGTTGGGGGCGAAATCCCCCAACTCAGTGCTCTGCCGGTCTGACCGGAGGTATGTGGCCGGTCAGACCGTGCTACTCTGCAACCGTTGTAGCCCTGTCAGAGGGCCCCATTGGCTTGGCCGGTCAGACCGACGTTGAGTGGCCGGTCAGACCGGCCTCAGCTCGGTCTGACCGAATACGGCTCCGTCGGCTCTGTAACGGCCACCCCAAGCAACACCATTCTGGCCTCCAGGAGGCCGGTCTGACCGCATAAGTGTCGCCGGTCAGACCAGCCTAACACACCGGTCAAACCGCCACTGTCTGTCCGGTCAGACCGCCACTGTCTGGCCGGTCAGACCGGCCAGGGCCGCCAGTCAGACCGCCACTATGTGGCCGGTCTGACCGCCCCTAATCAGGCTGATCACAGTAAATACATATGTGTGTGTGATGAAAATGTGAGCACAAGTCTAAATGCATAATGACCTAATGTGGCAATTAAAATCATCTCTTTGCTAGGTCATTACCCCTCTTAATAGTACGGCAAAGCTAAAAAATAAACTAGCAAATTTGATCGCCCTTCACCTCGATCAATTTAAAAATTAAAGCACTAGTTTTACCGTCTTCTTTCACTTCACTTTGCGCCGTCAATTTTAATCCTTCGATAATCATCCATGCGCACATATGACGTGGTACTAACACAAAATATATAGCTCAAAGACAACGGTTAGTTCATAATTAGCGCTTGTCATTAATTACCAAAATTAACACCGGGGGCCTAGATGCTTCAACAGTAATACTATGCAAAGTGAGACTGGTTAAGTCGCAGACAGCTGCTTAATCACGGTGCGATTAGGGCTAATCTTTTGCATCTTTTTGGTGATCCATAGTTTCGTGGTTTTGCGATTTAATAGCGTCTACCAGATATTTCCCGTTTGATCGTCTTGATGGCTTGCGGGTGTGTGCAATGATCAAATATTTGCTGTCAAAATATCACGTGACTGAAAATGCAGCCAACTCTGATTGCTAAACAGTACATCATCTCTGATTAGCAACAAAGTGTGCAGTTTGTGACATCAGTGTCCATGAAAGCTTCCAGGCTTTCCCCTGGTTATTGCCAAAAATATAGTCTTATTTCTCCTTCTCTCTAGAATAATTTTGGTAAGTTTACAGCGTTTGGCAGGAGGAACGCACAAAGACTGCATGAGTGTGCACAAAATCTGTCCATATTTTCTCTAAATTTGTACTTTGTGTTAGGTAGTACATTTGTGGGCATTCGAAATGCCCAAACGAGATTAATATAAGGTGCGGTATTTCTTGTAGCAGGAAACACACACCAAGCCAAACCAAAGAGCAAGCCAACATGCTTGTGCTGTATTCAGAGGTGCAGTATTTGTGCAGTGAACAAAAGTCATCTCACATTGCTGTCCCTTGATAATCCATGGATGCCATCAGTATTTCACATCTGAACATCCGCGCGTGCTCCTCCACGGCCATCATCTCCGCGCCACGCTGCCGGTGCAGCGGCTCGCCGGTGCTGCACATCCTGGCGAGCTGGTCCACCGCCGTGGAGACGAGGTCGACCACCAACTGCTTGTCCTGCTCCTGCACGGGCGCCATGATGGCGCCCATATATGCCACCGAGTCGTCCGCGGCTATCTGCTGTGGCACGACGGGTGGCGGGATGAGGTCGCCGCAGCCTATGGCCGGCGCCTGCTCGGCGAGGGAGATGGGACGGCGATGGTGACAGGGATGGAGGGAAACGGGCGACTGAGGAGGTGGACGGGAGTCAATGGCGTCAATTAGGATAATGATAAATTACGATAATACTCCTACATGAATTATTATCTCTGGATAAGTATACCCCACCACGTTTCTACTACCACTATACCACTAAGTTAGGTGGTAGTAGAACTAGATCTCAACCCTACGATTAAATACGATCAACGGCGCGGATTACTTTCTACTGCAAATAGAAAGCATTGGAGTGGGGCTCTTTCTTCTTTCGTTTCTATTCATGTACAGTTTAGAAATGATTTTTTAAATTTGAAATTTTATTTATTGAAATTTAAAAAATAATTTTTGGTTTCAAAGTTTTACAAATCTACACCCCTAAACCTTTCTATGACGTTACAACGCACCAATGAATATGTGCCCGTCATAAAAAAAAACCTGTTTGGAAGAGAGAGCGTTAGGGGTGTAAATTTATAAAACTTTGAGAAAAATATTTTGTAAATATTTTAATAAATAAAATTAAAACTTGAAAAAAAATCCTGAAAAAACCGGGGAACTGTCTACTGGAGTACAGCCCATCAAAGAGACGAGGCCCATAGCCCATCGGCCACCACAATCCTTCTCGATTCTTCTGCTCTCCACCGAGAGGAGCAAGGCGAACTGCAGGCGGAGAGGCTGGGCCACACGATACCCTCCTCTCCCTTCCCTTCCCTTGCCGCTTCCAACTCCAAGTCTCGCTGTGATCAGGAGCTAGGGTTTGTGCGATCTTCGGGAGGAGGGGAAGATGATCGAGGTGGTGCTGAACGACCGGCTGGGGAAGAAGGTGCGGGTGAAGTGCAACGAGGACGACACCATCGGCGACCTCAAGAAGCTGGTGGCGGCGCAGACCGGGACGAGGCCCGAGAAGATCCGCATCCAGAAGTGGTACAACATCTACAAGGACCACATCACCCTCAAGGACTACGAGATCCACGACGGGATGGGCCTCGAGCTCTACTACAACTAGACGCCGCGCCTCTGGTAATTTCTGTTTTGCAGTTCTTGTTAGGCCCTTTCTTTTTTGATGCTAGGCTCTTGGTTGATCAAATCGTGCTGTGGATTGAGAAACGCTTCGTTCGTACTTGGAATTGAGGACTAGGTACGCTTAATTTTTGTCTAGGAATCATGAATTGGGCGGGCTTTATTTGGGTATCAAGTCGTGTACTAATACTCTGATAGCAACTTCTGTTCCGCTATTTAGTTCAGTCTGTGCTTGCATATGCTGTAGCTCTGGCCGATTGATTAGGATGCTTCTTTCTGGTATTGTAGTCATTCGTGTCCTCATCATTTGCAGAATAGAGGGATATGATGAACTCTCGCATGCTGACTGATTACTGGCGAGGCAATTAGGAGGATTAAATGCGCGCTCTTGTAATTCTACATTCTTTGGTTCCAATATAAGCTATGGGTCAATCAACTAGACATTGATGAGTGGATATTTGCTGGTACTGTTAGTTACAAAATGGGTTTAGATTATTTTATGATGTTTCATGTTTGTAATGACCTCTGGCAAATTGTGTTGTATTCACTGGTGTCCCCAATTTCCCCTCTTGTTATCTTTTGTCAACTATTGGTCAGGTTTTAGCTTTGTGGCTTTAGAAATTTGTGAGGATATGCTCAACACCGTGTGATGCCTCCCCCCTCCCAGCCTCTATTTAGAGATTTCCTAATCCAGTAATTTAGTGCATTATCCAATGCATACCATTTGTTTCTTGTTTGAATGCATTAGAATATCGAGATTGGCAGGTTAATTAGGGTGTAATTTGAGAATCTGTTGGGACCTGAGTTAGTATAGGGTATTAGGGTTGTCTTGGTTTGTTGGCTAGTTATGATTAATATGAATGGACATGTAAGTATGTAACCATGTGCCATAAATATAATATCCAGGAAAGGAAAATCCTGGCAGCCGGTACATTCGGTACTAGAAAAAAAAATTCTGATTTGCAAGTTCTGCTGTTCAGTTATTGTACTTACATTAGCCTTTTAATGTTGCATAAGTAACATAGGTGCAGGCTGAAAACTATAGAAGCAAAGCATCCTCCTTTTTTTATTCTGTTATATCCTTATAATTTCAAACAGTGTCATCTGTCTTTGGTGTTGTCTGTTGTGGCCAGTCACTCATACATCATTATTTTATCACATATTCAGTTGTTCATGCATTGTGAGTTGTCTAGTTATTGATATCGGAAATTGTAGCTAAATGCAGCGTGGATAAAGTAGTTTGATTAGTGGTGTTATTCTTGTGTTGATGATCTCATTATCCTTCATATTCCTGTGATGATGGTTAAACCTATAGTTTCCATTCCTTTGGCATGTAATGGGTTAGCATCGATATGCCAAAGTAACTTGTTAAACTTTGAGCATGGACACGAAAAAAACCTGGCATATAGGTGTTTAAGATATTGCTTTGTCCTTTTCTGTAGCAGCATGCTAAGTATTGACTGGATATAGCTGAATGGTTATATGGATAAAACAGTTAGCATTTGATCACATATATAGTGATCACACCTGAGGCCTGACAAATCTGGTTTTCCACTGGCTGCATCATAGCATGTGTTAGTTACTGGAGAAAGATCTGAAAAAACGAATCATACTTGTTGCTGATTTTGTTCAACGAAAGGGTTCTCTGTGGACTGTGGAGCAGAACAATTTATACAAACGGGCTAGTTGGTGAATGCTTGAATTCGAGTATGCCACATTGAACAATAAGCTGGAGATGTACTCCTACCTGATATTGATATGTACAAGTGTATGGACTGTTTTGTTTTGTTCCCCTAGCTAGAATTATTCACTTTTAGGCTTCTATTGTTGTAGGAAAGGCTAAATCAACTTTGGTATGCAGTAGGATACCAGGGAAATCATAAACCATTTCACTTGTTAGCATGTGTTTTTTGCTGAGACATGTGATTATATGCTGTTGTATTTTGTTTTTTTATCTCAACTAATATTTGTTCAACTGCAATGCAGGCTGGTATGAATTTAGTCATGGATGGCGAACAGATTATGCCCATTTGAGCGGCCAGCGTCCATAGCTCATATATAAAACTCTAGTGAGCTGTGTAGTTCGTTGTGCCAATGACTGTTGTCAACTTTGAATATGTCGTTGTAGTATGATCAACCTGCAGATGTGTTGTATTTGTGTTGCTGCTACTCATAACATAAATAACATGTTATGAAACTTTGATCAAGTCTCAGTATCCTGCTCGTCCTAGTCTGCTTTCTCCATCTGACATGCATTGCATTGCAACTTGGATTCTGATAAACTGTCTGCTACTCTTGAAAGCTGCACCCACAGAACAGCAGCAGTAGGGGTTGAGCCGTGGAGGAAACCCAGATTGTAGTCCGATTCCAGTTCAATTTGCAGCCCAAGCTTCGTCAAGTTTTGATCGATTTTGCTGGCTCCAGTGATCGCAGAGATAGATTTTCGGCGGTGCAGGCAGAAAACGGCAAATCGCTCTACCGTTTCCACTCGCGGGAGCACCGCGTCCACCTTTTCTCCTCCCGCTCGCGATTTCGCAAACCAAACCCAAACCGCGAGAGAGAGCAGCAAAACCCCCAATTCCCCAAATCGCACAGAAACCCTCCCCATGGCGGACGCCGCCGCCGCCGACGATGCGCCTCCCTCCCCACCCCCTTCCGCGTTCCACCCCGCGTCCGCCGATACCCCCATGTCCGACGCCACCCCATCCGCCGCCGATACCCCAAATCTCCCCGACACCCCCGCCTCCGCCTCCGCCGAACCCGACACCCCCTTCTCCGACGCCGCGCTCGCCGCCGACGCCTCCGATGCCGATGCCTCGGCCGTCGCCGCGCCACCCGACGACGACGGGGCCAACCCGTTGGGCGGCGCCATGAAGCACATGGCCCTCGCGCCCCCGCCGCCGCCGAGCAAGAAGTCCAAGAAGAAGAACAGCAACAGCGTCTGGACCAGGCCCAACTCCCGCAAGGGCAAGAAGAAGGCCAAGCAGCCGGCCAACGCCCTCGCTGGCGGCAGCGCCGGCGCCAACGGCCGCCTCCCCAAGCCCTCCAGCGGCGACGACGAGCTCGTCCTCACCCCGGCGCCCCGATTCGCCGCCGAGCGCAACGACGACGCGCCCGATCTGCCCGTGCTCCTCTCCCGTGTCTTCAAGTCCGACAAGGTCGAGGTCTCCGACGACCGCCTCACCGCCGGCAGCACAAAGGGATACCGGATGGTGCGCGCCACCCGCGGCGTCGCTGCCGGCGCTTGGTACTTCGAGGTCAAGGTCCTTCACCTCGGCAGCACCGGCCACACCCGCCTTGGATGGGCCACCGACAGAATTAGGATCCTCTGCCTTCACACGTGAAGGCACCAGCCTGCAGTCAAGTAATATCCACCGTCCAAGGCAATCCAACAGCTCACGTGCACACCCACTTAATTTAGCCAACAAAACATGCACATCAGAACCCATGGAAGCCCAGCAACTGACAGCACATGCACTTGCAAAGTCTGGTGCCGGCCGCGGTGGTACGCGCCGCCGTCCGCCGCCGCCGCTGCGGTAGACGGTAGTGCAACGATTCAACATGCTTGTTGTCTGGGATTTAGAACATTATTACAATTACAAAACAGAGCAATGCATGTATTCCATTTGACCATGCAGCAACCAAAGCATGCATTCCATCAGGCTTGATAAGAAGAAAAGGGTGAGGAGAGAAAAAAAGGTACACCTACATCACATGGGAAAAAACCAAGGTATTTCTTAATGAAGATTTCATTCTAGTGCTATATTTTAGTTCCAATTTTCACTGCTTCTAATGTGATCTGGAGTAAATTTTATTTTGAGTTATGTTCTCTTTCCAGCAACAAGAGGCTAGAAATGATGGTCTGGATGCACAAGCTACAAAAGATAATATTTCTGGAAACAACAATAGAGACTTTGAACAACATGGGGTCATAAATACCTTCACCCAATTGTTCATGGTAATCTTGATCATAATCTAAAAGTATAAATTAAATGACTGTAATGTTACTAAGTTTTTTTTTTCTATTCTTCACTTTTACAGGGCCCAAGTACCAGTGACCTGTGTACTGAAGACTTATTATAGCTAGGGGGATCTATTCCAGGGCATTGGTTTTGTTCTTGTCAGTCCGATCCTATGCACTAATCACAGTATATTTCGATTTTTTTTTTGGCGTGCAGTATATTTCGATTTATGATGTAGCTTGAAACTCCATCATACTTTGCAGCGATTGATGTTAACTGAAACTCATGAATTGCCTAATGGAAAGCATGCTTTGGTTGCTGCATGGTCAAATGGAATACATGCATTGTTCTGCTTTGTAATTGTAATAATGTTCCAAATCCCATACAACAAGCATGTTGAATCGTTGCACTACCGCGGTGGCGGCGGCGGTGTGTACCGCCGCGGCCGGCGATGACACCGCTTCATCAGACTTTGCAAGTGCATGTGCTGCCAGTTGCTGGGCTTCCATGGGCTCTGATGGGCATGTTTCGTTGGCTAAATTGAGTGGATGTGCATGTGAGCCGTTGGATTGTCTTGGACGGTGGATATTACTTGACTGCACGCTGGTGCCTTCACGGTGTGAAGGCAGAGGATCCTAATCCCCACCAACAGAATTATGCTGACATCCACGCACCCGTCGGCTACTATGTGTTTGGATTCGGATATCGCGACATGGATGGTACCAAGGTGCACAAGGCATGGAGGTCCAATTATGCTGACCAAGGCTATGGCGAGGGCGATGTCCTCGGGTTCTACATTCATCTTCCTGATGGAGAGCTGTATGAGCCCAAGCAGCCTTTCCTGGTTCACTACAAGGGGCTTCCTTTCCGCGCTGAAGCTCCCAAGGCGGCTGAGCAGAAGACGCCGGATCCAGTTCCTGGTGAGTACCATTGTGTTACTTCATGTGTTTGAGTAGACTAGTGGTAGATTGCCAGCCAGGAAAATAACACATGCTATTTTTCACAAAAACAACTTGGTATGAACTAGCAATTTCACAAATAAGATTCTGTATGTAATTGCAAGGATGCATGTTTCATGATGTTATATTCAATACTTGGTGTAATGTAGAATTTGTACCAATTACAGAATTACCAGTAGTAGATCTGCATAAATAAAGTGATTTAGGATTCAGGACAACAGAATCGGGTGTTCTTTACATGTAGGGACCCCTTACATGTATGATTATATAGGAAATATTAGAACTTCCAATAGCTGTAATGTAACAGTGGTGCACTTGTCCTAACAAAATTTAGAAGTACGTTTAATTAAGTTTCATCAGTCTTTTGCATCCTATGTTTGAGCAAGTTTCTGATCTCTGTCTGGTTGGACATATTGGTATCTACTCCCCTACATGTGTTTCAAGTCACTATATCTCCATTGCACAAACTAGAAAGTAGTTTCTACTCACTGCTCTTGAAATCATTTCCAAAGCATAAAGTGTCTTGTACCAAGAAATATAGCTACATATTGTCATCTTTATTATTGGAGGTGCTTAGTGCTGAAGCATAATGAATGCAGCATACAGTTCATAAGTCACAATGTAAGAAAGAGAGCAAGAAATGCAGCAAATGCTTCTCTAGCAATGCTCTCTTGAGAGGCACAACATGGAAAATGTAACAATTTGCTTCTACAGTTGTACATAACTTATTAATTTGCTTTGCTACTCAATCAAAGACAAAAAAACACCTACCAAATGTTACTAAATTTACCCATTGTTCTGTTCAAGAGTATCTATGTCATCATCTGACCTTAAATTATATTCTTGACTGTTTGACAGTGCATAGTCTGTTGTATTCCATACTAGTAAAAACAAATACCTGCAACTCACTTTTTGAGAAGATAATATGTTATTGACTATTATATCCTAAAGTATAATTACTTATTTGGTTCTGGCCTTCTTGGATTTATCTACATCAGAACAAGTACTGCATGATATACTGTACCAATCCTAACTCGAAGGTGCAATCTTCTACTGTATCATAGGAGGTTACTTTTGGGAGTCTTTACTTATCCAGTCATTATTGCAATCTTATCGTGCAGTAGATTCTATTATGTTATGTGCACATGAATAAAAAGGGCAGTTCTTTCTTATCTGTTCTTATGATGAAGTCAGAAATCAACGACTGCAAAGTTTTTTTTGCCCCAAAGTCAGTAATTGTAAATAAGTGCACATCAGTACCTTCCATTGGATCACTATGTTTTGCTTACATGGATTAAAAAAAGGGTTTCTTGTTTGTTCTTCGCATAGAACAAAGTCAGGATCCTATAAGTGGTTGTTTTGCACACTTGCACTTATCACTTACTACTTTCTAGCGTCCCTTGTTTTCCTACTTACGAGTATGCGACTGTTTTGCACAATTGCACTTATATTTCATTTCCGACTTTCTAGCATCCATTGTTTTATTTGTGCAGCCTCTCCTCTGGCCTTCTTAGATATTCCATTTTAATACTTTATAGTTCTTGCAAATGCAGGTAGTGAGATATGCTACTTCAAGAATGGGGTATGCCAGGGCACTGCTTATAGAATGCAGCTAGCGAGGCGACGGTGGTCGTGACTCCGGCGGTGAAGGGCAGTGGCCGGCCCAGAGCTCGGCGGGCCGAGGCAGGAGAGGCAGCGCACGGGCTCGGGGCGGAGCGAGCTCAAGACGTGGTTCTCCAGACTACTTCACGCCGGGGCAGCGGGGTCGGCGGCGGCATTAGCAGCGGCGGGGAACGGGTTGTCATCGAGGAGGCTAAGGAGCTCGTCGGCCGTGGAGATGAGGAGGGAGCGGGAGCGGCGGCGGGCGCGGGAGCAGCAGCCACGGTGCGGGGAGGTGGCAGGTGGGACAGCGGCGGAGTGCGTCGCGGTTTTCTGCTGCTTCCCCTTTGCTGTCGTCGAGCTCATCGTCCTCGCGGTCGTCCGCATCCCCGCCGCGCTCTGCCGCCGCGCCGTGCAGCGGAAACGGCGCGGGCATGCAGCGGCCGTGCGAGGGCCGCGACGGGGCGAGGCGCGTTCGACGGCGAACTCGAGCAGGCACACGGTTGTTGATGTAAAACACGAGGCCTGAGAGATCTGCTTAACTCCAGTGCAGGTCCAAAAGCTTGCCTTTAGGTGTATGAGCGTGCCAATTGATTTGATCCTGCAATCAACAAGAAACAAAGACAAAGAAACCGTGGTTAAATCTGTAAACTATAGCTGATCGGCTAGTTGCCAATGACATATCATTTATCTTTGAGCCGATGTCATATGTGAATCGATCGGCAATCGTGAATAAGTAGGAAAGAACTAAATCTACTCGATCGGCTATAGATATTAACGATATATAATCCCTATGTCGATATATACTTAAATCAAGTGATTGGGATAAATCGGTCGCCATGCCGAGACAGTATAAACCACTTAGATTGAAATATATATTAACAACGAGACTATATATGTTCATAGCATAGCCGATCAGATACATCTAGCATGTATCGGTTAATACTCCGATACCACTCTATATTAAGATATTAAAGAAAGTAAAATATACTAAACAGAAGCCTAATATACTTAAATGTAACAAGATCTTAACATAAAGGCAGATTTAACATATCAATCAAGCATATGGAACGTAAAGTAGTTAAATCAGGTAAGATCGGCTGAAACCCCAATGCTACTCTAATCGGCAACCAGAAAGCAGGCTAGAGATTAATATTCTAATCACGACTTATAAGGTCAAACTCAACTGATACAGCTATAAGTATGAAAAGAAAGACAATATCTAAACAATCAAGCCGCTGGTTGTTTCATAGAGTGGTAGATATCTTATATAATCTAAGTCAACGTCGATATATAACCTAATCGGTTGCCTTCTAGTAATAGACGTTAGCCGATTGAAGGTTAGATAACGATATTGCCAAAGATTATATAGGATATATGATAACTCGACGAATTACATAAACAAGATTAGAGTATCATAAAGATGGAAGCACTAATCCCGAGAACGCAAGCCGCCATAACAAGTTTTACCTCTTGTTGAAGATCGAAACCGATGCAGCTCAACCCGAAAGCAAGAACCCGTCGAAACAAAACGAAAATAAAGAGGGTGGCGATGCGCCGAGATTGTATTGAATATGTGTTAGATTGATTACATAAGGCTCGGGGTCTATTTATACCCGAGATTACAAAATATGTCCATGTCGGACACGACTCTTATCTCTAACAAACTCTAAGATACCATAAGTCTTTGCGGCAGACTTTTGCCCAAACATATCTCTAAGGAAATTACACAGAATATTCTAATTAATAGATACAATTGCCTTCTCAGAACTCTATCCATGCATGGCAATCATCATGAAGCACGTTTACTCGGTTTGACAACATGTACCGAGTCGTATTGTCAGAATCGACCCAATCGGCTAACCTTGTCTGACTCGAACTCCACCGACCTTGATCGTAGCCGATTTGGACTCCACCCGATTCTTGCTCTGCTTCCAAAACAATCTTGATCTTGGATTCCGCTTCGATCTAATCTCCATCTCCAATACTCCAATACTGAGGTTACCAAATTTGGTCGTTAACAACGGCATAGTCGCACGCGGCGTTCTGGATAGTGTCGTCCGGTGAGGAGGTTGGGGATGGCGACGACAACGACAACGACGGTTGTCGTCCGTTGAAGTCGAAGCTGTCCTCTCGACGGCGTCGGCACGGGAGAAGAGGAACGGCTCCAGCACGGGAGAAGAGGGAACGGCGCCGCGGTGGCGAGGTCGTAGCACGGGACGAGCAGCGGCGTGACGGTGTCACGCAGCGTGGCGGCGCCGATCACCCGCCGCAGCGACGACCTCTCCGCCACCCACCTCCTCCACCCTCCGCCGCCGCGCCACCTGCCCTTCCCGAGGCTCGCCGCCACGAACGCCAGCGAGTCCGCCGTCGTGTACCTCGGCCGCCCACCCCCCCTTCAAGAATAGCATCGCCGCCAACACGCCCCCGGCCCCCGCCCCCGCCGCCGCGTCAAAGAAATCCATCACCCTCGCATCATTATCCCCGGCCTTCTCCCGCAACGCCGTCTCTAGCGTCACCAGCGCCACCGCCACCAGCAGCGCATTGCCCGCAACCATTGATCACGAGAACCCTCACCTTCCCTCCCCCACCACCACCTCCATGAAACGCCCTCCCCGCCGGATCCAGCCGCGGCGCGGTGGCCGGCGTCCTCCTCCTCCGCCACCGCATCGACAGCGTGCCCCGCTGCTCCCTCCCGGCCACCTCCGCGGCGTCGTCCCTGCGTGTGCGAGACCAGAGAGCGAGAGGAAGGAGAAAGGGGAAAGAGAAACAGAGAGAAAGAGAAAGGGGAAAGAGAGAGGGTGACGTGGACACCTGCCATGTGAGGCCCACATGGGTCCCATGCTGACTTAGCTGCCACGTAGACTAAAACCGGGGTCAAAACCACCGAGGGACCTCGGGTGACCGGTTTTGTATAGTTAGGGGACCCCGCATATCTGGTATTGCGGTTCAAGGACGTTTTCGTATCTCGGTGACAAGTTCAGGGACCTCCGGTGCACTTTTTCCCACAGGAAAAAGTCAAAAGCCCACAGCCGAGTAGCCACATTTCAGAAAAATCAAGCTACACTGAATAAAAAGGAGAAAGGGGAAGCTTCTTCAAGTAACTTCTTTTCAGATAAGGTACTTACAGATTACATCACATTTTATATGAACATAGTGCATGGAATTAGTTTCCTGTTTCAAACTGTCAATTTTACGGCACAATTTATGTATCTGCTCAAAATTCAGTGCTAACAGAACAAAAAACTTATATGCATAATTTATGACAATTGATTTTATGCAGATTAGCCATGCATATCTCAATTTTGATCTAAATATGTACATGCAGATTAGTTCTATTCTGGTGACCACCAAATAAACTTATGACATGTCTAAACTTGAAGGGTCTATCAAAAGAATGAAAATTCACTCAAATGACAAACAATGTAGTTGTTCTTGTTTTTCTTGGTTTTGCATACATCTCTCACAGAAACTAGTTCTCGACTGCACACATGCTGAAAAAAAATGACAAGTAGCCTTGAACAATGACAGCTTCTTCCAAGGCCAAATTCAGAGCAAACAACTACACTCGACCTGACCAAATTCAGAACCAAAAATATTCTGGTTGCCATTTTTCACACTGGTTGTCACATGATCTCTGACAATTCAATGTAGCTAACAGAACATAACTAACTTGATTATATAACACAAAACTCAACATGATATATCATAGTTTTAAAACCTAACAAAACTAACTTGGTATTTATATTAAAAAAAACAATTATTTATTAGTAGAACACGGAACTCTTACAAGGGCTGACAGAACTTGCTCAAAAAAACATTTCAAGTTATCTTACAGGAGCAAACAAAACAAAGTACTCTCAATAGCCATCAATGCGGATTTGATCAACATGGATTATATAAGTCTTATGTATGCATGATTATACAAAACTATATAAAGCCAGGTACTCTTCAGTACTTTCCAACAGATGACAAAACTAAGTACTCTTCAGTGTTGTCCTATAGATGACAAAACTTACAGAGCTAAACAAAACTAAGTACTCTTCAGTGTTGTCCTATATATGACAAAACTTGATCATAGTGAGTGATTGGTATTTGCTGACAAGATAGATAGAAGAAGCAAGCAGAAGAACAACACAAAACTAATTGCTGACAAAGCAGAACTAATACCCATTTCGAACTAACAAAACTAGGAATTCTAGTGGCTAACAAAACTACTAATTACAGTATTTCTGACAAAACTTGAAAGTAGAGGTTAAAGTATTTCTGACTAAACTAGCAAAACTAGGAATTCTAGTGGCTAACAAAACTACTAATTGCAGTATTTCTGACAGAACTTGAAAGTAGATGTTAAAGTATTTCTGACTGAACTAACAAAACTAGGAATTCTAATAGCAAACAAAACTAATCTCTTTTCTTACAAAACTATGTTTGTTAAATGCCATCATACCTTTTACCTAACTAGAACAGAACGAATGCATGCTAGTGATCACCCAACAGAAATATTTTAGTTTTACCAAATTTAGTTAAAACTATATACCTTTTAGTTAAAACTAGCTTAGGTCTTCATAATGCAGTTATCTACCTAAAATGGCAGACAAAACTAATTTATTAATTTGATTACAAAACTAACATATTTAGATGCTTAGCTCATCATGATGCGGTCATCTAAATAACATAACAGGGGAGACTACAGGAGAGGGAGGAACTAAAAGTAATGCACTGTGCTAAGTATTTTTAATTGCTAACAAAAGTAAAAACGCTATGTATCATAGTGAAGTTCTGAAAAAAATATATTAGTTTCCTCTGAAATGTTCAGAACATTAATCTTGCAATGCTTTATATTTTTTGGAAAGGAGCAGGGTTTTAGACACTAGCAAAAAAATGGCATGATCAAAGGAGGACTTGATGGTACTCAAGCTATTTGAAAAACTAAAAAGCTCTCTTGTCAGTACTAATTGTTTACTGAATTAGGTAAGTACAGCTTACAGAAAAATCATGCTTAGTTAACTTCAGTTTGAATTGGCAAACAAAACTAATACTACCCCCACACAAATGAATCACACCTTGCTCACAAAACGTCCCCCTCAACCACCTGCAAAATTCAGCTCCCCAAAACCTGATTTTATACATTCAACAGTAGGAGATAAAAACCATTGAGTAAATTTCGTAAAACTGCAGATACTTTGCATGATCGATCATAAAACTACAATTTTAAGAACTTGTTTCACAAAACTACAGATTCAATTTCTTCGTTTATCACAAAACTACATATACTTTGCACAATATATCACAAAACTACAGATTTAAGAACTTGTTACACAAAACTACAGATTTAATATCTTCATTTATCACAAAACTACAGGTTTAGTGTCTCCATTATCACAAAACTATAGGTTTTAGCATTATTAAAACATGTAGTTTTGTGATAAATGAAGACACTAAATATGTAGTTCTGTGATAAACGAATACACTAAATCTATAGTTTTGAGAAACAAGTTCTTAAATATGTAGTTTTGTGATAGATTGTACAAAGTACATATAGTTTTGTGATAAATTGTGCAAAATACTTGTAGTTTTGTGAAATTTACTCAAAACCATTTATGCATTCAACAGTAGTAACAGATCTAAAGCATTTATACATCCCACAGTAACAGATTAGAGAAGAACCCCATAAAAAATTTGTGATTACATCCTCCTTATATATCCAAACAAATCAGCGTGCATAAGCATCACAAAAACAAAAATAAATTGCTCACCAAGGAACGAGCTGGACAGATCTTGAGGCCTGAGTTTTTTGGACCCAAACCAACAGCAGCAACGTCAGCCTCACGATTCCCCATCGCCTTGCCTGTTGAATGCTGCACCAGCATGGATTCATCAAAGGGGGCAGCCGAGTAGGGCGTGGCCGCCTGGCCCCTGACCTTGGCGACCTCGGAGCTTGTCTCCACGGCGGCGGCGGAGGGCGCCACACCATGCTCGCCGGCTTCGCCTGGCTGCAGTGAATCGCCTCCGCAAGATTTGCTCCCTCCCCTCGACGACATCTCAGCGGAGGCCGCCGCGCTACGCTCGCCGGCTGAGCCCGGCTGTGGCCGAGGAGTCCTACTCTTGGCCTCCTCTCGCCGACAAGGAGAATCGCTGCCGGCGGATTCACCCCCTCCCCTCAGCGACATTGTGCGCTCCGCTGAGAAGTGGGTGGCACTGTTTCAAAATAAAAAAAAAAAAAACGCGCCCTGTGTCAGAAATATCCCCAAACCTTGTTTGGATTGGGTTACAAAACGGATCCTAACCCGATAAAAGGACTGCGGGCCCGATAATGTTGCACGAATCTTTATGTCTATCAAAGGCTAGGAATTTGAGTGTGATTTGGAAAAAAAAAACACGCTGGTAATGTACAGTAAAAACCAAATACAAATAAATGATAGGTACATCTAATTTTATCCATATTATTAATTCATACATGATAGGTACATCTAATATTATTCCCAGCTGCAAGTTGAGCATCAGTTCGTAGTTCTTGTGCCCCTTGGAGATGGTCTCCCCCTGCTTCTTCCCCGGCTTCGGCATCGTCGGCGCGCGCATACACGACGGTGTCCGCACCCATGACCTGTCGTTGCGACTCTCCTCGCCGCCGTCCTCCCCCTCAACCAGGCTGTCAATGTCGGACGACATGTTGTTCCTCCTGCTCGACCTCCTCCCTTGGTCAGCTCCAACCTCCGGCGGCCGCCACATCCCTTGGTCAGCGGCGACCTCCGGCGGCAGCCACACCGGCTTCTTCGTCACGGGCTCCACCCCAGGCCATGTCAGCACCTTCTGTGACGGCAGCAGCGACACCGTCTTCCCCTCGGACATCTCCAGCTCCTCGAGCAGCTTCGTGATCACCCCCTTGGGTTCCCGGGGCAACGGCACCGCCGGGCCACCGGACGGCGGGTAGTACACGCCCTTGCCCTGCGTCTCGCCGGACTCCTGGCACCACAGGCCAATGTACATCCCGCCGTCGGACCACCGGAACGTGCCCTGCCCCTTGGGCTTGGCGTCCTCCCACGCGCCGTCGTACCGGTCGCCGTCCGCCCATATCACCGTCCCGCGGCCGTGCATCTCGCCGGCCTTCCACGTCCCGATGTACTCGTGGCCGCCGCGCCAGATGTACTGGCCGTGCCCGTCCTGCAGCCCGTCGCGCCAGTGGCCGTCGTACACGTCGCCGTTGACGTACGCCTGCGTGCCGCGGCCGTGCCGGAGGTTGTTCGCCCACAGCCCGGCGAACGTGTCCCCGAGCTCGCCGATGTACGTCCCCTGTCCGTGCATGTACCCGCCGGCGAGGTCGCCCTCGTAGATGGCGCCCGACGACCACGAGAACTTGCCGCGGCCGGCCGCGCGGCCGCCGCGCCACGACCCCTCGTACATGCTGCCGTCCGTCCAGAGATACTTGCCGGCGCCGTGGGGGAGGTCACAGCGTAGGTCGCCCTGGTAGAAGTCTCCGCTGGGCAGCAGCTGGTCGGAGTGGCTGGGCTCGCCGAGCGACGCCTCGTCGACGTCGTCGTCGTCGGTGTCAACGTCGTCGAGGACGGAGTCGATGTCTTCGTCGCCGTCGTCGTACTGGTAGATGGTGTTGGAGGTGGAGGAGCTGACGGAGAGGCTTGGGGTGAGCGTGATGGGGTCACCTCCAGCGGCATTGCCGGTGGCGGCCGCCGGTCCGTCGAAGGTGCCGCCGGAGGGGACGACGGAGCCGCGAAGGATGGTGGAGTACTTGAGCTTGCGGATGCTCGCCTCCCACAGCCGGCTGGCCAGAGCAGGGAGCGGGTTCATCTTCTTCCCGGTCGCCGTCGTGGCGTCCTCCGAGGAGCCTAACTCAACGTGACAGGGTCAGAACGAGAACGACGCCGGAGGCGGAGGCAGAGCGAGGCTGTGCATGGCTGGTGATGGGTGGCGCAGTGGAGGTAGCAGGGGCAAGAAAATGTTTGGATTGGTTGGAGGTTGGGAGGAGTTGTCGGGGTGGGTGGATGGCGCTGCCGCCGCTGCGCCAAGGAGAGCTCGGGGGGCGAAACATTTGGAAGGAGGCAGAGGTAACGGTGAGATAGAAAGCCATGAACGCTCTAAAAATAGGCAAAAGGGAGAAACAGCAGTAGTAGGCTAGCTCTGGCTAGTAGCATCTCAGTGTCTGCTTCGATCTTGGGGGCTTTTCAGTTGATAGCGCTGAGCAATGCTCAGGCCCTTTCCAATAGGCTACAACATGAGCATTTCCTACGTTGAAATCGCAGAGACCAACTGATGATGAACTGATGCTATCAGGATCCAGGAGCTACGGAACTGAAATCTGACAGTACCAAACTACTCCCTCATTCCTAAATGTTTGACGCCGTTGACTTTTTAAAACATGTTTGATCGTTCGTCTTATTTAAAAAATTTAAGTAATTATTATTTCTTTTTCTATCATTTGATTTATTGTTAAATATATTTTTAATGTATAGATGGCCAAAAGGCCCGAGGCCCGATGGCCCGGCCCACGGCAATTTGGCCCGGCCCAAGCACGGCCCGGCCCGATGGGGGTCGGGCCCGTGTCGGCCCGGCCGGCCGCCGGGCCGTGCCTGGCCCCTCCACCGGCACGGCACGATGGGCCGGCTGGCCAGGCCCGACAAAAAAATAATAGGGAGCAAAAATAGACATATTATTCTTCACAGTTCAAAGGATAGGGATGTAAAATAGACTTATTTTAGCTATATATATATATATATACATATATATATATACATATATGTATATATATATATATGTATATATATACATACATATATATACATATATGTATATATATATATATGTGTGTGTGTGTGTGTGTGCCAGCCCAATGAGGAGGGAGGGAAAATAGACTTATTTTTCAAAAGACACGATGGGCCACCCGTACCATCGGGCCGGCCCAGCACGGCCCGACTGCTAGTGGGCTGTTCCTGGGCCGGTGGTGCAGCCCATGGGCCGGCACGGCACGGCCCGGTGTGTTGGTCGGGCCGTGCCGACCCGACAGATTTTGGCCCGAGCATGGCCGTGCCGGGCCGGGCCGCCCGAATGGCCAACTATATTTTTATTTATACGTATAGTTTACATATTTCATAAAAGTTTTTGAATAAGATGAGTGGTTAAATATGTTTAAAAAAATCAACGGTGTCAAATATTTAGGAAAGTAGGCAGTATCTGTCTCAACGACAATCAAAAATAGCAACCACGACATTCAAGTACACTGAAATCAGTATTACCAGTACCAAATCTAATATCGAAACCAACACCCAAAACAAAGGAACATGGCAAGAAAATCACTAAGACAGAGCCCATATAGAGGTTGAAATCCAACTTCAGCCGCCTCATTCATTTCTGAAGAATTAATCTGTCAGCTGTTTGCATGCAGATTAAACAAAAATTTGTTTTATATAAAAGAGAGCCTCTCTGTCCCACTTCCATTTGAGGAACAGTATTACCCCAAAAGGCTTAACAGTATTACCCCACTTCCACTTCAAATTTTTTGCAAGGGGTCAAGCACATAAAGGCTTAACAAACTTACCTCAAAAGACTTTCAGCTCTCTCATTTTGAGGGTTCAGCGCCAACGCTGCCTTCAAACACATAACCTCCTTGCCCTTGTCCTGATAATTTCACAGTTCATTAGAAAACGTATAACATTAGCCCAAACTACTTTATAAGGAGAAAGCGCACCTGTTTTTGATAAACCAAGGCCATATTAACAATGGCGTCAGATGACAGGACAGGTTTCTGACCATGGAAACTGTGTGAAAGATAAAGCAGATTGAGATTCCTCAACCTGTCCCACTCTGTTGTACTCACATCATTTCTCAGCGCCTGCAAAAAGAGATACAAAAAAAATTATGCACAGCAGGAAATTAGGGTATGTCAAATTTAGAACTTACTTTACAGCAAATATCAGCTAGCAAGTAGTTTATGTTTTCCAAAGCATTAAACATGCGCTCACGCAGCGCAGTAACTCTTGCTGCTGTATGGACATCGTCCTGCAGAAAAATCAGTATATAATTATAACCAAAACAAACTAACTAATAGGTTAGGTTAGCCAAAAGAAAAAAGAAATCACATTTTACCTCTGCTTTAAACGTAACAGATTCTGTATATGCTATTATACCATTCAAGCTCCAGTCAACACCTTCGATTGGGGTGGAAGAACTCAATAGAAGTTGGACAACATTCATCTGTTTCCTTTTGGCTGCAGCAATGATGGGTGGGTCCTCAAACATGACCTAGGAAGAGAGGGAAAGGGGTGAGGACATGAATGTTATTGTGACTAACACTACAGAGCACACCATTTACTTTGAAAACAAAATGAGGGAAAGAGGGGGATGAAGAACAAGAGGGGAAGGGGTGAGACCTCATCAATTGCGTCTGCATTAGCACCAGAATCAAGTAGAATCTGAACCATAGATTCAGATGAAGTGAGGTCAGCTACTATAGCTTTGCCGATTGGCTTTGAAATCTGAACATTAGCTCCAGCCTAAAAGTAAGAATATGTAGATAGATAAGGCTAAAAGAAAACTACAACCAGCATCTGCACATGAAGATATTAGCATATCTCAAAGAGCCAAACAAAAAAAAAACCTGCAACAACGTTTTCATGCTTGTAACTGAACCATTGTATGCCGCACATGCTAAGGGTGTTATACCTCCATCAATAATATCATCCACCTATTAATAAAGACACATTATGTGAAAACACTAGATTCATATTATGTGAAAACACATCATAGCAAAAGACGTGTATTGGTCTTTCTCATAAGAGCTTCAAGAGCAATTTCATCATCCAGTGCTACTGCTGCGTGAATTGGTCCTCCATAAAGAGAATGGATATGAATGTCAGCCCCAAAGTCTATCAATTTTTGCATCGCAGCATATTTGCCTGACAATATATAGAGCAAGAAAGTATGTGTTGGGTTGTGATGGGATTACATTTTGCAATAGCTAAGAGGAATTCGGAAATATACTGACCAAGAAGAATAGATAGCTGAAGCGGTGTTAATCCAAGATTATCTTTCATGTCAATGCTAGGTTCAAGCTTTGCAAGGACATGGCCAAAATACCCTCCGCTGTTTCTCGGAACAGCAATATGAAGAATCGTCCTACCTAAAAGTACATTTGTTAACTGAAGTTGAAAAAAATATGTGAATTTAAACAAATGAACAACATAACTATTACAAACCTGTGCTATCCTTTTTGTCAACATCAATGCCCAAAAACTCCACTAAATGATGAGTAAGAGTAACATGTGCACCCTTGGCAGAGTGATGCAGCACATGCATCCCTTTGTAGTTAAAAGTGCGAAAAAGTGTCCTATATGTGTAAGTGCATAACGGCTTCTTTGCCAATTCTGCATACCTTGGCTGTTAAGAAACAGAAAAAAAATGTTGTAATGACAATGTAAATGGTAGGTTCTACATACCTTCGGATGCATCGATAGTTGCGGGGTCGGTACCATTCTCAGCCAGCTCAATAAACCTTAATGCTTCTATAAGACATTGCAGAATGACATGAATGTAAGTATAGATAGAGTAAAAACAGCAAAGGGCTAGATGAAGTACCATCGTCATGTTTAGTCAGTTTCTTCTTTCCAGTCAGTTCCCTTGGCGAGCTGTTTGCATGCAAAAAAAAATTTAAAAAAAAACAATCACAGCATGTTATGTAACCTAATAAGAGAACAATTACCTTTTTGATGACATTGCAAAAGCCAACCAGAGAATGTTATATAACCTAATAAGAGAACAATTACCTTTTTGATGACATTGCTAAAGCCAACTAGAGGTCTTCGGCTCTGGAAAAAGAAGGGAAACAGCAATCAGCCACCAACAATAAATCTCATTAAACATGAGAGTGCCACGACATATTTTTACAAGGATATTGCAATGAAACAACACAAAATGTAAAAAGGGCATGACTTATGAAAGTTCTCATGTCATCCAGTTGGATAGTAAATAATCAAACCAAACAAATATTGGTACACCCTTAAACACACATAATCGAGTTTGGATCTAAGATGAGACAATCTTCACAGCTAAAATCTCAGTAGTTGGCCGTTCTGCCAAGCCTGCCACCTCCGATGAACCCAAAAGTCCGAACACAGAAACCTGGGCGTATCAAAATCCCAGTTGAACACCCAAAATCCTAAAAAGAAAATCTAAGAGCAAATCGCATTGATTCGGATAATAAAGGAACGAGACCTTTGTTGAGAACCGGATCAAGAACCCCAAAATCCGACACAAAAACCTCACGGCATCAAAACCACTAGCAACATCACACGGATTACATCGCAAAGCAAGGCAGAAATGCCAAAATCCGAACCAAAAACCTAGCGGACCCCGATGAACCCTCAAATTTCCACAACGAACACCAAAATTCAATACCAAACCGGATCAACACCACCGACACATGATTCACCAATGTACTAAAAAATACGGAGACTAAAAACCTCACGGCATCAAAACCACTAGCACATCACACGGATTGCATCGCAAAGCAAGGCAGAAATGCCAAAATCCGAACCAAAAACCTAGCGGACCCTGATGAACCCTCAAATTTCCACAACGAACACCAAAATCAGATACCAAACCGGATCAACACCACTGACACATGATTCACCAATGTACTCAAAAATACGGAGACTAAAAACCTCACCGCATCAGAACCACTAGCACATCGCAAGGACTCGCGGATACCCGATGAACCGTCAAATTTCCACAAGGGGCACCAAAAGAAAGCGGATCAAAACTACTGAAACATCGCACGGGAAATGCCAAAATCCGAATAAGACCCCGCCGGATCAAAAGTCCCCCATGAAACCCTCAAAAATACACCATGAACCCAAAATCCGACCCTAAAAAACCTCCTAGATGATCAAAATCACTGGGCACATCACACGGATTAATCACAAAGTAAAGGATAGAGGCAGATGTTACCATGGGCCTGATTAGTTTGGAGATGAGAGCTGGCTTTCCGTGTTAGGGTTTAGGAATTAGGATGCGGCGGGTTGGGCAGGCGCAGGGATGAAATTTGTAGGGTCGGGACTTGCGCCAGGGGTGGGGCCTAATTTATGAACTTGCGTGTTGCGTGTGGGAACTTTCCTATGAAATGTTACATTTTAGGCCCTGTTTAATTCCCAAATTAAAAAATTTTGCACCATGTCACATCGAATATTTGGACACATGTATAGAGTACTAAATATAGAAAAAAACTAATTACACAAATTGCGTGTAAATTGCGATACGAATCTTTTAAGTCTAATTGCTCCATGATTTGACAATATAGTGCTAAACTAAACATTTGCTAATGACAGATTAATTAGGCTTAATAAATTCGTCTTGCAGTTTCTAGGCGAAATCTGTAATTTGTTTTGTTATTAGTCTACATTTAATACTTCAAATGTATGTCCGTATATCTGACGTGACACGTCAAAATTTTAATACTTCAAATGTATGGCCCTTGGTCTTAGGCCTGGTTTAGTTCCCAACTTTTTCTTCAAACCTCCAACTTTTCTATCACATTAAATTTTTCCTACACACGCAAACTTCCAACTTTTCCGTCACATCGTTCCAATTTCAATCAAACTTCTAATTTTTGCGTGAACTAAACACACCCTTTTGCTTATTACTCCTGATTCGAAAAAAAAACTAACTAAATTAAATGGGACTAGAAACATCAAATTCCCTCCGTCCCATAAAAAACCTAATTTAGAACCGGATGTGACATATCCTAGTACTACAAATCTGAACAAAGGCATATCCATATTCATAGTAATAGAATGTGTCACATCTGGTACTATGTTGGTTTTTATGGGAAGTACTCCTTCCGTCCCATAAAAAACGAATCTATGACTGGATGTGACATATTCTAGTATGATGAATATGGACATATATATTCAGATTTGTAGTACTAGGATATGTCATATTCGGTACTAGATTGAATTTTTAGGGACGAAGGGAGTAGGGGGTGTTTAGATCTAGGGGAGTAAAGTTTTGGTATGTCACATCGGATATACGGACACACATTTGAAGTATTAAACGTAGTCTAATAACAAAACAAATTATATAATCCGCCTGTAAACTGAGAGACGAATTTATTAAGCCTAATTAATCCGTCATTAGCAAATGTTTATTGTAACACCACATTGTTAGATCATGGAGCAATTAGGCTTAAAAGATTCGTCTCGCAAATTAGTCGTAATATGTGCAATTAGTTATTTTTTTAGCCTATATTTAATACTTTATGTAGGCATTCAAATGTTCGATGTGACAGGGTGAAAAATTTTGGTGAGAGATTTAAACTGGGCCTAGGTTGTTTTTATAGAGTGAGTGTTTTACAAATAGACACCTAAACACTTAGGCTGTATTCTTGGGTGAGGGTTGGGAACCCTCACCTCCCGCACGGATGGATTAGTGTATGATAAATTACACCCTCCGTTCCATAAAAAACCTAATCTTGGATTGGGTTTTTTATCGGACGGAGAGAATAAGTGTTTGCTAAAAAAAACTTAAAAAATAAGTTAGTATGATTTTTTAAAGCAATTTTTCTATATAAATTTTTTGCAATAATTATACCGTTTAGCAGTTTGGAAAGCGTGCGTGCGGAAAACGAAGGAGTAGAGGATGAGAACAGGCAGTGCCGAACACCGCCTTAGGCCATGTTCGACTTAGAAACTAAGGATCAGTTTAGCACATTTTTGCCTCCACCTCCTCTAGAGCTGAGTCTAGGCAAATAGTTTAACTACACCTAAAATGGATGGGTGGAGCGCTATTACAAAATGATCTAAAAATGTTGAGCTAGGTTTAGACAGTTCCACAGCTCCACTCTAAATTCAACTCTTGAAGCTAAATTTAGGAGTTGGAGCTCTACCAAACAGACCCTAATATTTCGCGCACATAAAAACAAAGCAACTTATTAGCACATAATTAATTAAGTATTAGTTAATGTTTTCTAAAAAATATTAATATGGATTTTTAAAACAACTTTATTATATATTTTTTTTTACAAAAAAGACACCATTGGGTAGTTTGGGAAACATCCACGTGAATAACGAGAGGGTAGAGGTTGAGAAAGTTGAGAGAATAACACAACCTAAGACATGTTTATTAGGCATGTAAATATTTTAGGATATCATCGACGGGTTATACCCACATACCAGATTCGGAGGGTACAGGGAAATGTTTGTACTAGGGGCTATGTACACGAGATTATATCAAGCAGACGAAGACAATGGTTTATACTAGTTCAGGTCCCTCAAAAGGTAATAGCTATACTCCAATTTATATGGATGATGATGGGAATACCAAAAGGATTACAATGCGTCTGCCAAGAATGGCCCGACGAGATCTAATCGGTGAACAAGGCTATGGTTTCATACGGATTACTTCTCACTGTGGCTGGTGGCTATGATCCGCTACTCCATGGAAGGGACTTGTATTTACACTGATAGATGTCTCCCTCTCCAAGTAGAACTCGAAGAAACTTATTTCGATATAGGGCTGAACAGACCTTATCTCTTGCGAATAAGACTCTTACACCTTCTATTTTGAAGAGATAATTTATTTCTATTATCGCTGTCGTCGGCGAAGCCGGGGACGGACGTCCCTCGAGCCCCTCCGTCGAGCGGTGCGCTTCTGTCGCCCGTTGTTGCCCTCTCCTTCACCTCCTGCCGTCTGCCACCGAGCAGCGCTCTTCTGCCGTCGAGCGGCACTCTTCTGCCGCCCTCCGCTGCCCTCTCATCCGCCTCCCGCAGCATCCCCGCCTGCTGTCACCGCCTAGCTACGTAAGACAAGGAAGATGAGGGAGGTGAGGATGAAAAGTAGGCCCCACATGTCAGTGGGCCCAAAATTTTTTTGAATGACAAATGGGTCCCATATATATATATATATATATATATATATATATATATATATAATTCTAATGTCATATAAGCGTCATGTGGGATGAAGACTAGGTCAACATCACCACGTAGACACCATATCAGCGAAACCGTCCTCTAAAACCACTGAGAGAGTCAAATTGCACCAATTTTAATAGTTGGGGATCAAGATATCAGTATTGCGGTTCAGGGATAGGAATATCACTAGTTAAGGAAGTCATATTGGACTTCCACCGAACGTTCAGATAAGTGGGTTTGCGCCGAACGGCGTATCAGACCCTGTCTCGCGCTAGGCGGCTCCCAGCCGGCAATCCTAACCCTCCCCTCCACCACCCCCACCCACCGACACCGTCGTCTTCTTCTTCTCCCATTAGTCGCTACTCGCCATGGCCGCATCCCGTTATTACCTTAATCTGGATTTTGACGTTTCCGATATGAAGCCTCTGCCCGACTACTGCTTTTCCGAGGCCTGGGAGGTGTGGGAAGCCCATGCTGATCAATCGGATTATGAAAGGGAACAGGCTGTTTTGAGGGTAAGGAAGGAAAGCTCTAAGGTTGATTTTTTTTTAAAAAAATAATTGATTGCGTATCTTACATTCTCCCGAATTACTATCATTCATTCGCATGGTTTTTTGGATCGTTTTGTGTTAGTACGCCCGACGCCGTCGCCTTCTTCGGTGGACTTGGTTCTATCAGGGTGCACTTCGTTAGGGCTTATTTGTATATCAGGCTGTCCAGATTAGTCCTGGTTTAGAAGCGAAAAAATGAACTAAAATTCCATCCAATTCCATGAGATTAGTGCCACCCGAACTAGACCGAAATTTCGAGGGGTCCGTCGGTAGACATCCCTGCGGAAAGGGGAGAGGTAGGGCGTGTCGGTGGGGAAGGAGAAATGGGAGGTAGAGCGTGTTGGTGGGGATGACCAAGGGCTGAACCCCAAAAATTCTAGTCCCACGGATGGGAGTTTGCATAAAGGTCGCAAAATCTCAGCCCGTTTATTTTTCAGATTTAAATCTTTGTGTTCGATCTGTGGTATATATACCCGCTGGAATGCTGGTTAGTTAACTAATGATTGCGTGGATGGAACACGTGGGATAATTTTGCATCTACAGTTCTATTTTATATTTTATTTTTAATGTAGAACTGTTACCGGATAGAGTAAGTGCTGATATGCATGTTTTAGGCCTAAGTCTTTGCCATCTTCTGTTTGCATTAAACATCAGTTCCTTGCATTCAAGAAACAGACGTGGCAACAGAAGTACAGTCTTTAAGAATGCTACATTGTCTTATGTTCTGAAATTATTGGAAATGAATTTGCTAGATGAGATTGCGCCATTTTTTCTGATAATTTGTGTTGTATCCTGTTGTATGATTTTTTTTTGTATTTCATTCTGTTACTCAATTTGCATAAATATTCAACTAATATTTCATAATATGCATGCAGTTCTATGAAGAAAAGGAGAAGGAGATAAAAGCTGCTTATTCTGAAGCCCTAAGTGACGAGGATGATGAGGAGAAAGATGGAGAAATATGTCAGGTGATGATAGCTATCGTGACAGTCTATTTGTAGTGCAGTTGAGATTCATTATTCCTCATGATTATTGACTAATGGTTGCATCTGTTCAGCTTCTGGGTTACGAAGAGGAACATGGACAAGTCTCTGCAGGGATGGAAGATATACCAGAAAACCATGTCAAAAAAGGCTGCACTTACGCGAGCCCAGAGTACCTGGCGGAGCTAACTCAGAAAATTCTATTGGAAATAAATGTAAATGAAGACCTTGGCAATGTAAGGCTTCAAGGTTCATTCATCTGCGTGCTTTTTTAAATTTATCTTTTAGGTGGTTGGGCAGTTTAGTGCCCAGCGCAGTTTATATTGATTGATAATTTTTCTGCCAATATGAACCGAGATGAAAGTTCTGCACCTATTTTCCTTTTGTTTATCTTGTACTCTGTTATGCTATTGGATTGAACAGCCAGTTGATTAATACACTCTTATTATTTTCTCTTTTTTATCGTAAGGGTAACACAGTTGTCTCTTCTGGAGTCATGGAAGGTGATGAGGACAAGAAAACTGTTAAAACAGGTTAGGTGCTGATGATTTTAATTTTGATTTGCCGCTCTGTTTTTCTTTTTGTTCAACAAAACTAATTATACAACAGCCATTTCATATTGCAGTTTAGGTTAGTTGTCAATCATAGTTCACATCTATCTCTAATGCAAATGTCTTTTTAGGTGCTATGTCATGAAATGAAGCATGCTCGTAATGAAGGAGGACAAGTATTTGAAGGTGAGCTGGAACACAAGAAGGCAAGAATGGCAGAAAGCTCACAGAACAAAGGAGAAGATGAAGAGACCCTTCTGCCAGTACGTACCGTTTGACTTGACTTGATTTAATTGAAGTGTTCTCTTGAAGTTAATTTGATTTCCTTACGAGTGTTCTGATGGGCCAAACTTTTGTACCTGAACAATCAAGATATGCTACTTCACATTTCGTATATAACCAAATTTTGATAGGGCTAGCTTGGACCCCTTCATAAGTTTACTTGAAATGCCTACTTCACATAAGTTGGAACGTGCCTATTTAAATTTGAACCAATCTTTAGGCTTTCAAATCAGATAGAAATGCTGATTCAAATAAATGAACTGGGACTTTTGGAGTGCATTTGTTCCCTTTAAAACTACATTTCTCCAATTAGTGCTGAGATATTGTATTTTTTCATGAAAATAACTCGATTCGATTAATTTTTGAATGTTCTTTGGTAGGGGTGACATGGCATTTTATGGTTGATCTACCAACTTTGGTATTTATTTGCAGTGAAATTTGGTTTCTGCACAGAAAGTATTACTACTTCAGTTATAGTGTTCGCTCGCATTTTAGTTTTAACACTTTTAGCTTGTATGGGCAGATGGGGTTTTGATTAGTCAAAAGCAGTTATGTGCTTTGTTGTATAAGATGATTTCTTTTCGACGCAATGTGGTGTATTTTGTCCTAGAAAAAGTTCATGTTGCTATCCGTTGAGAATGGGAGGTTTGTCCAAATGTTTGCATACTTTTGGATGTAGTTCTTGTGCATCTCAATTTTGCATTTGTTTATTTTGGACCTCTGTTGACACCCGCATGCCCTGAAAACTTGTTTGTTTTTGTATTTAGTTTATTATTCTTTTGTAATGTCCAAAACTTTTTTGATTGGTCGCAAAGCCTTTCTTTTCTTACCTTGCATTGTGATCGCTAAGCTGTGGTATAACATTGTGTTATTTCCTGACAGGTCGGTCTGACACCGGATGACATCTGAGGTGGCTAATCAATGTGATTCAATAGAAACTCAATCTGCTGCAGTGGTCCTTTGGTGTCCCAACATTGTTAAAAACTGTGAACAACGTTCATCGTTGTTCCTTGATGTCGACTTCTGTCTAGTGTCTTGAATTGGCAAGCCTGAATAATCACTGTTGGTATTTTTAATATGGGGCTGTATAGATATCAGTCAACTAAAGTTTTATTACCAAGTTTTGCTCACTTTTTATTTACGGCAGGCCTGTTAAGGGATAATATGGTCCGTTGGTGTACATGCCTTAGAGATTATTTAGGCTGTGTGATCGATCAGTGAGCTTTCCTTGGGTCTTTTTAAGTGGGTTCTGTTGGGGTGGAAAAGCTAATTCGTACATACGAGGTAGTGGCCCACATTTCTATTTGAAAGGGGAAAAAGTCTACTTTGACTCCCTTAAAAAGGTAGGTTCGTATTCTCAATAAAAAAAAACCGAGTTTGACGACTTCCTCAAATCTCAAATATTAAAACCTGCACAGATCAACTACTATGACAGGATTGAAGGTGTGGTGTTAAATGATGTAGCCTTTGATCCTGGTCAACACTGCTGTCTTAGTTGGGGTAATGGGAAATAAAGGGCGGGGGCTTCTTGGCGGGTTTCTTCCACGTCCAGTGTTCCCCATCTCGTTGCTTCGGCAGGAGGTGTGGCTGCGGCGGCTTCGTCGACGGCGAGGAGGGTGTAACCGTGTAAGAGCAGGGATAGTGAGCTCGCCGAGTGAGGGCTCGTCGGCATCTGCTTCGCACATCCTGTATCGGGTAGGCCCATTCGACTACGAGCTGGCAGTGGCGTGCAAGTCCAGGACCAAGGCTGCGAGGTAGATCTTGTGGAGCCTAGACAACCTTGGTCAGTGATATTTCAAATACCCCAACGTGAGGGTGAGGTTTTTTTCGTTTTGCTAGCTAGGCTGGTTCAGATTTGTGTTTTGGGCTGGAGTTCTAGGGTTTGTTGTTGCAGTCTGGTGGGTGCGTGCGATTTCTTTGCTTGGTTTGAAGGCCCGACGAGCAGTTTCATCAAAGAATTGTTACTAAAGATGGCAGGTTGAAGGCATCAGAGCTTGATGTAACTAGGCAGGAGTTGGCTACATCAGGCTGTGTTCTTTTGTCTGTGTTACCAACACCATTTCTCTCGTTTTTCGTGTGCACGTTTTTCAAACTGCTAAACAGTATGTTTTTTTTTAAAAAATATTTCTATACGAAAGTTGTTTTTAAAAAAGCTAATACTTAATTAATCACACGTTACTGGACCACTTCGTTTTCTGTGCGAAGACAACTCCACCTCTGACAGCTTAGGATTATTATAATCTATATTATTAATTAAGAGTAAGCTGAAACAGATAGCTTATTATGATATATTATTATAATCTCCGACCCTATTTGATTCAGCTTAGGATTATTATAATCTGGATTATTAATAGTAAGCTGAAATGGATAGCTTAGGGCCTGTTCACTTTGATGCTAAAATAAACCTTACCAAATTTTGGCAATACCAAAATTTTGGCAATGTTGGCACTATTACCAAATTCTGACATAATTTCTTATGTATTTACTAAAATTTGGCAATAAACTAAATGTAGGCACTCTTTTGGCAATTTTGCTAAAAAATGGTATGGTTGAAAGCTAGATTACTATAATATGGTAATTCACTCTAAATGTGCTTTTTTAATTATTGGGTGGCTAACAGCTAACAAACAGTTAATAATCTAGAGAAACAAACAACTAACAACTTGTTTTATGTCGGTTTATTATAATCCAGTTTATAGTAATCTGGCTCAATAATCTAGATTACAATAATCTTAAACTGAAACAAACATGGCCTAAAGATAGCTGTGTTAAAGGATAGGAATAAGTTCACATGCCGTCCCTCAACATTATACCGAGTTTGTTTGACATCCCTTATCCTCAATATCAGAAATCTTCACCCCTAAACTGTACAAAACCGTGCATTTTAGGTCCCATAGTAGTATAGAAACCTGGTTTTGCTGACTTAGCATCCTAGTCGAAAAAAAAGTATGTGGGGCCCACATGTAAGTGAGAAAATGATGTGGGCTTCACATCTCTTCTTTATTTCCTTTTTCTCTTCTCTTCTCTCCTTGTCTTCTCAGTCGGCAGCAGATGGGGGAGAGGCGGCCGGTGGCAGGCGAGCGCACATGAAGAAACTAGGCGGTGGTTGTGCGCATCGTCTGCATCGTGCCTGCTCCGTCCGCCGCCGCCCCGCGCTCACACACTCCTGCCGGCCACCTCCCCCTCCCTCCCAAGCTTGTGAAGAAGAGAGAAGAAAGAAGATGATGACGTCGTCATCCCCGGGTGGTTTCCCACGGCCGCACCCGACGGCGGGGGCAGTGGCGGCGGCGGCAGAACAACCAGCTTGGAGTTGAGAAAGTCGTAGCGTGTAGGCCGGGCAGGTGGCTGCGCCAATGGTGACGACATTGGCGGGGACAGAGGCATCACGAGGATCGTCGGGCCGGTCATCCCTCCGAGCAAGGGGAGGTGGAGTAGCAACGAGGAGGAGGTGGACACCCGAAGGGAGGAAAGCAGTGGGGAGGTGGAGTAGCAACGAGGAGGGCTAGGACGCAGCCAGTTGATGCCGGCAGAGGAGCCACTCGGCGCCGAAGCACCAGCAGAGGAAGACAAGGGATTCGCTGCTGCCTCTGACCCCTTTGCCGCCGGGAACTGAAGAAGAGAATAAAAGAAAAGAGAAAATTAAAGAAAAAAAGAGATGTAGACCTCACATTTTTCTCTTTTCACTTACATGTAGACCTCACATACTTTTTTATATTTTTTTCTGACTAGGATGCACGTCAGTAAAACCGAACATCTATATACTACTATGAGACCTAAATTGTATGGTTTTGTATAGTTGAGGGGTGAAGATTTCTGATATTGAGGGTAAGAGATGTCATGTAAAGTTGAGGGGCTGTGTTCGGGAGGAGGGGTTGCGGCACGCAAAACGAAGCCTCTATTATTGCATGATTAATTGAGTATTTACTATTTTTTTAAAAATAGATTAATATGATTTTTTAAAGCAACTTTTGTATAGAAATTTTTTACAAAAAAACACACCGTTTTAGTAGTTTGAAAAGTGTGCGCGTGGAAAACGAGGGGAGGGGTTGAGAACTAGTACTACCGAACGCAGCCTAATTTGTGAGATGTACTCTCTTCAGTCTTCCCTTCCAAAATCACACAGAAAACCCTCACACAGAAAACTGCCGATGGCGGACGCCGTCGCCGCCTACGATGCGCTGCCCGCGCCTCCCTCTCCACCCTCACCCGCGTTGCCACCGCCGTTCCAGCCCCCGCCCCCCGATACCCCGATATCCGACGCCACCCCATCCGCCGCCGAAACCCCCAATCTCCCCGACACCCCCGCCTCCGCCTCCCCCTTCTCCGACGCCGCGCTCGCCGCCGACGCCTCCGATGCCGATGCCTCAGCCGTCGCCGCGCCACCCGACGACGACGGGACCAACCCGTTGGGCGGCGCCATGAAGCACATGGCCCTCGCGCCCCCGCCGCCGCCGAACAAGAAGTCCAAGAAGAAGAACAGCAACAGCGTCTGGACCAGGCCCAACTCCCGCAAGGGCAAGAAGAAGGCCAAGCAGCCGGCCAACGCCCTCGCCGGCGGCAGCGCCGGCGCCAACGGCCGCCTCCCCAAGCCCTCCAGCGGCGACGACGAGCTCGTCCTCACCCCGGCGCCCCGATTCGCGGCCGAGCGCAACGACGACGCGCCCGATCTGCCCGTGCTCCTCTCCCGCGTCTTCAAGTCCGACAAGGTCGAGGTCTCCGACGACCGCCTCACCGCCGGCAGCACAAAGGGATACCGGATGGTGCGCGCCACCCGCGGCGTCGCTGCCGGCGCTTGGTACTTCGAGGTCAAGGTCCTTCACCTCGGCAGCACCGGCCACACCCGCCTTGGATGGGCTACCAACAATGCTGACATCCACGCTCCCGTAGGCTACGATGTGTTTGGATTTGGATACCGCGACATGGATGGTACCAAGGTGCACAAAGCATGGAGGGCCAATTATGCCGATCAAGGCTATGGCGAGGGCGATGTACTCGGCTTCTACATTCATCTACCTGATGGAGAGCTGTATGAGCCCAAGCAGCCTTTCCTGGTTCACTACAAGGGGCTTCCTTTCCGCGCAGAAGCTCCCAAGGCAGCTGAGCAGAAGACGCCGGATCCAGTTCCTGGTGGGTATCATTGTGTTACTTCATGTGTCTGAATAAACTGGTGGTAGATTGCCAGCCAGGAAAACAACACACGCTACTTTTCACAAAACAACTTGGTATGAACTAGCAATTTCACAAATAATAAGATTCTCTATGTAATAACAAGGATGCGTGTTTCATGATGTTATATGGAATACTTGGAGTAATGTAGAATTTGTACCAATTACGGAATTACCGGTAGTAGATTTACATAGATAAAGTGATTTAGGATCCAGGACAACAGATTCGAGTGCTATTTACATGTATATGGTTATATAGGAAATATTAGAACTTCCAATAGCTGTAATGTGACAGTGGTGCACTTGTCCTAACAAAACTAAAAAGTACGTTTAATTAAGTTTTTGCATCCTATGTTTGAGCAAGTTTCTGATCTCTGTTTGGTTGGACACATTGGTACCTACTCCTACATGTGTTTCAAGTCACTGCACCTCCATTGCACAAACTAGAAAGTAGTTTCTACTCACTGCTCTTGAAATCATTTCCAAAGCATAAAGTGTCTTGTACCAAGAAATATAGCTATTGCACAAATTGTCATCATTATTATTGGAGGTTCTTAGCGCTGAAGCATAGTGAATGCAGCATACAGTTCATAAGTCACAATGTAAGAAAGAGAGCAAGAAATGCAGCAAATGCTTCTCTAGCAATGCTCTCTTGAGAGGCACAACATGAAAAATGTAACAATTTGCTTCTACAGTTGTGCGTAACTTATTGATTTGCCACTCAATCAAAGACAAGAAACACCTACCAAATGTTACTAAATTTACCCATATTGTTCTGTTCAAGAGTATCTATGTCATCATCTGACCTTAAATTATATTCTTGACTGTTTGACAGTGCATAGTCTTTTTTGTATTCCATACTAGTAAAAACAAATACCTGCAACCTCACTTTTTTGAGAAGATAATATGTTCTTGACTATTATATCCTAAAGTATAATTACTTATTTGGTTCTGGAATTTATCTACATCAAAACAAGTACTGCATGATATGCTGTACCAATCCTAACTCGAAGGTGCAATCTTCCTACTATATCATAGGAGGTTACTTTTGGGAGTGTTTACTTATCCAGCCATCATTGCAATCTTATCGTGCAGAAGATTCCATTATGTTTATGTGCACATGAATAAAACGGGCAGTTCTTTCTTATCTGTTTTCTTATGATGAAGTCAGAAATCGATGACTGTAAAGTTTTTGTTGCCTCAAAGTCAGTAATTGTAAATAAGTGCACATTAGTACCTTCCATTGAATCACTATATTTTGCTTACATGGATTAAAAAAGGGATTTCTTGTTTGTTCTTCCCATAGAAAAAAAATCAGTATCCTATATGACATTTACACAATTGCACTTAAATGACATTTCCTACTTTCTAGCATCCATTGTTAGATGCTAGAAAGTATCCATCGTAAGTAGGAAAACAAGGGATGCTAGAAAGTAGCAATTTGTGCAGCCTCTCCTCTGGCCTTCTTAGATATTCCATTTTAATACTTTATGGTTCTTGCAAATGCAGGTAGTGAGATATGCTACTTCAAGAATGGGGTATGCCAGGGCACTGCTTTTGTGGACATTCCTGGAGGGCGGTACTACCCAGCTGCGTCAATGTATACACTGCCTGACCAGCCAAACTGCGAAGTCAGATTCAACTTTGGTCCCAATTTTGAGTTCTTTCCAGAAGATTTTGGAGGTCGATCAGTTCCTCAACCAATGAATAATGTGCCTTATCGACCATATCAGCTGGCGAATGAGGTGCCTGCAGAAAACGGTACTGCTGAAAAAACCATTAAACTGCAGTGAAAATTCTGCTTTAGTTAGAGCTTATGTAATCCGGTTAAACAGCACGCGGGCTGATGGCTATAGCTGGTTTAGTAATGTTTGTCTGGTTAGATGGATGCTGTAGTTATTGAATATTTTTCACTTGATGGTTTGGCCATTTGACCTTCGTGTAGCAACGCATGCCTTCAATCTTTCCCATCCATGATGGGGCGAAGTTAATCCGAGATGTTGGGGGGCGGTAAGGGCGGTTGCACGTAGTCTAGCAGTGGGATGAGGATTAAGGGCGACAGTTTAATACTCATAATATGTAATATTTGGTCAATAATGTTTGGCCGAATCTTATCCTAAGGAGGAGTAATACAAATAGATGAGAGGTACATCTAATTTTATCCATGTTATTAATTCATAAGAAGGTATTATACATTTTTCTGTGGATACATGTAAGTAGCTTCGTTAACAGAAAAATGTATCAATGAAGCTGATATTATACAGAAAATTTTCTGTTGCATACAAGGATAACAGCATTTATGCCAGATGATACTCGACCTGGGGTAGGCAGGTAGTGTGAATTACCTTTGAAGAAAAAAAATTGAAACATCAATATCATAATATATTATAACATTTTTTATACCAGTGCAGTCTCCATGTAAAGAAACACAATGTTTGCAAAGCACCGGACCTTTAATTTCCAATGTTTCATATCTTAATCTTAAATAAACAAATACAAAAACCAGCTTCATCATTCTGCGAGATAACAGTGTTGAAGAGCTGGAAGACAAGTGATTTTCTAACATAAATATGGAATTTGAAAATCCTATATAAGACAGTTGACATTTTGCATAGTTTTAAATGCATGTACATACCAACGTGAGAGAAATAACTTCAACTTGAGTGCCATTTGATTTTCAGATGGCTACAAGCCAGATCGGTTTTCAATCTGCTCAATGCCATTTCTCGATGTTGCAGCAATGAGGTCATGCTAGGTTCACTCCTTTTGCGTGCCATTTTCCGGGAGATGTTCTTCCATTTTGATTCGAATTCACAGGCTGCAGACAAATAATTCAGTTAATAGGAATTCTTACGTTTTGGTCAAACTTGAAAAGGGAAACATTCCTTTCATTTTTATGCAAAAGATGCAGATGGCACCTGAGTATTTAAAGCACATAGACAATGTTAATGTTTCTCTCTGCAGAAAAAGAGGCAAATAACTAAATATTTTCTTTATGCCAAAGGATCAATGAACATGATGAAACTTTCATTATACCAAACAAAACAAGAAAAGAATGACCAGTACAGACAGTCATGTACTCATGTTGCTACATTATTTCGGTATGGCTAAATAAACATAGCTTTCTAGGGTAATGTCATAAAATACCAACCTAAGATACAAAATAATTTCAGAAGAAAGTGCAATGACACCCTAAATCAAGTGAAAACTGCAAAGAAAAGCTGCACTTACAAGCTGGAGCACTCTATAGCTATATGCAATTCTAGTAACATCTTAATCAAGTCTGAGGCTGTTGGAGAATGATGGTTACGATCAATAACCTTCACTTCTGTTGACAAAGCCTTCAATAAGGCATGCGAGATTCCATGGCCTTCCAGCTGATGAAGCTTTGGCGCCACCTTTTAATTCACCATTATGTTGTCTCAGGCTGAAATAATAAAAATACTGTCATCAACACACAATTACAATTTAAATGTGGTATGACTAAAGATGTTCAAATTTTCACTTCATACTTTCTAATCATGTTAATTGCTACATATTCAAGCATGTAAATCGTACAAGCATGAGCAAGATAACTACTACAATATTTCAAGGCAACTGCAATGTATATATGGAGAAAAGGACAGGCTCTGATATACAGCACGAGAATATCACAGTGACACAAATAGACACAACTTAACAAACATGATGAAGACAGGTAGAGACAAGAGCAGATAACAGCTTATTTAGCAGAAAATATTCTGCATGTTTAACCTACATTGCTAGAAGTAGACCAAACTCAGGTTTGATTCATGTGCCAATATCTTCACCAAAAGGAGTAGGACTAAACAATGACCTGAATTTCGTTCTCTCCCAAGTCCCATAACTTTTCACAACAAATCGGCGGCAGGAACTGAGGTCGATTCCAACCTCCTCAATCCTTATTATTTCAAACGCTCTGCGCTGCGCCTACTTGCTACTCATGCTCTACCACAAGTCTACAACCTTCTGAGACATCTCGCTCTAGAAATCAGACAGGAGTAGGAGACAGGGAAGCAAGGTAAGCTGGGAATCACCGGCGAGGGAAGTCGGTGGTGACGCCGACGTAGGTGCGGGGGATCCGGGAGGAGGCGATGAGGTAGACGCACCACCCCGACGCCGCCTTCCCCTTCGCAGCCTCCGCCGGCGAACTACCGGGCGCGCACGACGCCGACGCGGCGGCGGCGGCGGCGGCGGGCTCGCCGGATTTGGGAGGAAGAGCGCGAGGGATCTTCGCCGATCGGAAGGTAGCGGAGAGCTTCATCTCCCACCTCGCCGGCGAGGCGACGACGCCGTGAGAAAATTTTCGAATTGGGGATATTTTTAGCACGTGCTTTTTTAGAGGAGTATCAGGCCGTGGCCCGTGGGGCGTGTTGGACATGGGCCGAATGGACAAATGGGCCGTACCGGAATGTGAGCCTAATTCGACACGGCCAGTTTAAGCCTGGGAAACGTGCGTCGAAAATGAATTCCGGCATGCTTCGAACGTGTGAAAATATGCGATAAATCAGAAATCTACGTGATGGAATTCGGATGATTATATTGCAGAGGTTGCACGTGCCAAATAACCGTGCATATACTAGCTGGGAAATGGCATTTTTCTGATACGCGTAGGGGAAAAGGCTCGCTTGTGCCAAATTTGAAGCTGGGTTTGGGTTGTCATGAAAGGCAAATGGAGAAAAGAATTAGGCACTAGGGTGAGTGTAAATCAGAGGGTGGTTAGGCAGTGCAACCCTGGAAAGTTTTTCCAAATGTGGAATGCAAGCTCGCGGCATGAAAGATAACTGGGCGCTAATTGCCTCTGCATTACTGTTCCTCATCCAAGTCTGACACTATGATGTTCAGTTAACAGGTTGATGTCGTGTAAAAAAAATAGGTTGATGTCAAGATCCTCAGACATCTTAATGTGGAATACAAATCTCTTTTATTTCTAATGGGAAAATAGATAACCGGCCCAATTAGTGTCAAATGCATAATCTGAGGACACCTGGTGTCCAATAATGCAACACTCACATGGTTCTTGCTTGAATTATCTTGAAGTAGATGCTCAATCTAAAATAGTCGGTTATCTTGTACTCAAAATGATCTAGTGCAAACTGGCGGATTGTATCTTTAAGTCCAAAAGGCTTTCTGAATAAAGGTGCTTCTGAATTTCATTTAACGACTGTCCTATCCTGAAATTGTCAAACTGACAACCAGTTCAGCCGAACTAGCGCGTATTTAAATTGCACTGATCTTTCATCTTAATATTAAAATTTCCTGCAATTTTATTTGGCAGAAAAAACTAGTTCATCAGTTAGCTTGCGGCATTGCCACGTGCAGCATGCAAAGCACAAGACCACCAAACTAACATTCCTACCCCAGCATGGCTGCATTTCACTGTAATCTTCTTCAGATATAAACATGTCAATTTGCTTCCGAAGAGGCTGGAGCCTTGCATCAGTCCCAAGCAGAGTGGATCATTTTGGAGGTTTGGCCGATCAACTTTCGAGTTTTTGGTTGCATATAGTCACAACCAAACTCAAGATGCATGATGAATTTCTTCCAAGAAAAAAACTTTTGGATTAATTGCCCGAAATGTGGGAGCAGAGAACGCGCAGCTATGAAAGACACGGTGCCTGACAACGCATTTCCCGCCGTTTTCAAATCAACAGAAGCAACTCTGAGCTTTCCCTCCATTTCTCATGCTCCCTGCGTATATAACAAGCTCCATCTCGGATCGAGCGCATGCAGCGGTGACACATGGCGGCTTCTATCTCCGGAGCTCGCACTTGCTACCCTAGCGCGGCGGTGGCGCGACGTGGCGGCGGCGGCGGCCGGTGCTGCTCCGTCGTCAGGAGCTCGCTGGCGACCTCGTCGCCGGCGACGTGCAAGCCGTCAGGGATGATGCGGATTGGCAGGCAGTGGACGGAGCTCCAGGGTGCTCGTGATTGGGACGGCCTGCTTAACCCGCTCGACGGCGCGCTCCGGGGCGAGCTCGTCCGCTACGGCGAGTTCGTCCGCGCCGCGTACGCCAGCTTCGACTTCGACGGCGGCGCGCCGTCGTCGTATGGGTCGTGCCGGTTTCCGACCAGCTCCCTGCTGCGCCGCTCCGGGCTCCCTGAGACTGGCTACCGGGTCACCGGGATCCTCCACGCCGCGTCGACGTCGGCGCCGGGCTGGCTGTCGTGCAGGTCCAGCTACATTGGGTACGTCGCGGTGTGCGACGACGAGGACGAGATCGAGCGGCTGGGTCGCCGCGACGTCGTCATTGCGTTCCGCGGCACGGCGACGTGCGGCGAGTGGGTGGACAACTTCAAGTCCACTCTCACCCACCTGCCGCCGCGATCCGGCGACGGCGAGGCGGCGCCGCCGATGGTGGAGAGTGGATTCTGGAGGCTCTTCACCACCCCGGGCGAAGCGCACGGCAGCCTGCAGCAACAAGTGCGCGGCGAGGTGCAGCGGATCGTCAGCGAGTACGGCGGCGAGGGCATGCCGCCGTTGAGCATCACGGTCACCGGACACAGCCTCGGCGCCGCGCTCGCGGTGCTCACCGCCTACGACATCACGACAAACTCCCCCATGCAACGCCACGGCGGCGGCGACGACGACGACGGCGAGGCGCCGATGGTGACCGCCGTGTCGTTCGGCGGGCCGCGCGTGGGCAACGCGGCGTTCCGGCGAAGGCTGGAGGAGAGCGGCGGCAAGGTGCTCCGCGTGGTGAACTCGAACGACGTCGTGACCAAGGTGCCGGGGTTCCCCGTCGACGGCGACGACTGCGGCGGCGGCGCTCGGGAGGGCGACGCGCCGGCGAGGAGGAAACCGAGGTTGCCGAGGTGGCTGGTGTCCAAGATGGGGTGGGAGTACAGCGACGTCGGCCGCGAGCTGCGCCTTTGCAGCCAGGGCGACACGGCGCGCAACGTGGTTGCATCGCATGACCTTGATTTGTATCTCAAGCTCGTGGCAGCCTGCACATATTAGTTAGGACCTGTGTCTACGCTAACACAGTAATTAACACAGTAATTAGCACAGCTTAGTTAGGACCTGTAGCCAATGCATTAACACGTTAGGAGTAATTAACGCACGCACCTCAGTTTGCTGTCAAACGGTGATTCTTTTTTTTTTTTACTGACAGAGAACAGGAATAGATCAACTACAGAGTGACAGTATCAGTCATTCACAGTTTCTGTAAAATGGTGATTCTTTTGTAATGACAAAACGTAACGGAAGTTAAAATGTCTTTTGACCTGTTCACATTACTGTTCTTCCATAACAGTTCATATACTGTTCTTCCAAAACGTAACGGAGTACGTCATTTGCTTAGCAGATGACTTAACGCGTACATTGTCATGGAAAATTGGACTTTCGATGTTTTTTTCTTTTCGTAGTAAAACAAAGCAAATTACGGGCTGTTCTGTTATAAAAATGGATGAGCTACATATTATCACTGTTTCAGCTCGAAAGCATGGCCATCCCGTTCTTTTTCCCTTCTGCACCGGCCAAAACGCAGAACATTACAACTGTCAGGTGTTCATGGCACTGTAATTCCTAGTACAAATACAGTTTTACCTCTCGCAGGATAAACTATAAGTGTCTAATAGCATCAGGCACGTTGCTTCTTCCCACTTGGCATATCATCATCGTAATGCCCGCCATCATGCCCTCCATCTTTGTCACCTTTCTTTCTCGCAAGTATCTTGTTGATTTTGTGGAGGTCATTCGTGAGCTTCTGGTCCTTGTTCTGCTTCCTCGTCTTCCTGCCATCCTGCATCTTCACCCCAAACTGGAATGCAGCCTTCGGCATGGCTTCCTTCTGGTCGTTGTATGTGGCCCACTCCTCTTCTGTCTCAAAGTCCCACCTGTGAAGACGGCCCTTAGCCTGCAAAGGAATCATACATTATAATGAAGCTGGAAATAGGTAGTATTAAGTTTTTTAAAATGGATAGAAAACATGAGCTCAAGAAATCCACAAAAGCAAGTTTATCTTTTTTTTTCTTTGAAACAGAGGAGAAACAGCTCCTACCCTTACCAAATTTACTCTTAAGGAAAAGCATCAGTTCAGCGACAGGAAAAGACGAAAAAAAACTAAAAACATCCACTGACGGGTTACACAACAAACTGTGCCATCCCACACATTCTATGTAACCCCTAAAACAGGCTAGGTGAAACAGGTCCATCAAGTCCACACAAGAGGCTAAAAAGCAACTTTATCTGCTATAACGAAGGGAAACGAAAAAAAAAAAAAGCATACAGAATACTACAGTACTCACTTACCCGGCCACCCATGTCCATCTTCGATAAATCATCTTCTTCATCGCTGCCTGCAATCTCATGATTATACTCCTGATAACCAGGATAGCACTCGGAGTAACTATCCGAGATAAAATTAGGATCTTTCTCCCGTGCATCTTTCTCCCTCAGCTGTTTAAGCCTTTCATCATCGCGTTTGAAAACAGAACCAAGACCTCTGTCTTTATCTGCTTGAGTCATCAACCTTGGATCCTGGGTTATATTTGGATCAGCTAGTACATCACAGTCCTGAGCGCTTTGTTGCATGTACTGTTCTGGATAAGCCATCTGTTGTTCGCCATACTGATAGCCTGACCACTCCCCTTGATATCCAGCAGCTACCATTTGAGCTTGAATAGCATCGTACGCATTCTGACATCAGAAGAGAACTTTTAGGAAATACAGGTCAAGAATAGAACAAGCTAATAAATGGCTATTTCAGTAGAAGGTTGTAAACAAACACTTCGTTTGTCTCCAACATTCGACACGCATAACTATAATTGCTCATAACACAGTGGAACCAAAGTTAAACATTAGCTGGATTACCGGTTGTGGCCAAGCTTGAGCAGGGTCAGATGGTGGGATGGGCCCATAGATAGGTTTCTCTTCAGTGAAATAGGACTGCTTCTGATGGTTATGTGGGGACTCATCCATATCTTCAGAGACAGGGCTCTGGCTCATTTCCTTGTTAGGAACAGAATAGTAAACCCCATCTCCAACAAAAATGTCATCTTCATCTGCTCTAGCAACTGGAGCAGACGGTTTCTCATTTTTGCTTAAATTATTATTTCGAGGGGGTGGCGGCGGTGGCATATCCTTTTCAAATTGATGTTTCAGAGCAGACCCATTAGTTTGGCCAGGTCTAGCTACCTCATCGTAGTCACCACTTGCTAAACTGTTCTTCCCTGCGTAACAAGAATCAAGATATCTAACTTCATCGAGCAAAGCAAGTGAAGATATGGATGAGAAAGTACATACATTGCAAATACATTAAGTGAACTAATTAATTCGTTCATAATGTAAAACAAACGTGTAACATATGGTCATAACTTAAAATACCCAAACTTAAATTATTGACGTGAGACTATAAAACAATTGAAACAAGACTCAACCATTGTGGAAAAAAGTACCAATCATACTTTTCTTTTCTTTTTTTCACAATGCAAGTATCAGCTTCCAAACAAATCATTTCAGCGTATTTCACATATTATCTTAACCAAGAACATTTTCCTAATGTCACTTAGTTTTTCAGTCAACTTCCACTGCACAAAATCCATTTTAATTTTCAAGTAACATACCTTTTGTGTCCCTCTCCTTTTTCTTTTTCTTCAAGACTTTCCCAGATGATCCAAGTCGAAGGTATGACATGATTTTAGCAATCCTATCAAGTACAGAACCATCCACACTGACAGTTACCATCTCCTGCATAAGCAAGAAGAATACTGAGGAAAATAATAAATTTCAGGAAACTTCAATGTGGCATATGATGTATTGCCATAATACCTCTGGAACAGAGCAATCAGCTTTGCTCCTGTGAAGTGTTGTCGGAATATCATTGGTAAGTCCATCCTCCTGGTTTCATTAATGAAATTAATCACTCTCCAGCTAAAACCCGTAGTTCAAATCAAAGCAGGGAATGATGAAAAAAATTATTTGCAAATAGCATAAATCAATAGTACTGGACATGCCACAATAATAGGCAATGCGAACACCTTTACTCTTATTATCAGAAAATCATTTGGAAGGTTAAATCCATTAAATGAAAACATTATGCATACAAAATATGATCTAGTGATGATTTCTGACTTGTAAGATGGATCATGGTCATAGTGAACATACTGTATATTAGTAATCATTGAAGCCATGATGCATCGCAATCACAATTTAAATGTGCATGACATAAAAATCATTGCACCAGACACATGTAACCGCAATACTATACTATAGTCTATAAGTATGATATTTGAAGAGTTCTTTCATCCTTCCTTTATTTCTTCTCTTGTTTGCATATTGTGGAGTGAAGTGAGAGTTTGAGCATGTTGATTGTACTGCATTCCAGGTGATGAGCAGAGAAACAAACAATAATACATCATGAAACATAGTCATGCATCATGTATACTATAAAAGCTGACAAAACATAAGCATGTTATCATTTACATGCTAGCACAGAATTGAAAAATTCGAAATTGAAATAGCAATAACGTTTATTTGCAACATAGCAGCATCATGTTTCGTACAGATGAATCCTGATGAGAGATGAAAATAAAATAATATATTGTAGTATCATATTATGAAGGAAAATGGCCACCACCAATTACAAAAAAAATGTAATTAACATAAGGGGGAACTTTGAAGGAGGTACCATGTTGTAAATAAATGCCATCCGACCAGGAAGAAACATTTCATTCGACTTTATGATGCTTTGTGGCTTTATGATCCATTGATAGACAGACTGCAATGAACCAAGAACTGCTTTTAGTGTCCATGTTACATTACATTACATGGTCAATAATATAAGCAGCCAACATCAATTCTATTGTAAATTAAAAGGAAACCTACCTTTGCAGCTGCAGTGCGGAATGAGACTGCTTGATCTTCTTTTGTAGACCTGTACAACACAAATTCACAGGCTAAATATATGTATCCTAGTTAAATACAAACTCACGAAGTGCGTCCAGACAAGGACGAAGGACATGAGACCATATTTTCATAGTGCTACATCCCAAATCAAGAGAAATGCCTATAAGCAATTGTTGTATTATTCCAATGAGAATGCTGTACAGAACATCATGTTTCACTGAGAATGATCCAGCAGCCACTATAAAGCATAGTAAAATTATGAATAATTGAAATGCGCAGAACAATTCTGCTTGACAGTATTCATCCACAACAAAACAGGAAAACACCTACTAAAATTCCAACAAGAGAAAAATGGATCTCTCTCTTAACTTCACCTCCCATTACAAGAAATAGGACTAGGCCTAAAAAAGGTTGACAATTTGTTGTATCACAAAATAATTAATGGAATCAACTCTGCGCTTTCATAAAAATTATGCAAGTGATAGCCACTGTTTTCAATATATTACAGCATTTGAAATGAAACATGGATCTGATAGCTTGTCTACAATACTTCTCATTATTACAAAACTATCAAGAGAAAGTATAATTAAATGGCGTGAAACTAAAGCTGCAGTATGGTGGGAAGTACCTTGACTGTGTATCCTTTCCATCTTCTGCTTCAGGCTTCTTTTCTATTTCACTTCGTACTTTGTGAAGTAGAGCATAGTCCAAGCCTTTGACCAAATGTGTATGTTCCAGATCACCTTTAAGATACAAAGTGAAAATTAAATGTCAATCAACATGGTGGTTTAGAAGAAAGACAAAAAAGTGCCAGCAATCTAAGTCTCCAAATCCACAACATATATCATATTCTTAGAAAATATGTCCAACTAAAGTATCCATCTTTAGTTTTGAGCTATAGAACCAAATTCTTTGACCGCATATAACTGACTGACTAGGTCAAAATACTAAGTATATGCTAGTTCTTGATATTTTAAAATAAAAAGGAACCTAAAAAGCAAGCAGGTATTCGCTCGTCATATTTCAAATAAAAGATCTGAAACTGCCACAATTTTGTGGACATAAAACAGTTCCAAAGAAAGATTCAATTTCTCATTTCCACAGATATCAGAAGCAAACTATATCATAATTTCAACCGCTCGTGCAGATCTAATGAGCATTTGTCTATATACAAATGAAGTGTTTAAAACCCAATATAAGTTGTTCACAAAAGGATGAAAAGCATTCTCTTAAAAGAAAAGGGTATAACACTGTTGCAGTACCAACCTCCGAGATATTTGCTTTTCTCAATAGATATCTTGTGTGCATCTGCTAGCCTGTAATACAAACAATTCCAGATGCTGAGTTCCAGAATAGCATACAATAAACCAAGCATATAAAATGTCACACAAATGAAACCTGTGGTCTGTTACCTTAAATCTGCTCCAGGAGGTGCCACAGCATGAAATGAACCAAGCTCTGTAGGTTCATAATCAGGGTTTTGATCTTCACGACGCTCCTTAGCACGATCTCGATACCTTGGTGTCTCTGGTTCTTCTTTTTTCTCCTCTCTGCATGGGAAAACAAGGGAGAATTAGGTTAGCCCGATTGACTTGATCCATAAGACCCTAAAGAGAGAGGAATGCTGGAAGTAGTTGTAACTGCATCTGATTTATCAGTGACGGGTTCCCATCCTAGCGGAGCAGTGCGAGAGATGACAGGGCCACACTAGTAAAAAAAATGGGGATTTTTATTAAGTGCACAAAAATTGGTACTTTGTGGCCAGGTTTGGTATCTGGTTTAGCCAGGGCCCAGGGGTGTGAAAAAATCATTCTAGGTCCAAAAAGAAGATTCTTATTAATCATTATCAGTTTATCACTTCCTACTTTAACATGATTACAGATTCTGCAAACTTGACTTGAAATGCTGCAAAAAGGGAATTAATTATCCTCCTCTGACTACAATGGATCTGAATACCAACAGTCACTTTCCCCTAAGCGTAGGGAGAGCATGAATCGTATATTTCCAAAACTTTCTTGGTTTAGCACTTTAGTGTTTACCACTTAAATGCCATTCTGCTGGATCAACAGCTTGTGATATGTATATACTCCTACAATACGGACACATAAGGGCAGTCATGCAGGTAACTTTTTCAGATGGGTAAAGGAGTCACCACTGAACCTAATTCCTTTCTTTTTATAGTAATGCAAGTCAGTGTGTTGAAAGCGAACGAGACATCTAGTTAAGTGGGATGGTTCAGTGAGTGAGGCAACTTGTATGATCCCTTAGACCCTAATCACAGTCTAACAAGGTGGCTATAGGATTAACTGCAAGAACAATGACTTCAGTCGTTTGTTTTCATTCCAAAAATTCACGAAATCACACTACTACATAGAATCTGGATCTCAAAAACTATTTTGCAAGCAAACAGTAACTATATCATCACAGGTTGCAACTTCTGATATATTCTTTTTAACAATCAACTTCTAATAAATTTCTCCTACAGTTCCAAAACATATCGATTATGTCTCTACATCGAATCAGTTGAAATATTGCAAAATAAATGCATAAATACATCTTTCAAATGAAATGATACTTACTTCCGCCGCATCATCTTCTCCTTGTAGTAGTTCTTCTTGGACGACATCTTATCCAATAAGCCCTAGCAAGCCGGCGGTGGGTGGGGTCAGCGGCAGGGGCAGAAAACCCGCGTGGTCAGGAGGCGGCAGCGCCTAGCCGCCGGAGACGGGGCAAGCTCGGCGGCCGGGGGGCTTCTCGCCGGCGCTGAAGGAGACGAGACGACGAGGAAGGCAAGCTGTGCGGCGGCAGAGGAAGAGAGGTGGGGGAGACAACAAGTAGCGCAGCTAGACGTAGGGAGAGTGGGGGGGGGCAGAGCTCCGCGGCGGCCGGGAAGGCGAGTGGGTGGAGGAGGGAGGGAAACGACCGAGGTGGCCTCGCCGGCGCCGGAGTAGCAAACGGGGAGACGGAGACGACGGCCTCCGATGGGAAATTTCTCGTCGGAGGAGGAGGTAGGGGAGTCCGTCTGATTTGCGCTGGGCCGCGGCCGCGAGGGTAGGATCACATGGGCTATTATTGGGCTTCGTGGCGCACGGCCCATACTGATCCAAAAAATTCGGCCCGCTATCTCAAGTGGTCGAACTAACCTGGATCCGATCCGATCGTCCGCGCGAGTCGGAATGGAGGTGGAATTTTCCTCCTCCATACTGGACGATCCATTCGTTCGCGCGTTTGTTTGGATTGCCTCTTCTTCCTCCCGTCTACGACTACTTCTTCACGAACGGCCTCCTCTTCAACGATCAGGAGAACCTTAACCATAGCCGCCGCGTGATGATTAATGGCCGGTGGTGGTGGTGGTTTACTTGGAGTAGGAGGGTGGTGCGACGAAATCAGCCGCCGCCGTCGCCGTCGCCGCCACCAGCGGACGAAGACGTATTACCGTTCGAAGAGTACCCGCCGCCATCGTCCGACGAAGAGGAGGAGGAGGAGATCAACCACCCCACGCCACAGACCTCCAACGAGGCGGCTGACAGGCGCCCTGGATTACTCCCGGCCTCGCGCAAGGCCATACAGGGCCTGCGTGAGGTGACGGCGGCCGGCGCGGGAGAAGACGAGTGCGCCGTGTGCCTGCAGGATTTCGAGGCGGGCGACAAGCTCAGGATGATGCCCTGCTGCCACACCTTCCACCAGCGCTGCATCTTCGACTGGCTCCGCCTCAGCTGCATCTGTCCTCTCTGCCGCCACACTCTGCCCACGCAGAATGTGGAGGACGACAGGCTTGGGCGCGCTGCCCACACAGTGGCAGGATCAACCGGCTGATGAACCAGCCGAAAAGGCTTCTAATTTTGTTCCAGTTCACCTGCTAGAAATCATTAGCAGTAAGCAGATAGGTGATTTCTCTGTTCCAACATTTATCTTCCCATGAATGTAAATCTACGAAGCATGTTGCTGTGACGGTCTACTCCAGATGAGCAGTACTCTGAGGCATGTTATTTATCTTCTCTACTGAATGTCAAAACTATAAGTGCAATGCCATGTTTATTTCATCTCTCTTTGTTGTTAGCTGTAACCATGTTAATTATGCTAGCAATCCTTGTTCTGTTTAATTGAAGAAGTTTATGCTAAAAGATAACTGAAGTGCCTTCTAACAACAAAAGACTTTAACAGCTTTTGTGGTTTAACTCAATATTACAAGAGTAGTGGACAGAACTGGAGTACAGAGATTAGACCACGTCCTCAAGGAAAAATCTCAGCATAAGCAGCACAAAAAGATGTTTGGGGGTTTGATGAAAATAAATAGGAACCATTTTAACAGATACAGCAGTTTAAGACCGATTGTATAAATTGTGCACGAGCAGGTACAAAAAATAGTATCTGGGGAAACCAACATGTTAACCTCTTATATTTTCACTTAAGACAATACTAGCACTTGTTTCAGTACAACTGTTGATCACATAACTCATAATACCCAATGTGAGATATAACCGTCTTGATAAATGAGGTTGCCTCTTTCCTCAGCAGTGGCAAAAACATAGCAGCAGCAGTAGTTGTATTCTTTTATCAATGTACCTAACCTATATGGCCTATGCAGAAATTTACTTGGAGAAACCTGAACAATTTGAACACAGGAAGCACCCTCAGTGAACATTCAGTCTTTCGCATCCATTATTCCACCTGATGTTACCTGGAAAACGTGCTATTGGTCAAGGGAAACAATTTTTTTTACACCACATTATTGCTAATCTGTCATGCGAAGCTTCAGAGTTTCAGTGATGGAAAACAACAGGTTTTTTTTTCAGATGGGAAAAACAGCAGCTGCAAGAGTTTTGAGGAGAAAGTTCGGACAAAGAAAAAATCAATCAATATTTTAGCAGCATACTGAACCAAGGTAACCAATTGAACAAGTAGTTTCAGTAAACATGTATGCACAATGCAAAAGGATATAGCTTCTCCCTCAGGCAGGTTAGGGGCATCAAAGATCTTGCAGACACGCTGCTCTCCTTTGCCTTTCCTCAGCATCAACCGGATGGTGGCTGCATGCGCCAGAACGTGGCCTCCCGCAGGTTTCTTCGGGTCAGTTATGAACATTCCACCACCTGGGTCCGCAATCACTGAAACAAAGACACTTGTAATTTGAAATTCCTTATTGAGTTACTCTTTCTTGGGATAGACAGGATTAGTCCTGAAAGCACACCTTGGTTGGTGATGTACACTGCAACATTGAACTCCTCAGCTATCTTAGTAAGGCGGGAGAGCATCTGTGCCAATTTTTGCTGCAAGTTCAGAGTAATTAGTACATAACTTTAGGCCTTCAACTACTTTATGATTATTTATTTGTGTGTGTTTTAGCCAACACAAATATTGGCAATACCTGGCGCTCTGCAAGTTCACCCCTGCCACTGAAATCAACACGGAATAGTGCAATCACAGAATCCACAATCTAATTCCAGGTAAAACAATACTACCACATAAGAGATTGAGATACACAAACTTATCAATGTATTTTTATGTTAAGCCATGCCTACCAGAAGCCTGAAAGGCTCTTCAGCCATCTTGGCAGCGAGGCCAAGGAGCAAGTTGTACTGGTGCTCATAGGTGTATGCACGAGCATATATGATCTAAACAAGAAATAGATGCAAATATAACAGATAGCTTCTTTTGTTAGGCCTGAAATGGTAAAGTCAAATTAAGGGCCATACGTTATCAAGAACAGCATTGGCATCCATCCCAAATCTCTCAGCAATTGGCACAATTCGTTCAGGCCGGCTGAAAACTCCATTAAGGAAACAAGTTGGAGAGATACAGAAATGCAAATAAATCCATTGAATGGATGGATCAGATGAAGCTATTGCTAAGTAAATTCAAAAGATACAATGTTCCCTCAGTGTCAATGTAAGCAACCTTCCCGTTCCCCCCATGCATGTGAATTGGAAGCTGCAGTTTATGAACAAAAAAAAAGAAAATAATTCACTGAATCTATGGCAGTAAGGTGGTGATGACAAAAACATGTATTAAAAATGAACCTGAGTGGAGACACATAGAGTGTGAGCCAACTGGGTCTTCCCTGATCTGAGGACCAAAAAAGTGAAAGATTACAAAGCTAGGAAGCCGGAACCAAATTGAGAAATAGTGAAAACTAACTCCAGAGCACATCAAGGTTCAAAGTTTGGCTGGCTCACATTAAAATTAAATAGTAAGATGTTTTATGTGCTACAGAAATCCAAATTGTTCCACGCGATACAATTCTAGGAAGAACTCTATCATACATCAAATTTGTTGCAAAACAAGATAAATCAGCTAAATGTAATGTTTAGTAGAACCAATTTGGTATAACATCAAAGGAAATAGTTTGACAATATTGATGTGTATATACCTGAAGTTTACAAATGAGAAGTACAGTATTAAGCTCTCAGTTTTAGCAGAACACAGAACATGTTTAGGAATTGCTGTATGCACTGGCATGAATAGACGATAGAAATGGGTGCACAACAGGTTTGAAAAGGCACTAGCAAATTAACTTAAACCAGAATACTAATAGTATTAGTAAGCTTGATTTCACCATATTTATTAGACAGGTATGGCCACACATCATAAATTTCATTGATACAACCAAGCTGCAGTTGTAAACGAGGGCAAAAAATATCAAAAGGAACATGAACATCTACGCACCGGAACTCTCCAAATGCCTCTGTGATGCAGAGTGTTTCAATCCCTCCTTGAAAAATTGAAAAATGTAAGTAGATTAGAACAACATAATGGAACAACTGATCATAACAGAGTCAGAGGACTATATATGTTACCGCCAAGCAGCTCATCAAGTGCCTGGCTCCCAGTGGTGATCCGAACAACAGACTTCCGCTTCAAAATAAGAAAAATAATAAACCGAACAGCCTAGGGAAAGTGCACAGCTGGAGTAACTAAAAGCACTCTAGCGTCCATGAAGCAAGGAATAGTTTCCACTTATTTGCCATAACACCATATCCTTAAATGCATTAGTACGCAGATCAGCTCCTATTAACTTACCTTGATAAGGAGATCACTTCCTGTCATGAAGCCCTGGCTCTGAGAAAAACAAACATAGCAGTTTCAGAAGAACAAATCATACAGAACTGACGTAATGAAGATTTCAGACCAAAAACAATGAAAAGAGAACCACACCAGAAGCTTTTCAGCTGCTTCACAGATCTTGTCTACCTTTGCTTCAGATAATCCCTTGATTCCTGTCAGGCTCTACAAGATGGATCCATATATTGAAACAATATCAGATAATTATATTGTAAGACAGAAATGGGACAATTGAAAGAATATAATCGTCATAAACCAGAAATAGAACAAGTGGGAGATAGCATGAAGATTTGGGAACCCAATTTTGCAACCTTCTTTGTATGCATCATGAGGCCATTGCAAGTGTAGATACCAGCATCCTGCAGCTTCTTCACATCTCCAGAGTTTATCCCTTGCGAGATTACTGTGGACAAGTGCACGAGAGATGGATAATAATGCAGAGATTATGCTCAATTGCTCATAGTTCGAATTCATGGATATGAATGAATAATTTGCAGGAAGAACCATATGAAGAATGAAACCCAGGGAGAAGTCAGGATCACACCAAAACAACTTACTAATATTGAACTCGCTAGAATTAGGGAGCCACCAGAAATCGTAAAAGTACAAGAGGGACTCAAGCTTAAACCCTAAACCCTCCAAGTACACAACTGGTTCAACTAATATACACTCAAGTTCACCAAAACACAACTGGTTCAACTAATGGGCAGAACCCCACATGTTTGAACTAGCCGGGGGCGAATTCCGACGAGTTCCACCAAACGCGGGTAAAATTGACTGAAAATGGGGATAAATTCGAACCAGCCCTCTCACATGCCACACATCGATCAGCAGGAAATAGCCCAAAACAGATATCAAATGTGGGGAGGCGAAAAATCCCGAAAAAATTGGCCACGATACGAGGCTAATTTACGTCCAGAACACACGAAATTGAGGGAGAAAAACTAGAAGCAACCGAACACGCACAGCACAAAACAACCAGACCCCAAAAAAAAATGGAAACACAAAATAGGCTAGAATCCATCTACTTCACCGCAAATCAGCATCAAATTACAATGTGAAGAGTAACCAATCGAAACGCAAGGCAGAATGAGCACTCGCACGCGCGAACACACACGCGCACACGAGCACGAGCCAAGCAATGCAGTGCCGGGATACGAGACGGGGGAGGAGGGGATGGAAATGAGGCGGAGGGCGTTACATACACTTGTCGATGGACTCGAAGCACTCCTCCTCCTCCTCGATCCTCTCTGCATCCATGAGCTGGAGCTGCCCGCCTTCGTCGTACTGCTTGGACGGCGCCATCTGCTCACACAGACCCCCCGCACCTGCGTCAAAATGCGATCAGGAGACAACCCAACCGAAAAATCACCCCAAAACCCTAGCAAAGACGTCGAGCGGAGGCCGCTGCGGCGGAGAGAACCTTCCTCACCTGTAGGCGGAGGCGGCCGGCGACCGGCGACGGCGAGGTCGGAGCGGCGGCTTGTAGGAGAAGGAAGCAGCAGAGGCGAGACGACAAACACACTCGAAGTGGTGTTGTGCTTGTGCCGTTGCGTTGCGTTGCGTGCGGCGAGGTGGGCTACTTGAGGCTCTCGGGCCTTCTGGAATCGTCTTGTTATTGGGCTTCTCCTCCGGGAGGAATAATTACTACTGGGCCGTTTCACCCAGCCCAGCAGGATAGAGAGGCTTGAGGCCCACGCGGTTCAGACCAAACCAGGCCCAACTAGGCCCTCCGGACTCAAAACTCGCTCATGGGAACAGAACCGAAGCAAACTAGGATTACTAAACAACACTATTATTCCTTATTTCCATTACAACTCTCTGTTTCTTCCCGAGAAAGTTTACAGCTCTCTCTAATTAACTGCAATTAGTTTTAGCATATATAAATACTAATTTATTATAGCAATACCCACTTTCCTTTTTCTGTCCAATTCGATTCACTTATGAACCCGACAATAGAAAACGGCGGCAGCGGCGGCGATGGATCGGCGGCGGCGGCAGCGGCGGAGGGAAGTGCGATCTGGAAGAGTGAGCTGGTGCCGCAGCTACAGCTACCTCCGGGCTACCACTTCGTACCAACGGACGAGGAGCTCGTGGACTTCTACCTCCGCGGCAAGATCGAGGGACGCGACCCGCCTCGCCACTTCATCAGTGAGGAGAATATCATGCGTTATGATCCCCAAAAGCTGATTGGTAATTTAATCTTCTTTTTAGCTAATTGATCGCTTGATTATCCATGAAAAAAAAGGTTTAATTATGTATGTCTATGAACCAAATTGGTTTGTGATAACACAATATGAATGCATTAGAGAAATACAAGGGCTATGGGGAAGACAGGTGGTACTTTTTCATGGTGAGGGAGCCGTCGAAGACGAAGAAGAAGGACGAGCCGAACAGGAAGGTGGTGGTGGATGGGGTGGAAGAGGGAAGCTGGAGCGCGACGGGGAGCGTGGTGCAGATTCACAGCACCAAGGAGACGAACCGGAAGGCTATCATTGGCAGCAAGAGGGTTCTCACTTATAAATCTGCTCGTTCCGCTGAGAACGACATGTGGAGCATGCATGAGTATGTCTTGGCAGGCAAATCCCAGGTACTTTGATAATCCAACATCTTTTGAAGCATTTATATATTTTTTTTTAAAAAAAAGATGATGGGTCAAAGTTTGTGTGTGAATAGTACCCTCTCAATTTCATATGACAAGTTTTCATATGACAAGTCGTTTTACTTTTTAAGTTTGACTAAATTTATATGAATACAAAACAAATATACCATCAAAATATATTCAACATAGTATATTAGATATAGTGAGACTAATTTGGTGATGTACAGATGTTGCTATATTTTACTATGATCTTAGTTAAACTTGAAGAAATTTGATATAATATGAATCAAAGTGAGTATCTGATAAAAAATAAAAGTGAATGAAGGGAGTACTACATGTTGGTGTATGATCGATCAATGTACTTGCAGATGGGTCAGTATGTATTGTGCGCGATACAGCTGAAGCAGACCTACGAGAGAGAAGAGAAGGCCCGGGAGGAGCAGAAGAATGACAACAAACGCAATAAAAAGGCCGCAAGGAGGAAGAACATGCAGCAGCAGCCTACTGCTTGCCAGGCACAAGACGAGCAGCAGGAAACAGCACCAACACCTGGAGAAGAAACCATTGTGGATCCTGACCAGTTCATGGATATTGCCCATTCCATGCATATGATGTTTGGAGGAGTAGATCAAGATGCACCACCATTCATGCCAAGCTTAATTGCTCCTTGCAACAACGATGATGGCATGCTGCAACTTCAACCACTCCAATTGCAGAACCCAAACCCTGCAATGCTGTACAGTAACCAGCTGGAACCATCGTACATTGGTGATCAGTCGATGTTCACCCCATGCTGCTGCGATAGAAACTGTATTTCTTGTCGTCAGCTACAATTTTACCAGCAACAGCAAGCAGAGGATGGCAGTGTTGCATTTGGAGAGGCTGATCTATACCAACAACATGATAGGGCATTGGGAAATACTGGTGTATACCCTGACAATGTTTGGGTGGATGGTAACATGGCAGATTATGCTCAGCGTCAGATTTACAATGATCAAGATAATGGTGGTGTATTAATGCAAGGGCCGGAGGATAGCGCAACTTTCCCTGACAACTTCCTGATGCTGGACGAAATGGCGGCAGGTAGCGATGATGCGTCAGGCTTTGATTATGAGGTTGATCAATCCATGGCAGTCGTCCCACATGTTGCTGATCAGACCGTCGATGATATTATGTCGTCACTGCTTAATTGAAATGGTGATGGGGACAATGTAAAGTAAGCAGACCATGATCATTCTTGTATCCCGTCTCCTTCACTTCTTGATTTTTTTTTGTTGTAAATAAACTTTTCTTCCCCTTAATACAAAGATACGCTATAGTTCGTAGGAACAGTATTTGTTTGTGGAGTGTCACTATGCAAAATAAACTTTTCTTCCCCTTAATACAGATATTCAATATTTGTTTGTGGAGTATCACTATGCAAAATTTTTTTGGAGAGCTCTACAATTTACTACTGGTTTATATACTCCTCACAATATATCTCATATTTTTTAGAAGTGGCTCGTGGGAGTTGATAAAAAATCTACCAAATTTATTCTTGTTGGAGCATCCGCTATATGTTGAGCTATATAGTTGTGTAGAAATGATATGGTTTTTGATAAATTACCATCTATATCCTATATGCAGGTTCTTTTCAGGGCAACATACTGGCTTCGGTCTTGGGCTCAACTACTAAAGTGTGATGAAGAAATCAAGTCGGTGAAAGCTGCATGTCGTAATCTTGAGTCAATGGTTATGCAGCTGTTCGCTAACTTTGGATGGAGATTCACAAACAGAATTCAATAATTTTGGTGATCTTTTTATGTTGTGTGAGTTTTTATTAGTTTGTGTGTGCTTTTGTTTATTCAGGTGTGAGTTTTTGTTGAATTGGTGTAATAATTGACTGTAGCTCTTTGAGCAAAGATCGGGATTATATTCTATTATAAAAAAAAAATACAAAGATACGCTCCTTACGTATTAAAAAAAATCATCTGCCAAACTGAGCTCCACTGGCCATTAATTCAGAGAAGAGAGCACAATGCCAACGGCTGGATGTATTGTGCAGCTTCCCGTGGAGTACGCAGCTGATTGCTATGAGGGGGTCAAAAGCTGAGTTATTTTCAGCAACTCGAAATGATAACTTACTCATTTTTTTTGTTAGCATATTTTTCGAACTATTAAACAGTGTGTTTTTTATCTTTTATAAAGAAGTTTTTTTGAAAATATATAAATCTATTTTCTAAATTTATAATAGTTAATACGTGATTAATTATGCGCTAATAAGTTGTTGTAGCCAAAGTAGCACTATCGAGCTGGGCCTACTAATTTTTTCCTTTTTCTATTTAACTTTACTACTACCTCCGTTTTAGGTTATAAGACTTTCTAGCATTGCTCATATTCATATATATGTTAATGAATCTAGACATATACGTGTGACTAGATTCATTAACATCTATATAAATGTTGGTAATGCTAGAAAATCTTATAACCTAAAATAGAGAGAGGAAGTATCATTTAATTTGTGAAAGGATCGCCATGTTTGTCTTTTGCTTTTGAATTTGTCTTAACATCTAGTACCTGATAGTTTCCTTAAAAAAATCTATTAACAGTGATGTTTACTCTTACATCCTCCATTGTGTCAATATCTATAGCTACATCATGTTTGTGCACATGTTTGTGGTGTTTAAATTCACATGATTCCACTCAATAGGGGTTTAAATCCTGGTGTGGTGTATGCCAATATTACATATATGAGTGTGCATAAGAATATCTTAGGAAGAACATGTAACTGTTTTTCTATTTCATAACAAATTAATAGAGTGCACAACATAACCCTTAATAATCAAAGAATTTTAGTGACAGTGTAAAAATTACATTAGTTGATGGTTTGAATATTATAACAACGAGGCTGTGTTCGGGAGGCGAGGTTGGGAACCTTGCCTCCTGACACGGAAAACGAAGCACGTGATTATAGTGAGACTAATTAAGTATTAGCCTAAAAAACTTGAAAAATGGATCAATATGATTTTTTTAAAGCAACTTTCATATAGAAAACTTTTTAAAAAAATGCACCGTTTAGCAGTTTGAAAAGCGTGCATGCGGAAAACGAGAGAAGTGAGCTGGGAAAGAGGGGTAAAGAACACAGCCTAAGTGATTTCGCGTACATAGCAATGCTATTGTAAATGATTGGAGAATTGGAGAGGCGTATTCTCGTTGCATGACTGGTTTGATTACACTCATGCATGTTTGTATATAATCATAACAAGTCATCAGATTTAGTAGCTGTACTTCTTTTGATAAATCTTTTTGGTAAATTTTCATATGATCCTACTCCCATTGTTCCTAGCTTATTAGCCCAAAGCTTTCACATCTGAAAAAGGCACACCGAGTCAGGGGCGAAGGCAGGCCTGGAACAATTTGAGCTTGGGTCCTAGGTTTGCCTCTACAATGATGATTAAATTCTCTTAATTCACTATGTAATTTTTTTTAGGAAATTAATACTCTATTAGTTAAACCCTACTTAGCCCTAGGTTAATAATTTCTAGCTCCATCATTGCACCGAATGGAACTTCGCATATCTGAGTGAGAGCCATGCCCCGAGTGCTGCTTTCTTCGGTAAATAGTTCGTTAAGTGTCAATTATAAAGGAAGGAATGGAGTATTAACTCGCACTAATCCTTATCGTCATCATTCTCTTCTTCATCATCATCACCACCACGAGAAACGTCTAAGGGTATTTTGGCTAGCTCACCGAGGTGATAAGCTAGTCGGTATGGGTTTATAGCCTCACCCCTTCTAATTATTTGATATTAGGTCATTCCCTAATATTCATGTTTTTATCATCATCACCATCGCCAGTTCGCCACCATCTTCATTGTGCCTCATTGACAGTGAGCTCGAATTACGGCTGTGTTCTTTTGGAGGGGTTGGGAACTCCTCCCCTCCGCACGGAAAACGGAACGATAGATTAACACGTGATTAATTAAGTATTAGCTATAAAAAATTTTAATAAAAAGATTAATATGATTTTTAAAGCAACTTTCCTATATAAATTTTTCACAAAACGCGTACCGTCTAGCAGTTTGAAAATCGTGCATGCGGAAAACGAGGGAAAGAACATAGCCCTTCTCGACGAACTGGAGGAGCACCCCCTCCTTGTACTCCATCCTTATGTCCTGCATTGATCGAGCGATCGATTGATGAAGCGCGCGTGGATGATTATTAGAGCAGCCGTAATGGTAAAGTAAGCTGCTCTCTATAAAACTTGTCCACCTCATCTATAGACTATTTTATAGTAAACCATCTTAATGGTGTGTCTACAAGGATATCTATAGCTGTTTTTAATACTTGCATGTACATATGAAAGACAATGATCATTCGTGAATACCATCCCTGTAACTACACATGTGGCTACATGAAAAAAAAACACAGAAACATGATTCACTTTGAGGAAAGACACTTGCAAATACCACAATATCAATCCATGGGCACAAATGAAAATAGATAACTGCAGCATCTTAACCCATCTTAACATTTGACGAGTGCAAAAGAAAAAAAAAGCACAACTACAAACTACAAACGAGAAAGGGTAAATAGTATTTGTTCGTTAATCTCTGATTGCGAGTGGATAGGAGCTTATTTGCTAATCTTTCAGTTTTGGACTAGAATTTCTTCTTTGATAACAATAACTGAATGTTTTGTCTTGATACCTGTTCAGTGTTCAGTCACGAAGTCTCAACCATGTGCATAATTTTTTTTCCCTTTCTAAACTACATGATTTAAAAATTGATCATAGCAATTGATAGTCGATAGGAATTACTATCGATTTTTTTTGGCAGAATAGTCTAGGTCATTTGTACTGATTGCTCTATTTTATCCACATTTACTAGACTATTGTTCTGTTAGCATGCAAGTTGAGCATTGAATTTTTGCTACTGACAGGAAAGAACTCAGGTTAAATGTTTGATTTCACATAACCAAAAAAAAAAGCAATGGAGAGGCAGATGATCTGGTAAGAACAACTGATGGGTGCAGCACTGCACAAGATAGTAATCTTTTTATGACTTCATCCATTCAGGTATATACGCATATATCCATTCAGGTATATATGCGTAAGAACAACTGATGAGGCAGATTTCTCTACTATTATTGATAGCGTACACTATGCACACATTAATTTAATGGTGGAATAGTCATTGTCGTTAAAACAATTAACAACGGCGCAATATCACCATCGTTAAATAAATAACAAGGACACTATCGTGGATTCTATATTTTGAAGAAAGTTTCACTCAAAAGTGAATCAGATATGAATCAGTACTGCAAGAAATAAGTATGTCTTGTCATATCAATTTTTTTTACCACGCAAAGAAATATTTTATTTACCGCTCTAATGGATCGTTGGATGTATTTTGACTGCCTTGGCCATCTGGTGGTGTTGGTACGGCACCCATCCAAGCTCCATATGGGGAAACAAATGAATTAATCTGCAGTGGAGGTGCTGTCCACCAACCTACGTCAGAAGCACACCATCATTAGTTTTCTGTTGATGACCTATTCACTAGAGGCTGGACCAACGGAGACGACGGCGGAAAGTGCGATTTTACTTGGAACAGCCATGGCTTCACCAGACAAAGGGAAGGCGACGCCGGGCTTCACTACACCACCCCACCAAGGAACGCCGGGAGGCAAAGCTTGAGGCGTTGGAGGAGCAATCTCCCGCTTGGATCTATGGCTCATCACTTGAGGTTTGAGGAGATATGAGGATTAGGGATGAGTTTCAGGAAGACTGAGCGACAAGCGGTGGATTTATGGATTAGGGGCAAACTTGGCTTGGGTCTACCGCGGGAATAAGAGGGTGATTTGGCGCATAAACTACGCGGGAAGATTAGCAGCCATGGGGATTTGGCGCCCTAGAGAAGAGGAGAGCGCGCGAGGAGGAAGACGCAGGGGCGTGCAGGGAACACCCGATCCCCTTTGGCGAGAAAACGCGTTGAATAGCGGCAGCTTGTGTCGATACGGTGTCGTTGCGAGTCTCGATTTGTGTATATCGGCTCTCGCCAGGTCTGTAGAGAGCTGTGTTCTCTTTCCTAATTTATTGTCTTTCACCTAGGAGAGATTGATGACATGGATTTTTGTAGAGTGCTTAACGGCACCTGTTGCGGCTGCCCTTAGCCTTTGCCGCCGATATCGATCGGATCTCCGACTCGGGACACAAGTATGTCTTAAAATCGCATCATTAATCTTAATTTAGATATAAGTTAATGATCTTGTGTGCTTCCATAGTTCCATCAATCTTGTTTCCTGTTGAGTGCATTATTAAGCGCGCGCATCACTAGTCTTAAGTTAGATATAATAATCATCTTGTATGTTTTCATCAATCTTGTTTCTTGTCGAGTGCATTAAGCCCTATGCTGGAATTTGTAATTTTTAAGGGACAAACCACTTCAAACTTTCGATGAGAGAGAGCAGGAAACATAGTATCATTGCTAGCAACAAACAAATATTAATTCCGCACCAAATACTGTCCCAAACAAATGAGTAGTCCATATCCCACTAAACAGTAGTATTACTTCACTCAAATAAGAAACAAATATGAATTATGCATCAAGCACTGTTCCCTGCTGTTTTTTAGATAATGGATTAAGAAACCGGCCTCTACATCCAACTGTTCCCTGCTGTTGATCGGTGAAGTTTCATTTCGTCGTCAGATGGAAGGGCTCGTGAAATACTGCTGTCATTGTTTGCTTGGCCAGTAAATAGAAGGCGCTTATTTCATCCTGTTGAATATACAATTGGCGAACTAAATCTCCTGTGTTGGTTGAACCTTTATTCTGTTTGTTACTCGGGTAATTACAACTTGGACTTTGTTGATTCTGCTTCACGCAGTTGTGCGTACATATCTGCGATTTCTTTTGCAAAGTATGCCTTAGCTTGCGGTCTTTTGATCTGCAACATCATTGAGATAGAGAATTAGCACCTTAGGTATCGAGATCTCCTGCAACAGAATTAACGGGCCTACCTTGAATGTTGGGGTGAGGAGACCATTTTCTAGTGTGAAAGGCTCAGCAACAAGGGTAACAGCTTTGGCAAATTCAAAACCTCTTAGCTGGTACAGTAAGTAAGCACAGAGAGATAGATAAGGATCATACACATCATACAGAACTTTTACTTATTAAGAGAGCATGTAAGGTAAGAACTAAGAAGTGAAAATTAAACCTGTGCCTCCTTTCCAATAGAGTCCATGTCAGCCAGGACAGCAGCTCTTGCCCTTGTATCAGCGCATAGCTGTCTTAAATCCTCGTACTGTAGGTTAGAAAGGGAAGATCATAACATAAGCAGGCAATGCGGATGTAAGGAGCTCTATTTGTAGTTCTGTTTTTTAATAAATAAAGGCAGTGTTTGTGTAGTGAACTGGAAAATATATAATAACATACAAGAAGGTAATCTGCTGATTTGGAGAAACTGGGCTGTACAAATGTATAGTATGTACTCTTTACTTCAAAAAAAAGGTCAGCACATTTACCTGGATTCCTTCCGATGCAGCCCAAGCCTTCAACACCTCTGGTTCAACTGCTACTACGGCAACCAAAGAAGAGTTTAAACTATCACCTGCATTCAAATCAACGGCTTAGAATATACATGGTAAATAATTAGTACGTAATAACCAATATAAGATCATGAATATTACCATATATAAAGCACTGCGCAATAAACTTGCACTTAGCATAGACATTCTCAATCTTCTCGGGAGCTATGTATTCTCCTTGAGCTAACTTGAAAATGTTCTTTTTCCTTGAGAAAAGAAAATTGCATCAATTAAAATTTAATAAGAAAAGTAATCAGACGAAACAGAGTTCCAGGGGAATAAATTAAAATAGATAGCCTAAAAAATTGTGTGGAAAGAGGATAAATAATTACAGACAAAAAGATTTCAGAATAGAGTTGTGGTTATTTCTCAAAAAACATCCATGCATTACAACATTTCGCAATTGAAAGCTGTCTGCTACAATAACAGTAGAGGATAGTTAAGGTTTGCTCTTCGATCAGTAGATGAGGAGTTAATATCTTGCTTTTACTTTAGTCTTTTAGCACACTAGTTTTAACCTTATCAAGTCCCTACCATCTTAGTATATGGTATGTATTCACAGAACTACAAAATACAGCAAATTCTATAATTTAGAATAGCAGTGAGCTTTCACATATTAGAGTTTCATCACCAACCATGCAAATCTCATATAACAAACAATATAATGGTGAGAAGAAAATAGTAGAAGCTGAATGAAGATTTCAAGTATGCATTAATATTTAACAACTTAATTTAGCAATCACTGATCTGGATATCATTAGGAAACTGCAAGGAAGCTAAAAGTAAGTCCTAAGATGTACACCCTCTCTTTGGAAGATTTGGAAGCATAGAAAAAATTGTGTGTTTAACAGCATTAATCTCAGTGTAACTACAGTTATCCAAACAGTGACCAATGAATGTTGGATCATGCCCAGGGCTTCTTAGGGAGTTTCCTAATAGGTCGCTTGGGTGAGGTTGTTTTTTAGTTTGTGTGTTTTTCATGTAAAGGCTAAGGTTTGTTGGTGGTTTGGATGAGGGTGGGCGTTGCTCCCTTCCTTGTTCCTGTTTTCTCATGTATTCAAGAAAAAAAGATGCACTCCCTCTGTTTCCTTTTATGAGGCCTAAAGTTTTTTCAATCTTGTTGAAAAACAGAAGGCTTTCATGTGAATTTATTGAGCCTTTTCTTTATTTTGCCCCCTTTATCACATACTCTCTCTTGCATATAGGAAGCATCACACATGACACTAACCATCCACTCTCCTATTCCTAAGGTATTTAATTAAGTATGGGTAGCATGGTCATTTTAACTCCTCTTCTTAGTATTGTACCGCCTTAGTCCTCTTGCCCACCCAAAATAAGAGCTATATTTTCAAATGGAAGGAGTACATGAAAACATCACTAATAAAACTTCTATGCATCATAATTTATTTTCGCAGGAACTTGTAGCATGATATTTTCTTCTGCCTAGGAAAAAAATTAATTTGGAAGTCAGAACTTTGCTGGATAGTAGATCAATCCTATTCCTATCTTCACCAAACTCATGAGACTGTTTAGCAATGATTGAAAGGATGCGATGGCAAAATTATCAAGGAACAAAATAGATATTATATGACGAAGGCACAAGGCCATTTTAATTCCAAAGGAAATGGCTGAAACACAAACGGTAGTAATTCAGTTTTACCTATCTATAATTTTTAAACGCCCTCCAGGCAGCCACAAACCTATGTCTCCAGTGTGCAACCAACCGTCCTCATCAATGACCTCTCTCCTGCATGTTTTCAAATGTAATTTCTGAAACTCATTTAATATATTTGAACTTAAATAGGAGACAGAAATACATAGCAAGATACGTTACGTTTGGATTTCATCCTTATAGTAACCAAAAAATATCGTAGTTCCCCTAACACAAATTTCTCCACGAGGATATGGTTGATCCTCAGAGGTGTAATTCATTTCTGGGACATCCACTAGCTTAATCTCTGAAAAATGGCAACAGGATTTACATTATGAGAGTGTGATAGCACGCAAAAAAAAACAATATTTTAGTTGAAGATGAAACCTAGACTTATTTGGGGTTAAGAAAGGTAAATATGAGATGTCACATGTTTTACATCAGTGATGGGTTACTATGCACTACAACTATATGAAGCAGACTTGACTTGATGGGCGTCATGAACACTAATTCATAGATACGATAAGGATCTGACAGCAGGGATAAAGACAAGATCACTCTTATTGGTGCTGGGTTTATCCTGATTGCCAAGAGACTATAATCAAGTTAAACCTAACTTTGTGTTTACTTTATTTTTTGATGATAATAGGGATGCAACGGTCACTTATACCGGTGGACTACATATGCTAGATAGAAATGTGTACCAATAGGCATTGTGTACTTTACAGTATCTCGACCATCAACAATTGGATCCTTATCATCCCAACAAAGCAATCTCTAATTTCCTAGTTAAACCTAGAGCCAAATGTATAGGATATTAAATAACTGATCCTATTAATCTAATTAATTATTTTGGGAAATATTATAATCTTAATGCTACAGTGGCAGACCATAACAGTGAGGGATTACTGTGAACAAAAGGACAAGTTTTTTATCCAAGCAAATCTAGTTACATCCTTGAAAATCCAAACACAGATCTTACCACAAGATGGATTTGGAGGTCCAACATGACCAATTAACCTATCATCACAATCCATTGTAGCGATGACACAGGATGTCTCTGTCATTCCATATCCTTCAATTACGAGACAACCGAAGCATCTGTTAAAAAAATAAGACAAAATTTATTAGTTAATCCAAGTTATAAAATCATGCTGTCCCAAAGGAGCATATATGAAGCCAGCTTACACTCTTAGGAATTCCATGACATCTGCTGACAATGGAGAAGCACCTGAAGACATAAGCCTCACACGTCCACCAAGCCTAGCTTTTATTTTGTTAAATACCAATTTGTCCCACATTGGGGACAGATTTCGTCCTAATAACACAAAAATGTAGAATTAACATTTCATACATGTGGTGGATAAAAAATGGGATGACAGAAAACATGTAGGAGCTGCCTAGGAATGTCATTGCAAAACTACATAAGACACTTAATTGCAATGAGCTTCATACTGTTCTTACCATTCATAATGGCTTGCCTCTTAGCATTGTATGCAGCATGAAAAAATCTTTCTTTCAACCCTCCAGACTCCTTCACAGCATTTGTAATTCTACAGAGTAATAAACAACTAGCCAGTTAGAATTACTGAAAAGGGAAAAAATTGATTTCGTGCAAAAGATATGACTAGAAATAGTCATGCCAAACACGAAAGTATCTAAGTTAATGGTATAGTTGTATTACGCAGCATAAATTCTGTTATATAGCCGGGGTACGCTAGAAAATACTGTTGGTCTCAGTGCAGCCAGATCATCCATCAGCTTCAAATTATCCTGGAAATGACAAAGAATTCAGAATTGGCGGTAAAAGATTATTATGCATGCAGTAAGATGAACATTTGATATAAAAGGAAGTGATGCATATTTGTCAAGTGTTGCACAAAGCGTTTGCTGCTTGCAAACAAGCAGCAAACACACCTGATATAACCCTATATCTAGCTGATTCCTGTGCGCAAGGAAATCCAGCAATAGGGTAGCAATATGATAGGTGCGATGGTGAGGAAAGGATTATGGTGAGCAACATAGAGGTGCAGTAAACTAACATGAGATAACAAAATGGATCCATTTAAGACAAGGATGCCATAACAACTACTATAATGGGATGATATCTTGTAGGTGAAAGGTCCAGCATAAAATGCATCTATTGTGTTCAATTTTTTAGCCGGGTCGGCCGAAACTCAACCAACCGAAATTGTATTAAGAAGAGTAGAAAGTTCAGACTTCAGAACTGTTATATAAACGACATTAGACTGTCGAAATCTGCTGTGTTCAATTGATCTCTGGATGATTCTTATCTAACAGTTAGAAATATTGCACTACCTGATCCAATTCTGCTCCTATGTCTAGGGGTAACTTACAGTTACAGGAGAACTAGCATTACCAATTGCTTTTCCAAGTGGTTTATTTCATGTGCACCTGGCCCCGGTTATTGATATATACCTTTTCTAAGTCAGAAACTCCATTGTTCTACATGTTCTATTATTTACACAAACAGCAAATGCAAAGAACTACCAAATTAACATCCTGAATGGTTTTGGATCTGCATACCCCTTGGTAGAATCCAATGGCAACTCCATAGTGAAGCAGTGCAATCTGGTTAACTCTCTCATAGATGTGAGCTAAAGGTAGATATGAGATGTACCTGTGGAGAGATATCAACATGACTACTATCAAAAACATTTAGAGATGATATAAATTTATTAAGTTATAGCAGAAAGATATGAATCTAGATTTAATGTAAACTCCTCACACATCAGATGGGTAAAACTTAATGACCACACTTGATCCTGCTACATTTGCGATTAAGTTCCTATGAGAAAGAACAACTCCCTGGAAATATGACATCAAGTGCCACAAGATTGAAAGGTCGAATTAGAAAGGCCCTTTGAATGGAGCAAAGAATAATCAGAAACATGGGTTATTTACCTTTGGTGTGCCGGTTGTGCCACTAGTGTAACAAATAGTGGCAACATCTTCAGGTTTTGGAGGACGAAAAGGTCTAGAACTCATCTTTCCCTGAGTTGAAGATTCAAAAGCGATGGAAAAATAGTGAGCAAAAGTGCTAGCAACCTTCAATCTAACACCAAAGATTATGTATATGACTGGATACAGATATGCAGGCATTTGACGCAAAACTTAAAAAGACAATATGTACAGAATGCACATACTATGTGTGTCCATAAGAAAGAAAAATGAAAACGTAGGCACACTGCTCACACAAATATAAGTGGAAACTAGATGCCACATCAACTTTGTCTGATATGGATAAATCATTTGGAACAAGTCTAAATTTAATCAGAGCAACATACATGACGGAGTGCAGTCAACTGGTATGCAGTTTGATTCGGTTGACTGAAATTGGAGAACAAATACATTTTTTGCGTGGAATAGAACAAATACAATGAACAATATATAGTGTTAGTAAACTCATCTGGTGCAGACATCTCTAAAACTATATGAGGTGTTAAGACTAGTATCCCATATACTCCCTCTATCCAAAAATATAGCAACTTTTAGCATTCTAAGTTTGTCCCAAAATATAGCAACTTCTCCACCTACGTTCTTTTTTCAACCAATCGCAATCTTCCCTCATTTAATTTATCCATCTACTTCCTCTTTTCGATCAATCAAAACCTTCTGCCATTTAACTCCACATACTTCCTTAATACCCTTGTTCAACCCCAAAAGTTCTTATATTTTGAGATGAAGGTAGTACAATATAGTTTTCAAAAACTGAAGGATCATGTAGCAAATTCACCTGGTTGAGTAGTCTGGAGTAAATTATAATTTCCACTCCAGTAGATGTTGGGGTAGATGGCATATTTGCATTGTCTCCACCAATTACCTATACAAAACAAGTTAAGAAAAAAAAAACAGAACAAAGATTCTTAAAAAATCATGACTGCTCGATTGAACATACTAATTATAAATGGTTCGAACTTACCACTATAAGGCGAACACATGGCATTTGAGTTATAAAGCTTAACAGCTGCAATAAATAGAGACATATACATAAGCAAACATAAAAATACTTCATTCCAAAGAATATATCATGATTAAATTAAAGGTACAAACTGATGTAGTGTTTGAAACAAGGATCAGAATCCACATAAACATATTTCATGGTCAGGGCCCAGCGCTCAGCCCATTGATCATGTGCGTATGTGGATATGGTTAAGAACAAACAGTATGATGAGCATGCAGTTTATGCAGTGTGCAGTCTTTTGACATTGTGTGTTCATAGCAGGATGAGATCAGCACCTGAAAGCACAGATCTATTTCCTGGAAATAACTAGCTACTTGCCACCTTCAGTAGTTAATGGCTGGTACCAGTGACATGAAAAGTGCAAATTTTAATGATTGTATAAACTAATAACTATACAAGGCTGAGATAAGGGGTTAAAGCTCACAGTGCTTAGTGTTTGAGGCACACAGAAAATAGCTTCTACTGTCGCATGGTTGACAATGAACTGAACTGCATCTGGACCTGCAGATTACATAAATATTGTTGCTAGATGAATGATAAGGATATAGATGATCATTTGGTGAATAGTGCATACCAAGAGTGTCATAAAGTGGCACAGACACGAATGAATATGCTGCACAGGCATGATCAACTATGATCCACTCAGGTCTGTTTATAAAATACAAACCAATGCATGCACCCTGGTTCAGAGTTAAAAAAAATAAAGCAAGTTAAAAAAAAAAGGGACTCTCTAAGTGTAAATACAAATGTTATATCATTGTCCATGTGTGACAAGATCTGCCTGCTACTAGTTAAAAAAAGAAGGACGGTACTTGTTGCGACCATTATGACTCACTTCAGGTATTCCATGATAAATAAGACCAGAACCTATTGCAGTCCTGTTTGTACTAGCTTCTCCATATGTCATCCATTTGTAGCTGCAAAGTTCCATACATATATCATTTAAAAGATTTGAACAAAGCTACAAAAGCCAATAATAACACATATATCCAGGAACTAATCCTTACTCCCCAACTGTTCCATCAGCGCAGATTCTTGTGCCCAGGTATCTACAGTCCCTAAAGGTCTCAACTGCATACCTGCGCAATTTGGGGTATATTGCCTCAGAACTTAGCACAGAACTTAAATTTGAAGAATAATAATTTTCTTGTAAAGCATGTAGCCTGCAACAGATCTAAATTTATCAGCTTTCATAAAACCATCAGATAAAAACCATCTGCATTCAGGCTGTGGATCTAACAATAGATAAAGGTTAACTCACTTTTCCCTTATAGATACAAACATTTTCCGGCTCCAAGGTTTCAATAAAATAGCTTAAAGAACAGCTTCCCTTGCCAATAATTCTTTTTATGTAATCAGATTTTCCTAAGAATCCTCCTGATACAATTCATCCTAGGGAAAACAGAACTAGCGTTCATTTTGCTTAACTCTATGTTTGTGCACTCACATGTTTGCTGACAATTCAAAACAAGAATTTGATAAATCATAGCATAACATTTTGTAAATAACTGAGACTTCGCCAAGTTGAGAATAATATTAAGAAATAAAAGCCGGATGCTCAAATGAGATTTCGAGGATTCTTACACGAAATTATCATGAAGCGTTGCAATATCAGGGGTATCAGGGAATCTATCTATTAACCTAAGAGGTGTCTTCGCATTCCTGCAAGATTGGAAACAGCAATTGTGAGCTGCAACATAAGCAAATGCAGCCAAAAATATAAATAACCTACCGGTATACATTCCACTTCCCGGTCTGCAACTTCTCAGGGAGCACAGCACTGTAGCCCTGCACTGGAGAAGCTATGACATTGAGTTACAAACTAAAAAAAGGCTGTTTTGTCAAGAAAGATAAATCAAACATGCAGTAGTTGGGGAATCCACAAGTCCACAACTTTCGTGTGCCGGCATACTAAAAAAAGGAAGAAAAGGCCTCATCCCTTTTACCTTTATTCAGCACACAAGCGAATACTCTAAATATTTTTAATTTTTTAGATATATAAAGGGAGCTTTAGAAGCGATTACTCTAATCCAATAGCGAGAAGGATACTACCGAGCTAAGCAACGGAAGTATGGAACTGATGCGCGGACTCGGCAGCACAAATTCAGAAAAGCGAAACCTCTCCACACGACCATAACTAAATCCGATGAACACAGTGTTGCGACGCGTATTACCACCACCGTTTGGGAATCAGAAACAATTTTAGATTATTATCTAAAAGCAAAAGTGCTAGTCTGCTCGACCAGCTGGGAATCCAACCCCAAAGAGATCCGAATCGCGGGCATCACCACACGGGACTGAAGATACGACATACCGTGCGCGTACTCGCCGGCGGTGGGGTTGGCGGCGAGGTCAACGCCGCCGGTGGTGGTGGTGGTGGACGCCGGCGGCAGGAGGTGGGCCGAGACGGCCCGCAACCGGCGGCCCATTGGGGAGTTCCCCTCCTCCTCCCGCCCCCTGCCGTTGCCTCGCATTGGTCTTGGACTCTTGTCTCCTCCTCTGTCTCCGGCGTTTGCGTGGGAAAAGAAGAGAGGAGAAGGCGAGGCGTAGGGGTGGAGGACTACTCGTCGTCACTCGTGGTCTCATGGACTCGTGTTTGCCGTTTTTTTTAAAAAAAAAAATAAGTGATGCTTTGAATTTGGAGAGGATTTGGCAAGGATAAGCGAATCCTAAGGGAAGATTCGCAGCTTTCTAGACGAATTCCATAGAAATCTCCGCTGTTTTTCGGCCTTTTTTTAGCTGTTTGGGAAAGACATATAACTCTTACTCCCTTCGTCTTACTTATAACTAGTTTGCATTCTTAAAATTATAAATCTAAACGATATTAGTGGAACAAATAAATGATGTTTAAAACTAGTAAAGACGCAGATTAAGTTAGTGCACGTAAAACGAAAAAACTATTGACATGTAGTATAATTAATTAAATTTTAATTATGACAAACTTGACGAATGGATGTATTTTAAAGCTTATATAGAAATTTTTCACACAAAACTTATATAGTTTGAAAACGTGCTAACGGAAATTAATGTAAAATATTATATTTTTATAAGAAAAAAATAAGGTTTATAGTTTAGATTCGTATTTCTAAGAGAGTAGTAGGTAATCTTATCCGGTCTGTTTGTTTTTTTTTTCTTTTGCTTGCGTCGTGCGGCTGGCCTGCAGACGTGGTGGGTGTGAAGCGGATCGGACCGGAAACCGGCGCGTTGCGGCCGGCGGCGTTGCGTGTTGGGATGGACGGCAACGTCGTCTTCCATCTTCCGCGAACGGGTCAGCCAGCCTGCTGTTCTATTCTCATGAAAAGCTTGCTAAGCTTTCAAAAACTTTCAATACATTATTTTTTAAAAAAGTATAATAGTTAACCAATTCGTTCCTACCATTAGATAATCATCACAAATCATCTAGTCATCCAAAACAAAGTAAAACAGTGGTACTTCGTGTAAGGATGTGTTTAGTTCATGTCAAAATTGGAAGTTTGATTAAAATTGGAACGATTGACGGAAAAGTTGAAAGTTTATTTGTGTAAATGTAATGAAAAAGTTGGAAGTTTAAAGAAAAAGTTTAGAACTAAATTTAGCCTAAGACTGCAAGGATATTTTGACGCGCCAGCACAGGGCTTGTAGAACAGAAAAATAGGAGAGGAGAGGACGAACTGAGACAAACACACGTGATTTCTGTTTTGCGGATAATTGAGGAGGAAACGTTCATAGAATATGGTTCCATTCGAGTGGCAACAACGACTTTTAATAGCGACAGCTTCAGAATGCTATTATCGTGTGACTGATACTAGTAGATCTTTTGTTATGCGCTATCGTTGGGGATCCATTCATGTAGCAGCTCAAAGCCTCAAACAAAGCTTCGTATTGCTTGGCTTCAGAAATGACAGTCGTATAGGCTGGGTTCGAGTTCGACCGAGCAGTTCAGCTTGTATGTTTGTTGGGAACTGAAACTAAGACATAATAGGTTTATTTGAATTTTTCTAAAGGAATCTTTTATATATAAGGTTTTTACATAAAACGTATCGCTGATGTTTAACGGTTTTAAAGCGCGTGTTTATAGAGAATGAGAAAGCTGTAGTTGTAAATTGTTCATAAGAACTCACCCCAAGTGTTATGAACTTAAGACATTATTATTTCTATATACTTGGTAGGATTATACTCTTACAATAGAAAAAACATAATTGGATTCAAGGTACATACGAGCAACCAAACACAATCTCTTGCGTATAAATTTTCTTATCCAACCAACTAAACAACATCTCAGATAAACCAGGCTCATCTAATGCATACAACCAAACACCCTCTATTGCATTTTATTGCATTTTACCAACCAAGGCCAAACTCAACCTGGATAAGACATACGAGCCAGGCTAAGTACATTCGAGCAATCAAACACAGGTCGAGTTTGACACCAAGAAACACCCACGCACGTGACTCGTGAGACCCAAAGAATCGGTGTCTCACTAGAGAAGATGATCCATGAGACCAGCAATCAGCAGGATTTAAAGAGAGGTGGTTTAAGAGATCAGGCAGGGACGTGATTAATGTACATTTAACTATTTGCCATTTGTAAATTTGATATTAAATTATTTGTCACCCATATATCAACAACATATGAGCCCTTATATTTGTCAATTTTATAGGTGGCAATTAACTATTTATCACTGGACATACATATCATAAATATGAGGATCCACATGTTATTGATATATGGATGACAAATAGTTAAATATTAAATTAAAAAGTGATTACAAATAGGTAAATGAGTTATAGGGATAGATAGAACAGTGTTCTTTGTAAGAAGATATTTGCTTCAATCCAATAAAAAATAACGTAAGGTACCGATATCAAATCGTTTTTAATCGTTAGATCTAACTGGGCAGGATGTGCATTGTTTTATCCGACGATCGGAAACGATTTGATACCATGAGATAATGGTATCTTGAGATACTTTTTGTTGGATGGAAACAAATTAAGAATATCTCGAATGAGAATACCAAAAAAAGAACCATTAGTCCTGGGGCACCCATGCTTATCCCCTTGGGCCTAGGCGTCACAAGTTTCATTGGAAAAAGTGCACCAAAGGTCCCTCAACTTATCAGCGAGATAAAAAAACGTCCTTGAACCGCAAAACCAGATATGCGAGGTCCCTTGACTATACAAAACCGATCACCCGAGATCCTTCGGCTGTTTTGATCCCGGTTTTGATCTACGTGGCAGCTGAGTCAGCGTGGGACCCATGTGGGCCCCACGTGTCAGCCAACCACTCTCTCTCCCCTCTTCTCTCCCATCTCTCTCCCTTCTCTCCTCTCGGGCAAGCCAGGGCGGATGGGGAGGAGGTCGCCGGGACGGCCGGCGACGCCGCGGCGGCTGGAGCACGAGGCGACGTGGCCGGCGACGCGACGGCGGGAAACAAAATGAGAAACAAACAGACGAAATCCAATCCAACACACACACACACAAAAAAAACATTTTTCCCCTCTTCTGCTATCACAACTCACAAGCAAAACAAGCCAAGAACACGGCAAACAATGGCATCCGCTGCACGAGCTGGATCCCGAAGTGGTTGAACGCGATGGTCACCTGCATCGCCGAGTCCAGCAGGTACTCGTCGCTGTGCCCCAGCAGCATCACCTCGTTGTGGTGCGAGAAGTAGCTGTTCGACACGGTGATCGCCGTCGACCCCATGATGGCGTCGATGAGCCCGTCGGCGCACCGCGACAGCGCGCAGTGGTCCACCCACACGTCGCGCGCCGAGTAGAGCGAGATGCCGTCGCCATCGGAGCGGGTGCGCCACCCATAGTGCGTCGGCGATGCGCGCACGTTCGCGTTGCCGGCGGGGACGCAGTCGTGGACATGGATGTTGTGGATGATGACGTTGGAGACGTACTAGAGCGTGATGCACGCGCCGTCGGCGCCGGCGCCGTGACGAGGAGGAGGAGCAGGTCCTTGCTCGCTACCTCGTGGAATCCTGAGGGAGTCTGCTCATGGTGGTCAGACTAGCTAGTGGGCGTCGTTAGAATTTGCCGACGTCGGAGTTCCGGGTGACGGCAGGAGAACAGCGGCAGGCGATCGTGGATGCGGCGCTGCCCCGGCTCCCGCCACCTTGTTGCCGGCCGCATCGCCTCGTGCTGCCGCTGCCGCGTCGCCGGCCGCCCCGGCGACCTCCTCCCCACCCGCCCCGGCTTACCCGAGAGGAGATAAGTGAGAGAAGAGGGGAGAGAGAGAGTGGTTGGCTGACACGTGGGGCCCACGTGGGGTCCACGCTAACTCAGCTGCCACGTAGACTAAAACCAGGATCAAAACTGCTGAAGGACCTCGGGTGACCGGTTTTGTATAGTTAAGGTGGTTTTGCGGTTGGAGGACGTTTTTTATCTCGCTGACAAGTTGAGGGACCTTCGGTGCACTTTTTTCAGTTTCATTTGCTTGGGAGGCCCATCACATTAGGCCCAAACTAGTTGCTCTCCACAACTGTGGGCTTCTCGGCCCACTGCGATCTGCTAGGTCGCACAGTCGCATCCGCGATTCCGCCGCATATTCCCCCTCCCCTAGCGATCACCGAGACACCGACACCGTTTGCGATTCCCCAATTTTAGCCCTAGAACACGCACATCCCGGAATCGGAGCAAGAGGCCTGCCTTGCCGGCGGAGGAGAGGAATTGATCGCGAGAAGCACGGGGAAGTCGAGCATGGCGAGCGCGGATCTGCTGCGGAGGGAGGAGGAGTTCTACGCCTCCTTGTTCGACTCCGCCAAAGGTAGATTCCTTTTTTGTATCTCCGAATTGCCCCCCAATGCGTCCTGACGCAAGCGATTTTTAACCCTTGTTCGATTTTGTGAACTTAGGTGGAGATGCCGTCAAGTCGCGTGGGCAGATGATTGAGAGGAAGATTGAAGTTCTTGAGGACATGGCCGCCAAGGTGAGGCGGCTCATCCTATTAGGGAAAATAAAAAAGTGATTTTGTTCCTTTGCTGCTAGTTTTATGATTGAATGAAATTATGGTTTGATCCCTGTTATGAGAAATGGATGATGATCTATGGAATAGCAGCTCAGAAAAAAAAACCCTGTTATATTTGATACAGTATGTTGTTATCTTTGACATTAAGAATATGCGGGTTGATGGTTTATAGATTGCAATGTTGCACAGGTTAGTAATCGGAGATCTCGTAGGTGGTTGAATGACCGGTTGCTCATTGAACTTGTCCCCCGTCTTCATGTGGAAGAAATCAAAGGCCTTTTTGCTCCTCCACCATGGGGTAAGATCCAGTGCTGCTCACATTTTTTAACACCATATTGCATGTCTTACAGCCTGGCCATCGAATGTTTCATTCTGTTTAGGGGGTACTAAGTCATTGAATGTTTCATTCTGTTTAGAGAGTAGTAATAAGTTATGAAGAAGATAAAATCCATGTTATGCATACTCTTTACTATGTGTTGACATTAGAATGAGAAACAATTTTTTTTCCTTACAGCATGCACACGTTAACTTTAACAAGAATTATGTCATTAACTAAAAATGTACGGATTCGTGAGAATGCTGTATGCTATCCAGTTTCCCTGTTTGTCACTTTTTTCCTTAAACACTTATGATCAGTTGTGCACTTTAATTGCATTGACATTTAATGCAGGCATTATAGTCAGGTTACATTTTTCATGTACTATTATAGAGATAGGGAACATTTCATTTCTATATTACACCGATCTATGTTCTGCATGTAGGTGAGGAACTGCCCGTTTCTGCATTCTGCAGGACAAGTGTCGGTGAATGGGATGCCTTCAGGAGTATTGACATGGATGTTGAGGTATACTAGTGTGTTGCTACTCTGTGCAATGAGAAATAAGAGCTGCATAGCATTAGGTATCATGTGCACTTTTTTATGGATCCATTTTACTTACTGTGCTTTTCATCTGTAGGCACGATTGGTGCAACAGATGAAACAGTCTTCTACAAAACAGAAGAACCATTTGGACAGAGATGAATTGGTTGCTCTCAATTCTTGGCATCATATAGATCGTCAAACAAGAGAAGCCATAAAGAGAAATTTCCTCCCAGATCTTCTTGAAATATACGAAGTATGGCTTTCTATCTCATTGAATTAACCTTTTTGTGTTTCTGTTTGTCACAACAGTTGCTAACATTTGTTTGCTTTTGAGAGTTTTTGGTTTGCTGCATCAGATTGCATCTTTCTGGTTTTGTAGTTTTAAAGGATCAAATGATATTTATGTTATAAAAACTGACAGTATATCCTCCTGTGTTATCTACTTCTAGTAGTGTTGATGGATTTTTATTGTGATCAATGATTACAACTATAAAAGTTTAAGCACTATTCTCCAGGAACAAATGAGATGTCTTTTAACAAACAATCTGGTGCAAATTAGGGTCCTTGGAGTTTTTGTTTCTAGTGTTCAATTGCATTAGAATATCTATCTTGTTACACCAGTTTGGACCATCTAAAGAACATCTAGATCTAAAATGATTGCCACTTTTGAGGGTCTCAGATTTCTTTACATACATCTAAGATCTAGAATATTCCTTCGCAACCATATAAACATGCATCTGTCTCTTGGCTTTCTATTACAAAGTATAAACCATTGGGGTACCTAAGCTTTTTAAACGACATCCTGTTTGCTCTTGCATCTCTGTCTCTACAATTTTTAGTACAGTTATCTTCTTAATGAAAAGGAAGCAGTTCTACTCTTCTACTGCTCAGGCTTCAGCCATAAACAAGGGTGACCTGATTTTGTGTTACGACATGTTATCAGTCAGAAATGAGGTGGTTGAGTTCTAATTTGTCGGCATTTGGCATTTCTGTGAAACTTTTGATGTATGCACTCACATGCTATGTGAATGCAAGTGGAAATTAATAATTACAATATGATTTTGCATTTGGGTTGTATTGCATAAGTACTTGAGAAGCATAATGTGCTGCACTTGCTGGTCATTCAGTAGCTGTTTTATATTGGTTTATCTGTTTTTCACATTTGCAGGAACGAGTTAGGACCTTCATCGAAGACACTAGTGGTAAAGATATGCTTGTACTGAATGTCCAGGACCCATTTCAGAGATTGCTTTTGCACGGTGTATGCGAGGTAATTGCTCTCCAGCAGTTCTTGAGAAGAAGTGAAATCTTCATCCAGACGTTTTTAGAACTTGAACACAACTTGTATGTATGCAGTTCTATAATGTATCATCTACAACCACGACTACCGTAAGAGATGGAAAGCTGTGTAAAACGACAGCAATCAAGAAGAGATCAGGCACAGGTGCTCCCTCCAGAATCACATTGGTTAGCTTCCTAAGGATGAAGAAAAAGTCCCATTAACATGTGCCGTGTATTGGCAAAACATGCCGATTTAGGTTCTGTTTAGGATGTACACATGTAAATTATCGATATTATCATCTTAACATATTTGAATGCAAGATTGGTCACTGCCTCACTGATCGTGAGTCGTGACCTCCAAATCCTGGTGTTAAATCTGCATGCCTTGTCTGTCTGTATTGGTTGAAATTGCCAGGTTTGTGAGTTTCTGGGCTCTATTGCCTGCTGGATCATGGAATGACATGTCATTGGTCCCTACAACTAGCACAAGAAAGGGCATGGAACAAGTCTGTTCAGGAGACAATGTCCGTCCAAATAGGCATCTCCATCATTAGCTACTGCCCATAACGATTGCTAAATTGACCATTACCTAAAATAACTCATTTTTTTATGTGTGACAATTCTATTCCTGACAGCAGGTCGAGCTCACAAAATCAAGACTTTTTTAGCATGGTCAAATCCGACGGAGATGCTTCTTGAAGCATGAGAGGGGAGGGAGGACGCTTCACCAAAAGAACGGGAATATTTAGATTGTATCCAAAATGAATCTTACCAAATTTAATGTCAAAATTTTGGTTATTTGACAGTATTGCCCAGTTTTGGAGTTTTGGCAGTGTTTCTTATATACTCTCTCCGTTTCACAATGTAAGTCATTTTAACATTTCCCACATTCATATTGATGTTAATGAATTTAGACATATATACACACTGTGGGGACACCCAATTTAGGCTTGGTGCCCCGAAAATTCATTCGTGATCGTCCAGGATTTCGATCTCGTGATCGTCCAGGATTTCGATCACAGATTGATATACAGATCAGCTTTCAATTAATTATACAAATTTGGTTATACAAGCTAATTATACAATTGTTAAAGGTTGAAAAGATCCAAACTAAAATATCCTTATTTGAAAATACAAGAAAAATCTAAAGTGCTAAACTACTAAACTCCTAAGCTCTTCAACTACTAAAACTACAGCTAATAAACTCCAAAGAATTCAAATAACTCCACAGGCAAAAGCTCGAGTGTAGACTAGCCTAGATAAACTTGTCGTTGCCGTAAAATCTCGCTTCCTTCCGATCTCCTTGTTAGCACGTTTCCTCTATATGTCAAATTATGCAAGGGTGAGTACTTATGTACTCAACAAGACATATTATAAATAATTAAAGGTGAGTAGATATGAATAAATAAACAAAAATAAAGTAAAGGAATAATAAAAACCATAAATCATCTTTATCCTCAACTCTTTAATTTTAAAACTACTTATACTTCAGGAGTAGGAATCACCCTGATGACACAACTGCAGAACCGGGAGTATGGCACATTCGAATGATTTAATTCACCTCTGCAGAGACTGTCCAGCTTTACCCACACGATGTCAACAATTTGCAAGGCTAAGGACACCAGAGCCGTTCGAAGGTCCCACTTACTACTAGTTACTACACAGTGGGGTCTTGGTTCATCATAGTGGTCGAACTCTTGCCAGGCCTAGGCAAGGTATCTATATCGTCACACTTTCATGAATCCCACTGTTGTGAAACACTGCCGCCCAAACTCCTTACGCAAGTTCACCCCAAAACCGCTCATAGAGCCACCCAACAGTCTTTCATATAGTGGGACAATGTACTACGCTAAGTCCAATTACTTGATTGTGTGGATGGACGCAACTATGTCATTTCCATGGTATAAGGGGGTAATTATAATCCGGTTAAACCACCCAAAACTTTCCAAACTCCCCACACCAACATCACAAACTTCATCAACATTCATAATCACAGCATTTATAATCTCAACTCATAAATGCCCATTTTAATTGGATTCCTAAGTTTGTAAAGTTGTTTGGAATAGTAAATCACATAAAATGATAACCAATGCTTCTTTCTATGTTCTCATGCAATCATGCTTAAAAGCATTTAACATCTACCCATGAGATGTTAAAAGAGTAAGGTATTATGCATCAAATTAAATATGAAGATCATATCAAGTTTTCTATATGATCAAATTTTAATTATGTCTTTCCTTGCACCTTAAGATTTCTTGCGGCTTTAGCGTAGCCATCTGGGTCCACGTCAGCTCCTTGGATGCTGATAAAACTTGCTGTACGGTCTAACGTACGAATACGAAAAGATAGCAAATAAAGCCTATAAGCAAATTGCTACAAAGAAATGATAAAAACCAAATAATAAATAAAATTGGAGCAAGGCGAAGGAAAAAGGAATGGTTCAAAATAAATTTTAGTTTGGAAAACAAAAGAGAGGTTTTGGTTTCTAAATGTTGGAATTGAGGAAAAGGATAAAATGGATAGGTGGGGTTGATTTGGTGGATTTGGTTTTCTAGTCGGTGCTAGAATAGAGTAGCACGACGGTTAGATATTTGGAGTGGTTAGCCGATGCTAAGGTTGGTAGCATAACGGCTAAATATCGGCTCGTCTAGTCGATGCTACAGTTAAGTAGCACAACGGCTAGTGAGTTAGGAGATTTGTGTGGAGCGGAATAGTGTTACTCTGCAGTTGTGAGTGACAACAGAGCAGCTAGGGTCGCACATAGCTCAAGGACTAGTGTGTGGCATGCTTGTGGAGGTCGAGGGAGTAGTGAGGCTCCGACCACTGTACGCGTTGAGGCGTGGGGTGCGAAGAGCGACACTTCGACCTTAGGATTAGGTTATGCCGGGTTTTACGACCAACGGTTTGACATCGGGGTTTGAGACCACGCGAACGTCTCCATAGAAGGTGTAAAGTTTCCACAGCGGCTTTTTGGTGGCTAAGGATTGTAAAAGAATGGTTTAAAGAAATTTGAATTCAAATAGAGTTTTTTAAAAAATATATTAAAGAAATAAAATTTAAAATGGTATTTTAAAAGAAATAAAGAAAAGGTAATTAAATAAATAAAGAAATGATATTTAAAGATAATTTAATTTAAAAATGGTTTTAAATAAAATAAGAAATTTTAAAATTAAAGGGATTTAAGATAAATCAAATAGGTTTAAATTAAAAGGGTATTTAAACAAAATTTTAAATAGGAAATTTGGTATCAAAAGGGAGGGTTTGAAATTAGATGAATTTAGATCAAAGGTTCACTGGAATTGGATTTGTGGTTGGAAAGATACGGTTGTCTAAAGATTGAAATCAAATAAAAGAGGAAGTTTACTGTGCAGCGGGGCCCACTGTCATATGTCTCTTCTTCTTCCTCCCGTTCTTCTCTCCTTCCTTCTGTTTCTTCTCCCGAGCAACAACAGAGGGGAAGAGGGCACAGGGCACCGGTGCTTCGGTGGTTTAATGGCCTCGACGGCGGCGGACAAGCGTGTTCCCGCTCGCTATGCATCCGGGGAGGTCGGTGGAAGGCATAGGGAGTAAATAGAATGGCCGGAACGGCGGCAGCAAGAGCTCAGCTCTGGCCGGCTATGGTGGTGCCGGTAGTGCTTGTGGCAGTGGCTAAAGGAGAGGGGAAATAGGAAAAAATGGAATCACCTCGGCGAGGCGGAGTTGGTGGCGCAAGGGTTTGGCTTTCGAAGCTCCGGTGAGGGAGATCGGCCGACGACGGCGACGGCCGGACATGGCAAGAGAGAGAAAGATGGAGCTCTGTTTGTATGTAAAGAAGGGGAGGGATGGCCGGCTATTTATAGGGGAGAGGGGCGGTGGGGAGAGGCGGTTCTGGAGGCGGTCGACGGCTTGACCACGGCGACGCTGGCGTGAAGGAAGAAAAGACGGCGCCGATTACTTCGTGACGACGGAAGGGAGTTTGAGGCGGCGTGCGCCGTGCGCGTGTACAACACGCACACCTGGAAGGAGGAGGAGAGAGGCGGCTGGGCTATGGTCCGAATTGGACCGGCTCGGCTTAGCTGGGCCGGCAGCCCAAGAGGGAGGAGGAAAAAAATAAAAGATAAAAGATTGGGCCAAAAGGAAGAAAGAACGGAGTTTCGGCCCGATGACAAAAAGAAAGAAGTCTAATTTGAATACTTGATTTGGATAGCTAGGTTTTACAAAGAATTTGAATTTGGAAAGAGTTCATAAAAGAGATTTCTTAATTTATTTGAGTGCAATATTTAGAGGTGGAGTTTGAGGGAATTTATTTGGAAGCACTCAAATAGGAAGGGAAATTAATAATATTCCTCAAAATATTTTTGGGAATATAGAAGGGAATTAGTTGAAGGCAATAAATAGGATTTGAATTCTAAAATTGGTATTATGTATATTTTTGGCTAAAAGGGGAAATTGAGTGAAGAATATAAGTTGGAATTTCCTTAGCACAAGAGCAATTATTTTAGGAATATATTATTCTTTGTGCCAAGGATATGGTCAAGGAATTTAGATGGGATTCAAAGGTAATGGAACCTAAGGGAGTATGTGGACTTTTTGAACTTGGACAATGAATTTAAATAGAATTCAAAAGAAATTGAAAACTAGGGGAATTTTTGAATGGAAGGTTTTAAATATATCTTAAAGGAGATAAAATTTAAAAGAGGAATGTTTGAGGGTCTTTTAAACTTTATAAAATAAATTCGAATATAAGGTTTTTGAAGTAAAAGGAGTTTGAAATACTGTTTAAAATAAAATCAAGATATTTATTTTTGAGATATAAATTTGAAAAGGATAAAAATAAAGATGCTCCAATTTTAAAAGAATTCAATAAGAACCAAATATAGAACTCATCACAAAATATTTTCTCTAATATTTTAAAATTTAAAATAGTCAAATGGAAAGAAAATATAATTAATTTATCTACTAACTTTGGATAAATTTTGGGATTTTAACCTCCAGTATATGTGGATGGGAATTTTTCTACGGACGGAATTGGTGGTTGATTAATAAATTCTAAGGGATAGGTATATTAACTTAGGGAGATTGACAATGATATTTTATGGACTATGGGAATATTTAGGTGGAGATCCAAAGGAAAGGTATTGGTTCTGGAGAAAATAAGAATTGATAATTCATGTGTTTGGGTAGAGATCAAAGGGGAAGTATTTGGTGGAAGATAAAAGTGGATTTGGTGGTAGTGTAGTAAGCTCTAAATGAAAAGATATTAATTCTAGAGAGATTAATATTTCATGTGTTCTAGAGATGGTTGAACGGGAATTGAAAGAGTATTTGCTGGAGATGTTCGGGAATGGATTCAAAGGAAATATAATTTAGAGCCAAAGTTAAAGATTAAATAAAATAAACGGAAAGGTTTTGTAAAATTTAAAAAGGGATTTTAAAGAAAGCTTTTAACTTAGCAAATAAAGTTTAGATCCAAGTCAAAGAAAAGATCAAAAGTGAGATTACTCAAAGGAAGAATCGAGAAGAGCATGACTTGAAATATTTTGCAAAAATTTTTCCCTGAAAATTTGAGTCCGTTACACACACACACATATATATAGAAAAACTATTCTTCCGGGTATAGAACAGCCTCCCTCCCAAGGGTCACACCCACCTCCCCTCCTTACCAAGGCCCAAAACCCACCTCCCACCTCGGTTAAAGGCCCCTCCCACCGGTCAAACCCGCCTACTAACTCCCCCCACCACCCACCTCTTCTCAGCTCTCGTCCCAGGACGGTGCAGTAACACGACGACCTCTATGCAGTAACACTGTGTCTTACTTGCAGTAACAGCGTTAAAATATAGTTGAAATATAGTCATGACGGATCTACTTTTGATTAGCTCTTTTTTTCTAGCATCATGGTGCAAACGGTTTTAAAAAACCTTACATCACTTGAGAGATATTGTCTCTCCACAAGTAGTAATACTATACTATTACTTGTTACTACTTGTCTGTTGTACATTACTACAATCGCATCATGATGTTACTACATGGCGTTTTACTGTATTTTTTGGATAGTGTTACTGCATAAACACGTGGTAACGTATACCTTCAGTGCAGTAACACTTTTACTTTTGTGCAGTAACAAGTATATGGTTAGCATTTGAGACTTTTAACCTATATATTTTTGTTTCAATTCCTAATTTACTGTAGTGGGAGCGATTTTAAAAAATAATACATATCTTGTGAGATATTGCTTTTCAAATATTGGCATTTTGAACTTTAACCCTCCCCTTCTCATCCGATCCCCCCCTCCCTCCCGATCTCTCCTCCCTTCCGATCCACCCTCTCTCTGGCTCAAGAATAAGGGGCTTAGAAGTCAGATCTGAGAATACCTCTTCATCGTCAGGTTCGAGGATGACGAGCGAAGCTACTAGCTTGCACGCGTTCAAAGGCTGAATTTCATACTACGTCCGAGTTTAGTTCCAAATTTTTTCTTCAAACTTTCAACTTTTTCATCACATCAAAATTTTTCTACACAAACAAACTTCCAACTTTTCCATCGCATCGTTCCAATTTCAACTAAACTTTCAATTTTGACGTGAACTAAACACACCCTATATGTTTTTGAGCTTATAAAAAATGTAAGGATTGAATTTGGCTGTGAAAAGACCCCGTAGGACGTCCATCACTGGTCGGATCGGATGGCCCTCGGGCAGTCGGGCTCAAAACTCAGAGCACTTTGTCCAAATGTAAACACAACTTATAAACACTGAACATACCGACAATTTAAATAAGGTCTCTCGACGTTAAATAGGTTCACAAGATATGATATGGAGAGCAATTCAACACGGAATGGTCTCGATTCTACTCATTTTAACTGCAAGTTTATGCTGGACCAGAAATTCAGGATAACACCAATACGGCTTAGGTACCAACCATCTGTCATTCAGTAATTTTCTGTTATCAACAAATTTATACTAACATTGAACGTGATACAGTAAAGCAATGCATCATAATACCTAGCAGGGAAAACACTGTCATCTCCAACGATCTTCCAATCAAGCACATCAGATGGATTACCATGCCTATGTTCAGCAACAGTCCTATTAAACACAACAAATAATTAAATTGAAAATTATGATTTGACTGAACCTGCTTCAACAAAAAAAAAACGAAATTAATTGTGTGAAACATGAATTTGTACAATATTCCCTACGTTTACTAAAGAATCAAGTTTTTGGCTTTTCAAGGTCAACATGGCAGAACTTTAAATTTTAACTTCATAATTCTATCAAAAAAATTAACTTCATAAAAGCCACGAAAAAGTTAAACTAGTGTAATATTATGATAATTTACTCTATCAGTTTTATACACACAAAACTTACCGTTTGAAATAATTACTATGGTCAAAGTTAATTGGTTTGACTACATGTGAACATCATTATTTTGTGACTGGAAGGAGCACATCATCAAAGCACTTACACAAAAAGACCTAGACATACTCTTTTGTCTTAAAATACTTAAGGATCTCGCAAATCTCACACCATGATAGGAATGGGGTTCCTTCTACTCCCTCATCGTAGAAGTTCATGCCAACAAAGTTCCCATCGAAACCAAGAAGCGGACCTCCAATGCCAGCCTAGCCAGGTGAAATGGAGAAGTTATACTTGGTAATATCAATTAAATATGATAGCTAATTCATATTCTGATGCAAACTAGTACTTACTTTGACCATGTATAGTAGACAAGAAAAATAGAAGCTGTTACCTTAGTGATTGTACATTGAGAATAACCAAGAAATTTGCGGTCATGTGTGACACCGATGGGAAGTTGTCGCCCTCTTGAGGCCATTAATCTGCCAGATTTGAAGATACACCCTACAGCTAGTAATTCACTAGCGTAATGCCTATAAGGTTGAATTTTTACTGGTTGGAGAACACGGTAATCCTTCACACTAACTAGAGCAACGTTGTAACGTAAATTATAATGTTGTACTGTCCCTTTGGTGCGCCGATTGTTTGGAAGCAACACTTTAATCTGCAAACAACACAATTGAGACTCTTAGCAGTTAATCAAATGAACAGGGATCATAGAATATTTAGAAGCACCAACCCTCAAGTTTTCGATAATCTTGTCTGCATCACGAGGATCTCTAAGTAAGTTCGCTGAAGTCAGAATAGTGGCACACTCGTTCCATTCAATAAAAAAAACCCGTGCATGCAAAACTTCGTTTTTCTCCTGAATATCATAATTTTGATCATTAGTTAGTTATGATCAAAGTACAAATATGAAACAGTAAACAACACAATACTGTAAAATCACCATTGAATGAAGCAAGTGCGACAATATTTTCACATATGTTAGAGGCAACATCTTCACTTAGTTCACTCCAGACACCTTTACCACACACGTTACCAAAAGGCTCTTCAAAAGTATTAGCCAAAATCATGCCATCTAGTTGAAGATACAAAGTAAAATAGTTGTAAGTGATACAGTAAGTAAAAAAAAATCACAATGCATGAAAAGTCACAATATTTACAGGAATTGACTTACCATTCGATATTGGGGGCTCGGGATAGCCCAAGGATTCTAGATCCCCATATTGATCCTTGTTAAGAAAAGTATAGATAAAAGAAGACCTGGAGTAGTATGCATAAAACTATTTCAAGAAAACGAGAGAATTGAGCAAATGTTATAAAAAAACATCCAGTATCAGGAGGCATCATAGCAGTGTGACCACTAAATCTGGACAAAATGTTCCTTTCTCTAATAAAATTAGACAAATATCGATAAACATTGGAACATATGACTAATCTAGTACAGGGCAGCGATGGCATGTGCCAATTGGACACAGAAACATCTTGATATAGGTGGAAGAGAATCATATTGCTATTAAGGGTAACATAACACATTGAAACTGCAGAGGAACTACAATGTCAAAAACCCTACAAAAGGAACAACACCCAACTATCCACATTATTGCAAAACCAGCAAGTCTCATAAGCTGTTTGGCATAAAAAACAGCTAAACGCATTAAATCACGTATGGCAGGGAGGAGCAGGATATGTGTCCCATTCAGAATATGCAAAACATACCTCAATGCCTTCAAAGCCGCTAACCGTGCAGCAAATTTAACCTCATGATGGAGTATCCAATTCACAAGCTGATCAAGAACTCTATCCCCTGGCACAAATAAGGTTCCCTCAGTAGTGAGGGAAAGGTTCATGCCAAGAAAGTCCCCATCAAAATCAAAAAGTGGCCCGCCTTCATAAACCTGGCACCAAACAGAACAGGATTACAGGCCACACTGGTTGAACTGGACAAAATAAAGTGAAATGGAATAAGAGTTATGTAGGAAAAATCATCATCTTATCTCCTCAGATATGTATAAAACAAACAGATTAAACATTTTTATTGTAATCATGCAAGTGTGTACTTCAAGTGATAAAAGAACAGGTGTACCTCAGAGAATTTACAAGTCGACGACATAAGCTTAGGATTGTATGATCCGCTTGAACCACCAATCAACAACCCACCTGTGGCCATTAATTTTCCAGAGATATCACGGCCTAGAGCTACTACCATGCTATGTGGTACAAATTTCTGAACATTGTTGAAAGGCACAGGGCGAAGATCAGGTAAGTTCTCGACGACGACAGCAGCCATGTTATGATCTAAATGATATTCTCTCAAAGACCCTATGACAACAGCGTCTTTATGGTGCACTTCGACCTACAATGAAGAATCAGGTGAAGAGTAAGCAATGAACACAACTAGTCAACTGAATGATTACCAGCACCAACCTTCAAGTTATCATGGTCTTGACTTTCATCATTAAAAGCTTTAAGCAAGCTTGCTGAGGTCAGCAACTTTATAACATGTCCATCACGTTGTACAACCATGCCTGAGCATACAAATAACACTGTGTCCCCTACACAGGACTGTAATTGTTAATCATTAACAAATAGCGGTGTTTATATATATATGCCTGGAAAAGTAAGAAGGGTATAACAGCACATATAATCACCATCAAGCAGAGCAAGTGAAACAACACTTTTAGACATATTAGATGCGACTTCTCCACTGAACTCACTCCTGAAGACACCTTCATTAGACTTGAAGTGCAAGTTACCTAGTTAAACAAACATGATACAACACAACTGTGAATGCTCGGCGAGAGCTATAAGATACATGCAGAAAAAGGAAGCACCGGCAAACCTGAAATCAAGGACTCAGATGTCTCTCCTTCATTGCAAACTCTTCCTCCTTTTTTCTTGCAAGAGAAGCATTTCTTTGCTTCTTTGAATCCATTCCGACAAAATCAGTTTTTTCATCCCTCTTCAAGTTTCTTCTGAGATCATAACCACCCATCCACATCTTCCCAGCACTGAAGCATAATTTTTTGTCAAGAAAAGGCGCAAAATGTGGATCAGAACAGCAAAGCAGCACCATAAAACTAACACAGATATACTAGTAATAATTAAAAGGTCACAAATACAGGTTTTATGTCCACGATGATGACCCATGACCTTATAAGCTTTCCTGTAAGCTCCAAAATCAACTTTATACAGAAGTAAAAGAGTAAATACTCTTCACTCAATGAGTTTGTTGGACAGGACTCAAAACAGTTATTACCAAAAAATATATATACACAAATATAAAAATCCACAATGTCATTCTAGAACTAAGCACAATTGTTTTCTTACAAAATCTTTTTCAGATCTCCAATTCACAAGGGGTGGATCTATCGGGGCATAGAACGAGAGGGATGAGAAAGAAAGAGGACGTGCGTCGCGTTGGCACGGGTGCTCACCGGAGGCGGACGGAAAGCAGCAGGACGACGGGTAGTACACGGTGGATGGATGGATGGAGATCAGCGGACGAAGTCGCGAGGAGTCGATGGAGGGGAGGATTTTGCGGCGGAAGAAGAGCAGAGGACGCGGGCCGTCGGCACCGCCAGCTGCTCCCGGTGGTGGAGATCGCCGCCGCGATGGGCGACGGCGCGGGCGGCGCGCGAAGGAGAATGGACGGGGTGTCGAGGGACGTGGGTGAAGACTGAAGAGGTGATAGGTGATGGAATCCATAGTCTGTGATGGGCCGGCTGCGAGGGTTGGGCTTTCGCGAGTAGCACTGCCCGAGGCGCACGGCCCATACTGCTCCAAACAAATCGGCCCGTGATCTCGAGGACTCAGCTTTCAGCAATCAGGGCGGAGGATTGGGGAAAGTAAAATCATCCCTCTAGAGATATCCCTCGTTTCGTGCATATCACCTAAATAGTCATAAAAAATATGAAAAAATAGTAATATAAATTAATATGAAATATATCACTCCACAAGCATGTAAGTTTAAATTCAACTTCGTTGCGAATGTGCGGTAACTATTTTCAGTTTAATTTGTTATTTTTGTTGCAACTTATAGAAGTTGAATTTAGTTTTGCATGTTTGTGGAGTGATATATTTCGTATTAATCTATGTTGTCATTTTTTTTTATTTTTTATAACTATTTAGATGACATGCAAACAAGAGGATATCCCCTTGAGAGATGAAAATCCACATCCCGAGGATTGCATACCAAAAGTTTATATTTTTGAGACAAAGAGACTAAGTCATTACTTGGATAAGGGACCAAGTAAGATGAGAATTATGAGATACTTCCTCCGTTTCATTGTAAGTCTTTCTAGCATTTATTCATATTCATATATATTTTGTACACACACCACGTACATGTGTGTGTGTGTGTAGATTCATTAACATCTATATGAATATGAGCAATGCTAGAAAGTATTACATTATAAAACAGAGGGAGTAGTGAGCATGTACGTGGTTATTATCGGAAAAGTTTACACGTACTAAATTTTACTAATATAATATCATGTGTTACATATCTAAATTTTCTATGACTCTCGTTAAATGGGTGAGACCATTATTTGTAAGAGTTTTGTAAAAGAAAATTTAGGCCTGGTTTAGTTCCCAACTTTTTCTTCAAACTTTCAACTTTTTCATCACATCAAAACTTTTGTACACACAAACTTTCAACTTTTCCGTTACATCGTTTCAATTTTAATTAAACTTTTAATTTTGATGTTAACTAAACATAGCCTTAGTACTGGTACGTATTTGTTTTTAGGAGTATTTGCTTGTAATAGCAAGCGTGGTCTGCTGATTGCTGGGCTGTATAGGCTGCCGGACCATGAATGACAGGTCCATTGGTCCCTGCCTCCCTGCAACGGGATCGGAAGGGAAGAGAATAAAGCGTAGCTGTACAGGACGATACTCCCATATGGAATGGAGTAGGCAGCGAAAGATGGCAGGAATTTGGTACGACGAAGCCGGTGGAGCCTCGCACTACGGATTTTCGTAAGGTACGTGTAGTGTGTGCGTGGTGGCTGCGGCAAACGGCGCCAGTTGCAGTCACAGTACTAGTAGTAGTTAGATCGGTTATCGCGTCACGGGATCTTGTTCTTGCCGCAGTTCCACGACGCCAAATGCCCAAATGTACGGTGCGTGTCACTCCAATTTGACTGACAGCTCCAACAACGGCCGGCCAGCGTGCGTGATCTCACAGTACTGTTCCTACTGTACACCCACAGGCTTTTGTGAATGTGAGTACTCTAGATCGGTCATCATGATTCACAAGACTCAACTGAGAAGGGAATCGGTTCTTCTGACGTGAATTGCCTCATGACGTGATCACTAATAGGTGGATCCATGAGTAGTGGGACCTACATATCAGCCACCACGATCCTCTAACTTCACATCAGAAGTCCCTCAGAAGGGCAGATCGAGATCGGGCTAGCCGTGTACTTGGGTGTTGAGGGCGTTCTTCTATCCAAGCCAGCTAGTTTCACATACGCCAGGATCGCGTGGATTTCCGGCCCCGATCGAGGAGCATTTTGCGGCGCGCCGGCAGCATCCCGCGGTGGCCGCGTCGCGAGCGATCTGTTGCTGTCAAGCCTGGAAGCAGCCGTGCACTACACATCGATGAATCCATCGCATTCGCGCTGCATGCATGGAGTCATGGGGACATCTACGCTGATCGGCCACTCTCACCAGGTTGATCGATCGATCATCGATCCGCTCTCACTGCACCATGGTACGTACACCGCGCCCTTCGCCTTCAGTACGTACTACTACTGATGTAGTACACTTCATGTACAGCAGTGGTAGCACTATCACTAGGGCTAGTTCTGTCCAGACTCCAGACATCTCAGCTCGTGCTCTGGATGATTAATTTGGACGTTATCGTCATGTGCATATGCTCTTTTTTTTAATCATTTTACAAGTTGCACGGAAGCCGTACATCATACTCACATGTCTACAAAGACCAGTGAATAAAATTTTAGGGCATGTTTGGATTGAGGCCAATTCTTACCCTACCAATTATTTGGTAGTTTTGAATAGTACATATTAGCTATTTGGATTGAGGCCAAATCTTACCAATTCAATAGAGTTAGAAAAAACACAACCCTACCAAAATTTTGTTGGTGCTGTGCCAAGTTTTGGCATTACTAAAATTTTGGTAGGGCTTCAAACCAAAACAACCCTTATTGTCTTCTACTAGTATCATATTTTCTAATTCAAAATTTGATACTTTTAAGTATTAGGTACTCTCTCCATTCTAAAATATAAGAAACTAAAATTGGATGTGACATTTGCTAGTACTAGGAAATCTGGACAGACTGTTCAGTCCTAGATTTTTATATTTTAGGACGGATCGAGTATTTTTAGTGTGAAATTTAAATACCTCAAGGTACTTTCTTAATAACTGAACATCATTTTCTCTCACTGAAAACCTATTGAAACCACACCCCACATAATATTCTTGGGTATCAATTTCACTCGTAAGCACACATTTACGTACAGGATTTGGTGATGAACTGATGATGATTATTCTTCCAGTTTTAGCTTCCAATCAAGCAAGTGCACTATTAATTTGTTGTTTGCTGTTCTAGCTTCTGATGGCACTCCATCCAAATTTGCATCTGTGTATTGTACCTACCATCCATTACAAGCCACTTATCAGTTAGTTCCATACGGTGTGTGATAACATGATTGTCATCATCATCACTGCATCAATTGGTTGTTGGTTAGTACTCCATCCGGTTCCATAATTCTAACAATAACACGCTCTCCATTCTCCAAAATATATTTTTAACTTTATTTTTCTATTAAAATATATACAATAAATAAATAAATAGATACATGTTTACTTTTTTTATAGTACTTTAAAAGACATCTATATATGTTGTTCTAATTTCTTTAAACTAGATATTTTGAAGTTATTGTTACAAAAGTTAAACTTCAACCTTATCTAAAACGTCAAGAATTATGAAACCGGAGAGAGTATAAAATACCAATTCAGATTCTTCACAGTACTATATACATATTGCTCACTGACATGTGGATCCTATTGCAATCCATCCAGGTTTGCATACTATACATGATACCTATGAGGCCCACGCGTTTCAACACACTCGAAAAGAAAGTTTGATCAGATGAGCCGCGTACGTATATGTATACGTACGTAGGGGCTGTTATACGTACGTAGGGGCTGTTTGGTTCACTACTACAATTTGCCTCACTGTGCCACAACTCAAGTTAGCTAGGTTTGACTAAGTTAGGCATCTGTTTGGTTCGTGCCACACTTATGGCAAGATTCCTTCACCATGATGTGGATCCCACATGTCATTGGCACATAAAAGTGTGGCAAGTTTGCTCTTCTATGGCTGAAGTGTGGCTTCAATTTTGTTAGCCACATGTTAGGCATATTAGCTAAATGAAGTGTGGTAAGTTTTGGTGATATGAGTATACCAACCAAACAACCCCGTACCTACGCGTGGTCCCGGAGGCCCATGACGACGACAAGACTATACAGACGCTCATACATCAGTTCAGAGCTGTACCGTACTGTATGTGGCCCAAACATGGCGACCAAGCCGGCCTGGTTTGATCCAGATCAACACAGCAACCTGGTCCAGCCCCTGCTACGTACGTAGATGCCCATAGTTCAATTCAATAATCTGCTTCCATTATTGTTCCATTCCACATCGAATCAAATCATTCCAAGACCGCATGAGGAATTAAATCTTTCGTTGGCGTTACGATAAATTAAAGAAGCCCGGTAAATGGATCACATCTGAAATCAAATCATTTGTAGGTTTGTGGATAAACGTCGTCGTCTTGTTTGATTTTTGCTTTAGCAATGCTTACAAGGTACTACTACCGGTCCTCCTTAATTCTGATGATGGGGGTCATTCATTAGTTAATCAATTAAGGTCTGCCTCTCTACTTGGCTAATACGAGTAGTATACTTCTTGTCTA